TTACGAAATTAACAATTACTAAGAGAGAAAATTAGAGAATGTAAATATAAGCATTGAATTCTTATTTTTGGATGTCGTCGGTCCGACAAATTATCTTACCGCGCTAACGCGCGGTATTCAATTTGTCAGCACTGCCAGGTGCTGTTATGGGACCGACGACAATCAAGAACAAGAAAACATTGATGTAACCATCAATTGTCGCCCGGGAAATAAATAAAGTAAACAATGGAAATGAGTCTTTATCATCAAACCGCTTCGATATGTGTGAAAAAGAGGCATGCGTCTAAATGATGGAGACGATAGTCGAGAATATTTTGAAAACTTATAGTCGGATGAAAATCGAACAAAAACGATACCCTTTTAAACTTTATCAATTCCTCAAGTAAATGTTGGCTGCATAAAATATAATTTGAAACCACACACATGCATCACCTATTTTCAAAAATATCTTTCACTTTAAGAATATAAAACACGAACTGTGTAAAGTACATTTTTACGTTTTTATGCGATAAGTAAAATTCGATGTTCTAAAAAAAGGGACCTGTCGTTTTTTCGATAGTAAATGATAAGCAACTTTATATATTAAATATGAAAAACATATATATTTTTACAGATTCACTTTATGGAAGTAAATATATTGTGTATCTCGTAATTTATAAAGGGAAAGAACATTCTGATTAACAATCTTTTTAATGTTTATAAAACCTATAATTCTGAATAACTTCTCCCACCTCAATCCCCATATACCAACACTTAAACTTATATGTATAGAGCAGCCCGGTCCTCCGGGCTGCAATAAGAATCCAATGCTTAAATATACCGGTCTTGTAGAGTAGGACCCCCCCCCCCCCCTAAAATCTTTCCCTCCCGCGGAAAATTGGCTCTAGAGTGGGATTTCCCCACAGAAAAATGACTCTATCTACAGTAGGATCTTCCCTAGGGAAATCCTATATCAGAGTCAATTTTTTTTTGGGGGGGGGGGGAGGGGGGAGGGTCTTACTCTGTGTAATAGTTATAGAGTGCGATTGCCCGAAGAAATATTATATCATTTATATTCTAAGATTATGCATAAGGCACAAGTATTCATATATTTCAATAAATCCTATATCAGAGTCAATTTTGTGTGTGTGTGGGGGGGGGGGGGAGGGGGGAGGGGAGGGTCCCACTCTGTGTAATAGTCATAGAGTGCGATTGCCCGAAGAACCAAATTTCCCCCAATACAATATCATGGCCATACGTATACATGGGGGGAGGAGGGGGCGATACATTGTTACAAGTGTCCTCTCTTCAAAAAGGCACTCAGTTACATTGAAAATATAAATTATTATATACATTTTAAAATTCCTTCACGAACAAATTGGTATCTACGAGAGAAGTGTTGAGACAAAGGTTCTTAGGATTTTTTAAGTGACTAATTTTTCAATTTTCTATATGGGTTAAAACTTTGGGTTGAGACTCAATAATTTAAACTAAATATTTTAAGATTTACCGTATATACTCGCTTATAAGTCGGTCCGCCTATAAGTCAGTTGTATTTTTTGAGGTTATTTTGGAGGGATTTGCCATTGACCAGCTTATAAGTTGGTATAACTTTTTCCCAGAATCGGTTGATAATTTCAGTTCAATGCTTTTACGTTTTTCCTGGTTTTAATTAACAATTTTAGAAATGACGCCGATATTTAATTTTCAATCGTTAAAAAATAGGTATTACACATTAAAGATAAAAATAAAATTATTGAAATATATGAATACTTGTGCTTTATGCATAATCTTAGAATATAAACGATAAAATATTTCCAGACTTTGTTCAACAATAATCATCGGAAACGCTTGAAGAATGCTACATTTCGCCGTCCAGAAAAATACCAATCTTTTTATGACTCGACTATAAGTCGGACATAGAGTTTTGGACCAAAATTTAACTCCTCAAAAACGACTTATTGGCGAGTATATACGGTAATACTGCATTTGACAATTCTTGAATCGAAAGCACTCTTGTTTCCATTTAAAAATCAGTTGATTTTCATACAAACTTTTAGCCAAAATTGCGTGGATTTAAGCATTGATGCAAGGGGGAAAATCCTACTCTGAGAAAGAACGAGGGGAAATTTGGCTCTAGTGTGAGATTTGGGGGAAGTCCTACTCTAAAGTACAGATTCCGAGGGAAAACTGGTTATGGGGGAAATTCTACTCTACAACACCGGTAGTTTATAAAGACATAGGAGGAAAGTATGCAATGGCACTATGAATTATAAGAATTTCTTAATTTGTAAAAAAAAGTCATAAATAACCGAAATCCATCATTTCTGAGAAGTCGATAAACGAATTCTGCAAAACATACACATGTATGTACTAATGACAACTTTGCATTGCTCCCGGACATTTTACTGTAATTTACTGTATAGTATATTTTAGGTAATATGTTTATATTCAATGAAGTTGAACTCCAGACTCTACAGATAAGAGGTCCCCAACTTTTATTTCAATATTTATGAAAGGGGGGAGGGTTGTCCAGGATGCCTATAACACATTCGAAGTTTTTTTCCCCGCTCCTTGGAAATTAGTTGCGATTGATTGACACTCCAGTGAGTAGTTGTTCCTCTTCCTTGATTTATTTATTTAATAACTTATAAATTTAATACAGGAGTGGTATCAAGATTCATGTTTTTATTTGTCCTGTAAATTCAATAACATAGTCATAGAAAAATAGTACTACAACCTCTCTCTCTCTCTCTCTTCATCATCTAAGATTCGCACAGAAAAATTAATTGACAGAAGTTGAAATCACATTGTACATATTGCATTAAATGCCGGAATACGCTAGTTATAAATAAGGTACAAAATGATTTGAATAGATGAATATAATCCTCACAGCGTCAGGAATTCTAAGTCTACTCGTGGCCCCTACGAGTGGATTCAGGATCCCTGGCGTTGTGAGGATGAGATGTTCCCTGCATATGACACAGGTACTTCGAAATAAGTACATTATGATAATAGCGTGTGGGAACATGATCATCAAACTTTATGAAGCTGAGTTCATACAAAGTTTATTTTTACTGTAAAATACAACTTAAAAACACCCCAACTTAAGATTACAAATAAAACTGTTATATAATCAACAACTTCGACAAAAAAAGCTCTTCCCAATTTGTAACTGCAGCAAAAATAAATAAATAAATAAAAATAAAAAAAAATGAAAACGTGAATTGGGACGTTGGTGTTGTTTCAGTTGATTACGCACCTGCTCGACATACGGATATTTAGAACGAGGTTTTTTTCTATAATCATTTGATAGTTGGACAGCATACTAAAACAAGAGTATAATACAACACTGTAAAGGATCCATAGAAGTATGAAATAAAAGAAAATAAACTGATAGATGAAGTTATGTTCCCCCAAAATTAAAAGAAATACAATGTAGGATGATGAGGAATCAACAAAATAATTTAGTCAGGTACTCAAGTAATACATCTTAAAGTAAATCTATTTATTTGCCTTACTTGCCCCCATTTGTCACTATCACCATGAAGACTAAACAAAACAATACTGTTTGAGCATTAAATTAGTAAGCCTATCTTGTTCTATTTCATATTGGCCTCTATCGGTCTTTAAGAATATATAATGTACAAAGATAAGATACATGTGTATATTTGTTTCATTTTTATTTATCTATTATTTGCAACTCGATCAGACCATTAAAAACTATAAAAGTACTTTTGTATTATATATTCAATATAAAAATTCTTGTATAGTTCTTTCATACAAATGACTTTTCAATTACATTATTTACAGTGATAAATTATCATAGGTGATAGCAAAGTAGAATAGCTTCTTTCAGAAGAATACAAAAAAGAAGCCCTGCACACTTCACCAAGTGGTCCAGAATTTCAAAAATCTGGTAAAAATACATTGCTTATAATTGCTTATTACAACTTTGTCCTCTTAGTCCAGGAATAGAGAAAAAATATTTTCAAAGAAACAATAACTTTTCATAATAGATTCAACACAGCTCCACCCTAAAACCAGAACCCCTGATCCAGAAGCCATTAAATTCATAATTTTGGAAAAGGCACACTTGCTAATCTTAACCATGTATTAGATTTACCTGCTTGATACCTGGGAGAAGATAAAAAAAGAAATTGAAAGAAATAATGCATTTTCACTACAAACCAGTAATCAATAGAGCCCTCCCCAAACATCAGAACCCCTGATCCTGGGGCCACAAATTTCACAATTTTGGAAGAAGCACCCTTGCTCATTACAACTATGCTCTTTGTTTATTTGCTGAATACATAGGAGCAGAGAAGAAGATTTTCAAAGAATAAATGCATTTTCACTATGTAATCAAAAGAACCCCACCCTTACACCAGAACACCTGATGCAGGGGTCATGAAATTCACTTTTTTGGAACATGCCCTTCTCATCAGAACTATGCACTTAGTTTGTTTGTTGTAATACCTAGGAGAAGAAAAAAAAGATTTTTCAAAGAAATAATACATTTTCAATATATAATCAATAGAGCCCCCACCCACCAGAACCCCTGACCCTGGGGCCACAAATTTCACAACTTGGGAAGAGACACCCTTGCTTCGCATATCCATGCATCTACATGTACTTTCCTAAATATACAGAGGGAGAGAAGATTTTTAAAGAGTTTATGCATTTTCACTATATGTCATTAGAGCCCTAGCTGTCTTAACTCCAGAGCACCTGATCCTGGGGTCATGAATTTCACAATTTTGGTAGAGGACTCAATCCTTGCTAGATGTTCAAAAGGAAAGAAAAATATTTTATGATGCATGTAACACTAATTTTGATGATTTTAGCTCCACCCTTTTTTGTACCCCCTCACCCATTGATGCCATTTGCCAAATTTGGTTAAAATTGGTTCAGTGGCTCAAGAGAAAAGCTGAATTTGTTCAAATTTCAAGTTTACGACTGACGAATGACGCGCATTGCAAGACAACGGATAAAAAACCCAACAGAAGACGTTGGTAAGGTTAAAGCTGGACATCGTCTGCTCCTCTTGAGATGGCTTCTAGAGTCTGGGTGCTGATGCTGGTTCCGTTAGCTAGAGTCTGTGTGGCACACGTAGAACGACTGATGGTACTGCTGAAAGAGGAAGAGGGCCGCAACCGACTCATCATTTCCATATCTGTAATAGAAATGTATAGTGAATGCACTGCGAATGCAATAAAGAACACATATAAATGGAACGCAATTAATTTTCTTATGAGGAAAATATTATAAAGATGTTTTATCATTATGTGCTTATGGTCTGCCAACAAAATTCAAAGTTGTCTATCCTTGGCACATATAAACAGTGTACAAAATCTAGAATCAATATAATCCCAACTCATTTTTTTTTAACTTTTGTAATAAAGAAATCAAGAATCACGAATTTTTAGTGAACAAACGGACAAAACTGAAGAAGAATTCAATCAAATTCCGATTCAGTATCTCAAAATTTAATGCTAAAAATTTCCGGAAGACAAAATGATGGAAAGACGGTTACCCCCTCTCCAGTACTGGACTAAAAAGCATTCCTACATACACAAACAGTGTGTTTCAGAAAACATGCATTTTTGATTGATTACATTTTACTGGTGTTTTATCCAATACCATCTTTCAACATATCAAATTAAAAGGCACCTTTCAAAATTTATTCTTATGAAAATAAATTTTTTTAATAGATAATGAGTTAAAAAAATATATATATATATATAAAATTTCACTTAGTTACAAAATATTTTCTAAATGGCGTCATTTTTGTTGAATGAATAAAACCTATCTAATTACTAGTGTAAAGAGCCTCTGTGTAATGAGTCTGGTCTCATTTTTTTTTTTTTTTTTTTGACCATTTTGAGTTCATGTTTTTGGGGTGTGTTGTATAAACTGTGATATTCAAATGTCCCCACAAATAAAAGTGCAAGGGGTTTAAATCGGGTGATTATGGAGGCTTAATGTTCTTGGATTCGAAAGAGTTGAATCGGCCTCCAAATATCTGTTCTAACCAGTTCAAGGTGTAAGATTCAAATCATATTTCAGCATCCCATATACACTTGACTTGCTCATTTTTGAGTTTTTAAGTCATTCACAAGCTCAGTCATATTACTTAAGGATTTCATGCGAGTCTCGATCTGAAACAAAATCTCTTTCATCAATAACATTCTCAATGTTTACATGTGTTCTAATTGTCTTTGTTTTCCAAATTTTCCATTTCTTTGATCATTTACTGTTTCATTAGATTCAAACTTTTTAACCATTTTGTACAACTTCCACTTAATTGCATTAAGTTTTTTACATTCTGGAAACCTTATCTTCAATGTTCTAATCACAAGATTTGCTTTGATAAAGCAGTTTCGGAACTTCTGATGATTGTTTATTATTAAATTCCACTTTTAATAAGAATGAAATCATCTGTTTTCTTGTAATGTCAAATCTGACGTCATAATTAATTCAAATGATAATTATTTACCAAAAATTTTTATTAGTAAAAACTAAAGCCTTTTTAGGCTTTTTAAAAAAAATATAATCTTGTATAAAACTTATATATGTTTCTTTTTGCATATTAATTGAGGAAAGTAAATACATGTACGTTTTCTGAAACACCCTGTACATGCATGTGAGAGAGAGATAGAAAATTTTCAAGACTGAGGAGACCGTATCTTGTCTAATAAAAGATCAATGGATATCGCTTTTATATTCTGTCATACTAATTAACACGTTAGGAATCGATATCATCTTCTACGCTGGAATTTATGGCACTTCCAATAACTGGATAATCAAATAAAGTGCTTCGGCCCTGCGACAAAGTCAGGAGAGGACGAAGGACCAAGAATTATGCTTAACCTCTTCGGAACCTTGCTCTCCGCTAGATCCCCTAGACAATGATAAACATCTTTTCATTGACCAAATTAATTTCGTCCGTCTTATTCAATCAAGATTGTTTTTGTAATCGGCTTATCAATATGCACGGTACCAGAGCAGCCGCACATAACAAATATTTTAACAGGAGGAAACATACAAATGACATTTTGGTCCTATATTAACAATATGTCTATGACCAATTTTATGTTTAACAACAGACAAATAAGCTCTGATATTCCGTCTTTTCTCCCTTCCCATTAGGACTACGCAGTCCAAATTAACAATTCAAAAATAAATTTTGGGAAGTGTTTGATATTTTAAGGTGATTGACATGAACCACTTAAAATTCTCCGACTTTGATATACCATGGTCTTAGAATTCTTACCTTTAGTTGAGCAGCTAAGAGTTTTTGAATTTATTTGATTTTCTTATCACCACCGAACAGACTAAGCTGTGTCAGGATTATTTCTTACCTCCGTAATCTGACTGGACAGATTGAGCGGTGTCCTGTCGTCCATTAGAATGGTAACTAGAATGTATACTTGAGTAGCAATTGTTAAGTTTTGGAGATGGCATAACAGGCTTAGCTGCCAACAGACTCTGCCGAACATTTCTCTCCGGATGAAGAATTATAATATACAGTTTTGTGGCAAACATACAAATCAGTCCTACAGTGGCACTTAAGCTAATGGAAAATGACATGGTCGCTATTCGAACGTGAATGTTATGTTCAGTACTGAAATAAATTGACACAAATGCTAACCATATAATACAAGTTGTGTACATTGTAAATCCAATATACTTTGATTCATTGAATGCTTCTGGGATATTTCTAGTCAAAATAGCGTAGAATGTACAAATAATCACGAGAACAATAGGGTATGTGAAGCCAACCATATACCAAGCTCCAACCGCATCATTGCAAACTAGCTGATGGTCGTCACGGTCTGCATGATACGATACAGCCCGGGGCGGACGAAGCAACAGCCACACAATGCCTACGGCATTCTGGAATGCTACAAACGCTCCGCAAATGAAGAGCTGGGACCGTGGACTGATGAATCTTGGTCGTTTTGAAGTCCTTTTTCCTGCTCTAAAGATTCTAGATATTCTGTTGGTTTTTGTGAGTATGGCGGAATATATTATAGAGAACGACAGTCCAATACAGTACTTCTGAGCGCCGCAAGTGATCTCGCTTGGTTTTGAGACCAGTATGAAAGTCATAGCATAACACATAAAAATTCCAAATAAAAGAACAAAGCTTAACTCCCGTCCAGATGCCTTCACTACTGGGGTATCATTGTACAAAATAAAGATCACCATGACAACAGCTGTTGCTATGATGCCGAGAGAGGCAAATGCCATGGCAACCAATGCTATGGCATCTGTATACCTACAAAATATTAAATTAAAATTACGCAAATGTGACTTAATCGTGTACGAAAATTTCTACATGTATTATATTATTACTGTTGATCTTGAAATCTTAAATCATGCACTATATGAGGAATATGATACTATTTATGAGGAATCAATTGCTTCCAATACCAGTTAAAAATGGATTCACATTCTGATTGAATATTCATTAAAGGATAATGTGATTTCTTTCGTTTTTTGTGCCCCCATATGAGACATACTTATATGGTGTTATGTTGGTTTACAGATGTTCCACACATCTGACATTATATACAGAACTATTTGTTCGTTGCATGAATACTTCCCCAAGTGGCTGGAAGTAATTGAAAAAACATTTAACCATCTCAAATGAACCCTGCTTGGGGATTTAAGATTGCTGTCCCAGGGTATAATTAAGGTTTCAAACTATGCACACAATTAACCTTTTCTAAGATATATCGATCGACTTCAGTATGTGTGAAAACCTGCTGACATGCTGACGCAATTTATAAAATATTTTGAATAGCAAATACATTTAAACACGTTTATATCGGATCTACACGGACATGACTACAAAAATCACTTCATACTACAGGGTTCACTTTTAAGCATTTTCTTTAAAAACAATTTTTAAACAATTAAATAAACTCAGACAATAAATCTACCTCAGATAAATAATTGGGATTTCTACACAGTGCTGCCTATCAAAGCTGGGGATGGTCCCCGATGGGCAGTCCACGCATGCGTACTTGGTGGGTAGATACTGGAACAGATGACAAGGAGAACAGGTCCAGCAGCATGCTGAGCCGTCAATCATATGATGGGCCTCTCCTTTCTGACACGGCCGACTACACACTGATTCAGGATGTTTGGGCTCTTCCCAGCGAAACTTCATATCAACCATCTATACGTTGCAGAATATGTACAACATATAGTTAGCATAACCCGTACAGTAGCATAATAACGAGACCACTCCTTATGATGATGTTTAACCAATAAACTTTATTTTTTATGATATATTTTCTTATTTTCCTTTAAAAATATTTTTATCTGTTCTTATAAACAATTTCAGAAACTAATGGTTGTACAGATGAGAAAAGTGTACAAATGAGAAAAGTGACGATAGCGAACAGTGATCGATCTTCAGGAAAAGATGTAAACAGGGCATAAAACATGGACCCCTGGAAATTCCAGAGGTAGGATTAGGTGTCTAGGGAGAGTAATAAAGCACACCCCTATTGACCACAGGTGTCGCATAATTTACGTTCCGGATACTTCGCGTTCCGGCCGGAACCTTAAAATCATAATATTGGTTCCGGATTTTACTGTAAGTTTGGTTCCGGCCATGGCTGCAATCTTCGAATCGCGGTATCTCTCAATTATTATATGCCAGTTTTCATTCTACACTGAACAGTGCTGAACCATAGAAGTAGTTTTTTCCTTGAGGATTAAGCATAGCGCAGCGGCATGTCATTTTCATGTGGCGCAATGTTCTTTTTATAAGGCGTCATGCCCTTTTTGTACAGCTATTTTTAAAAATAATTGAATAAAAAGCCCAAGTAAAGATCGTGAAATACGCTTTCTGATAGATATAGACCGAATAAAATTTGGTCACAGGAAAGGCTTTGTTTATCTAATGCATACAAATTAAGTCCCTTTGTTTATTTAGTGCATGTCAGGTGTGAATTTCTCGCTTGAATGCACGCAGACCCCGTATTTACAGGGTAAAGAGGATAGAAGATAAACTAGACTGAGATTACAAAAGCCTAAAAAGAAGCTCAATGTCAAAGATTTTGATCAGTAAATTTTAATTTTATAATCTGATAAAGTAGAGAATTAAATACGAAATGGTATATGTATTTACAGAGATGCATTCTCTGTTTAAATGATATTACAAATGTTGCAAATTCCACAATGTCGAGCCTCTAATACATGGGTCCCATTCCTCATAGATATTATCACTTGGCATGAAAATATGATTTATATTCCATTAGAAATAAACAAACATAAAAAATATAATTCACTGATGAAGATAGTTATGTAGTTTTTGTGATAAATTAACAATGGATATTTCATGAATATGTGGTTTATTCTGCAATGAAACAAACATGAAAACATAACGATATGGTTTATTCCCGTAGAATAAACAAACACAAGTAATTAATGAAAATTATGTTGTTGGTTTTTAAAGACCGTAGGAAGAAAAAAAAGCAAGGTTGAAATATGAAAAGTAAGGACCAGCAATGTTGATTGTGAAAATAGCAGTCAGATAAACTGAATTAGCTCAAATATTTTAGTAAAATCAACTGAAGGTTTTAGCAAATTTTAAATGATTTTTTTTTTATGTTTTAAAGGCCTTGAAATGCACTTTTCTGTAACTTCGATGAATGTCCTACCCACCCACACCTTAAGATATTTGGGAAATAACTTTTATTTCTTGGTGTTTTTTTATACATAAATTACAATTTTTATGACACTTTAAAACTTTATCGTTTTATACATACCATTATGTTTAATGAATATCAAAATTTGTGGAGAAAAAATTCAAATATATACATGTAGGCAGAAGGCAAGCTGCAATAATATAACATCCCTCCATTTTTTTTAAAAATCTCAGCCCCCTCCCTCAAATATAAAAAAAGGAGGAGGTTATAACAGCTCCAAAAATTAAAAAGAAAGTGTTAGTTAATTATCTGAACCCCCCCCCCCCAAAAAAAAAAAATGAGGAGTTTAAATTATAGCGTCTGCAAAAATGTAAAATTGTTAATTCATTTTTTTTTATCAATTGCAAATTAAAAATAATTATAATTCCAGGTTACAATTTCTGAGAGTAATATCAAACATTTTTGTTTCCTGTTCATTGTATTCTACCTTATAAAAAGATAATAAAGTATTTTCAAACATTTTTGTAACTAAGTTGTTTCTGTTCCACTTTATAACGAAGATAAAGTAGCCCGGAACCATAATTATTGTCAGAATAAACGTTCCGGGTTACAATTGCTGAGAGTATATCCAAATATTTTTGTTACTAGGTTGTTTCTTTTCCACTTTATTACAAAGATAAAGTAGCCCGGAACCAAAATTATGGTCATAATTAACGTTCCGGGTTACAATTGCTGAGAGTATTTTCAAACATCTTTTGTTACTAGGTTGTTTCTTTTTCACTTTATTACGAAGATAAAATAGCCCGGAACCAAAATTATAGTCATAATTAACGTTCCGGGTTACAATTGCTATGCATTTTCAAACATCTTTTGTTACTAGGCTGTTTTTTTTTTCACTTTATTACGAAGATAAAATAGCCCGGAACCAAAATTATGGTCATAATTAACGTTCCAGGTTACAATTGCTATGCATTTTCAAACATCTTTTGTTACTAGGCTGTTCTTTTCACTTTATTACGAAGATAAAGTATCCCGGAACCATAAATAATGTTCCGGGTTACAGTTTCTGATATTGTACTTTCATGTATATTAGGCCAAACAAAAAATATGTGTGGTTCCGGTTTCACTTCCAAAAAAATTAGGGTAGGTAGGTAGGGATTTTTTTTTCAACAAAATAATTTTCTTAATTTTTCTAAATAATACCTATCACTGCTTTGCAAATGGCATTTAGATGTGATGTTATAATATACTAGTCAATATTGGTAGGGGACACCTACATGCTAGCTTGCTTTGGACTTAATAATTATATTAAACACTTCCACTATGTTTTGCAAGGTGGCCGTCATTGCTGAAACTAAAACTTAAATCAGAGCCATTGATGGAAATCGGGGAAAATTCCGGAAAAAAATATGAAAATTGCCAAAAAAAAGTTTAGGGTCGGGGGTATAAAATAGGGAAGGTCGGGTAACCGGAACCACACATATTTTTTTATTTGGCCTTAGTTGAAACTGATTCGCCGAAAAGCATTTGTTAAAAAAAACACGATTACCCGCTGAAGGTGTATTTCTTGTGACAAGACTTTCTCTAGGATACCAACAATTTTGACCTTGGCCTTGGAGTTTGAACTATTGAAAAAAATTAACTTTAACCTTGGCCATAACTTTTGACATTTGATGCTAGGGCTTTTGTATTTCACATATATTTCATGTGACGGGTCCTTTCCCTGGGTGTCATTGATTTTGACCCTTTGAGTTTGACCCACTTTTTAAAAACTCTAACCTTGGCCATATATAACTTTTGAACGGTTGGTTCTTGGGCTTTCATATTTCACAGGTATTTTCATTGATACAAGTCCTTTTTGGGAAAACAACATTTTGATCTCATGACCTTGACCTTAGAGTTTAACTTGCACTTTTCACAAAAGACTGCCGTACGGGAGCATCAGTGTTTCACAAACGCATTTTGTTTTTTATTACTTCTCACTTTACCTAATGTGTTTACGATAAAGCGTTTGAACTTTTTTTTAACTATTAATCTAAAACAATTCCAGTATTTAATGTGAGCATGTAACCCTGTCTTTGACACATAATCTTTCAATTTTAGTCTTAAAAGTTTATTATTATTTATTACTTGCTTTAGACATATATCTTATCGCATTTCAACAATCACAAACAATACCAAATAATACATAATGGCATTGTATGGTATCCGTATCTTATAACAAACCAGGCAGGTTTTTTTAAACAGTCTTCTTGATGGGAAGAAAAATCAAGAGTTGTGCCGCACTTCTAATATTCTCTCACACTTTGAGAATACCATTTTGATATCCTTTCAAACTGTGACAGAATATCACTTTATTCAATAAATAAATTAGAGTATTTCACTGCTAAAAATATTATAAATACTGTAGATGTTAATCAGTTTCTAATTAAGCGTGGATTTGTCCTAAACGTGCTAGTAATGACCTTTAAGCTTGTAAAGTGTGACAATAAAGCATTTCTAAGCTTGTTAGTTGTTGATTTTATAATAATTTAGTTTTCTTTTTCAGAAGGTACCCGCCAGCACGTGATGATTGCCATCCAATTACATTTGACTTGTGAAATTTTAGTTGCTATGTTTCATGTACATGTGTGACAGTGATCAGAGATGTGTATTAAATAAAGTAATTTCAATATTCAGTGTTAACTGTATATGTACAAACAATTTCTAAAATGAAGCAGAATATTGACAAATAAGTTGATGATACAAGAATATCAACAATCTTGTGTAAAGTCAACATTTCACAAATTCGATGGTCGATACAATTATCTTAATTGCAAAAACAATCTGTCAATGGGTAGAATGTTGACTGAATTTTTCCACACAGATTGCTAAGCAATTACTCTCACACTGAATTGTCTATGGATTTTTCATTTTACCTGATCATGACAAAGAGTATGGTGTGACTGGTCAACAGGAGATGCTTACACCTCCATGGCACTTAATATCTCAATGTCGCATTGAAACCTACAGCATGATACTTTTTTATTTTCATGTTTAAGTTTCTAAATAAATTCTAATTCATATGAATTCCAAAATACGTCCGCATATAACAGGGCACAATTAATATCTATGGAAATTCTAACAGATTGTTGGAAGACCTGATCTCCAAAAACTAAAGAATGTTGTCAGAAACTCAAGCATCTTTTTAATATCAACTTCGGAGTACTTTTGTGTAGAATCAGAATGTTTTTAAACAAAACAAGCATTCTGAGAGTATTGCATTAGCAATACTAGTCCCCTACCGGCAAGTGTGATCTGGTTCCCGTTAAGAATTAAAAATGTCATAATTCCGTCAAAAGTCAATGAAGCGGAACGAAATGCAAACTTGATCTGTAACTCATCAAGATACACTCACATACCAAAAATCAGCTCAATATCTGCAAGCGTTTAGGAAAAAAATGTGGAAAACCAAGTGGGACAGACAGACAGAGGGACAGACAGACAGACGGACGGACAGACTCAGAGGAAACCTATAGTCCCCTCCGGTTTCACCGGTAGGGGACTACAGTCGTTGAGTTTTATTCAATAGTTTTTAGCTGTGCCGTCGAAACCTTTGCTAGAGTCGGGAATTTAGAAATTTTAAAGTTCGTCATATTTTGCTGGCATTACATTGATTGTTTAAAAAATAAATTTTATCCGAGAGAAAAAAAATACACAAAATTTTTTATTGAATTATTACAGGAAATTGCTTTTCTTTATATTAAATGCTTTATAATTTTTCCGCTAAAATTAATGTCTATTCACACCTTTGCAGGTCCTCCTATTATGTTCATTCATGTATTGTGATTTAATTATATACTTGGCTTTACAAAAACACAATGGGTGTTTGAAAAAATATATATAAAGATATTAAAATATTATCCAATAATTTTTTTAATCGTAAATATAATTCATCTATTAGCATTACCAGCTGATCAGGGTGCCCTTTGCCTAAACTCATTTAAAATTGCGGAAATGACACAGCGATTCGCATGACTGCATATTGTATCGATAGAAGGGAGTCATAAAACAACATGATGGGGTATGTCAATGTGTACAAGTTTCACATCTTCGCGTTCTTTCGTTTACAAAGAAACAACATAATTACGTATAATTCCACGGATTATAGTATTGGTACATGTACATGTATCAAGACCGTATATTGGGACTTCTTCTAAATCGATATACGTTTAAATCCTGCTGCATCGTATAACCCGTTAAGAGAAAGAAAAAATCCAAAACATTTGTAAATATTAATCATAAATAAAGTTTTTAAAAGGGTGTTTGGATGCCCGGAACGTTTATTATGACCGAAACCAAACTTACGCGGGCCGGAACGTTTATTATAGCCCGGAACCAATATTATAGGTATTTAGCGTTCCGGCCGGAACGCTAAGTTACCCGGAACGTAAATTATGCGACCGGTCATACCTGCCGTGAGCCTTATTCATGTAAAGCATTTAGTGCTACATTTTAATATGAAAAATAAAGGTCTCAAGACCAAAGCCCCTAGGTTGAAAGCACTGATTATAAAGAAGAAAAGCGGAAATGGAAAAAGGACTAATTTCATATCTGAATATTCTACCTGTTCCATTGTGTAAATTCGATCAGAGGACTGGCTGTCTAGAAATAAATGTTTTCCTAAAAAGAAACCAATGGTCTTCCACTCGTAGCGCCCTCTTGTAACTTGTCTGTAATTCAGGATACGATAACGCGCTGGGGCGTCACCATTGGGAAGGAATGCAAACTGTTGTCCAGATAAACCTAGTAAACAGAACTGATAATTGATTAATTCTTGTGATTGCAGATATTATACTACAGATAGCGGAACTTCCGTCAACACAGTTTTATTTACTTTTTCTTGTACCAACCTACTTAATACTTGGATAATATACAATGTAATCAAAATTAGACTTGTATTTTCGCTCCTCTATAATAAGCTTCAATACAAAATGAATTGAAGCGTATAGTAGAGGAGCAAAAATAAAAGTCTAATTTTAATAAGATTGGGATGATTTACCGACTATAAATTAAATGCCAACTAACAACTAAACTATATGAAAAGCAGAATGACTTCAACTTTTCCATCATCAACTTTTCCTATATATCCCAGAATCACCTGCAAATGGTCTTTATGCCTCCAACTAATATGGTACTCGAGCATTTTCGGAGTATACGATCAATAGTTTCACAGTGACAGGCTACTGACAAATACGTTGGTGTAACAGGGTTTTCAATTATTTTGTTTAAAGTCAGCAGTTTGCAAATTCTATTTTCGTTATAATGACCTTGTTTGCAAATACATCCTATTGTTTAGGTGTATACAGATTTAGTTACTGAGTAGGACAGTTACAGTCACAGGATATGACAGGTAAAATCAGAGAGTAGGAAAGGTATAGTTACATAGTAGGACAGTATACATACAGAGTAGAACAAGTACAGTTACAGAGTAGGCTATGTATTGTTACAGAGTAGAACGGTATAGTCCACAGGCCCTTAGATCGCTTTAAAAAATTAGGTGTTAAAAAAATATCTTTTTTATACACCCCAATTTTTTAAAGTCAGATTTAAGCGATCCAAATGCCTGTGGTATAGTTACATATAAGACAAGTTTAGTTACAGAGTAGAACAGGTATAGTTACAGATAAGAAGTATAGTTACAGAGTAGGACAGGTATAAATACAGGGTAGGAAAGGTATAGTTACAGAGTAGGACAGGTATAGTTACAGAGTAGGGCAGGTATAGTTACAGAGTAGAACAGGTACAGTTACACAGTGGGATAGTTGCAGACTATGACAGTTAACATTACAGAGATGAACAAGTAAAGTTACAGACCATGACAGGTATGGTTACAGAGTAGGGCAGGTAGAGTTACAGAGTAGGACAGGTAAAAATAACACAGTGGGATAGTTACAGTGACATTTAGTCATTTACACAGTAGGACAAATTAAGTTACTGAGAATTGTAAGCTTGTGATTTACATGTATTTGAGTAGTTTTAAAATATTTCATATGAAAAAAGGTAAAGGAATTTTAGAGATATCATTTGAAAACTTAAGTATAAAAAAGATAATGATGCACTGACAGACACACGAACGAAAGTATGCAAGTGTGTGTACCTGTGAAATTCACTTTGACCAAATAGTCTTTCAGGAGTTCCCCGTCAATAGGCATCATAGCATCGCATAAACCAGATACGTCTCCACAGAAATCTGCCAGCATATTCTGCAAATCAACAAAACTTGTAATATTTAGTTATCCGTGATCTCATACGACATGAATAATCTTTAAAATGAAGAACAATAAGTAAAACTTACCGTGAACGCGTGTGCAAAACTCATTATAGCATCACTGACGAATTGAAGCTGAGCCTCCATTTCGAATTCTTGTGGAAAAATCCGCTCATTTCCGCTACACGTCACATTAAAACCGTCATTGTATGGCGTCCAATTGCTTCCTGGATATTTACATCTGAATTGTTGCTCCCAGAATTCCACAAACCAAGGATTCCTTTTGTTGTTCCGAGGCGTGAGATTAAGAAAATAATCTTTGAACCCCTTTACTTCAAATGCTAATGGTTGAACTGTCACGGCGCCTTCTACCTACCGGGAGAAATAACGAAAATTTTAACCGTAAATTGATAACCAGCTTTGCAAATTCATCTTTGCAAGTCAAGGGTATTTTTGGTTGGTGGGGAGCATTGGGGACCGAAAACCCTTGTTTCGAAGATGTAGAAAATCAAGCTTAAGTTATTCTAAACATGCTCCAACCTGAGTCAAAAATATACAGTTTTTATAATGATGTCGGTGAATTGAACTGTCATACCTACCTCAACTTCGTTGCCATCAACAGCGAGGCTCCTCCCTCCCCAACCGTCACTTCCGATCCAGGAGAACCAGCGAGAAGCGTTCTTCCGTCTGACAGCGTGCATCAACTCCCCAACCTCCTGGTCTGAGCCAAACACAATCACACCTATAAGGCAGGGGGAAATTTTGGATATAAGGAATGTACAAAAATTGTAATGAAATTTTGAACATGTACTACGAATATTTATGAAATGTATATTAAAACAAGAGGCTTAGAGCCTCAACGATCAGCTGACATAATATTTATGACAAGTTTTTCACGCTACATTGTTTTTTTTTTTGTCCCCTTCTTTCAATTAAAGTGGGAGATAATAATTTGGACCTGTCCATCTGTCCGTCAGTCTATCTGTCATTCTGTCTGTGTAATACTCTGTTTCCTGACGATACCTTAAGAAGTCTTTGAGCTTTTTCAATGATTTATATCACAATTTCCTATGGCCTAAAAAATGCCTCTTTAAATTCAAGGTCAAAAATTCCTATATTGCAAATAATAGTTGATAACTCAAGTTTCTTGGAGCTTTTTGAATGAAATTTTATAATAACATAACTCCTAGTCACTTTAAAAAGATCCCCATTTAATTTTAGTACAAAAGGTCAAAGGGCAAGGTCAGAAAATCAATATCGCAAAAAATGGTTTCCTGATGGTAACTTTAATTGTCCTTGAGCTTCTTCAATGAAATCTTTTAACTCCGAATGACAAAAAGAAGAGACCTATTGATTTTAAGGTCAAAAAGTCAAGGTTAAAAATTCATATCTTGCATAAAATGGTTTCCTGGTGATAACTTTAGTTCTGTTTGAGATTTTGCTATGAAATTTATACCTGTGATCAATATGACTTATAGAAGACCACTATTGATTTTGAGGTCAAAGAACAAGGTCAGAAATTTTATTCTGTATACATAGTTTTAGGATGATAACTTTAGTTCTCTGTAAGCTTTTGCAATGAAACATAAGATCATGAATTTCTTTTGCTTAAAAAGATCCCTATTGGCTTTACGGTCAAAAGCTGAAAAGTCAAGATCGACTTTTTTCTTCCTCTATCTGCATTTTTTTCATGTCTTCCACCCTTTTCTTTTTTCCTAAAGCGGAGGACACAAATTGCCTGAATTAACTTCTTTTTTTCCTGTTTATCCATCTAAAACGAGAGTCCTAACAGCTATTCCCTTGGTTCCAAAAACTGAGGATGTTTTCACCATGGAAATAACTTATACCAATATCAAACGTTGCTTTTGGGATTCTTTTAAATTACTTTATAATACAATTATAAGAGGCTCAATGGTCTTAACGGTCACCTGAGTATAATGTAACGATCCATAGATTAAAACAAAAATACACGTAAGCTGATAAATTAAGCTATGTTGCTTAAAAGCAAGAGAAATATGATCATCATGGATCAGCACAATATTAATTTAGAACTCGATAACAAATCTTAAAGTCGATCTATTTGTTTGCCTATACTATTATTCCAATAACATCGTGTCGCTTTGTTTAATGGAGCGTGCTAAAGTTTCAAATGTTGATCAACATATTTCTCATCGAATGGATGTTTGATTTCAATGAAAAGAATACTAATTTGCGTATGAACAGAGAAGCCAGCAATGAGCTTTGACTGACCACGTGCTGCTGCTCATTACAAATGCCGTACTCGTAAACATTCATTCAATGCGATTGGCCAGTATCATCAGTGTATTTCTGGGTTCTAAAAAAGTGTCATTCCACTGTATATTAAATAGACCCCCCCCCCGACATGAACCCCTGACCCTGGGGCCAAAAATTTCACACTTTTGGAAAAGGCATCCTTGATCATCATAACCATGCACTTAGTTTATTTGCTAAATATCCAGGAGCAAAGAATTAATGCAATTTCATTATATAATCAGTAGAGCCCAGCAGCAACACCCATTTTCTATCCAGAGATGTCACTACCCGCTACTCTCCCACATACACCTCAGTCAACGCTTGTGACACAAGATCCTTGGAAAATTTGTAAAAGATTAAAAATTTTATTATTGTTTTTAATTTTATTTCTTATCGGTAAACGGGACTTATACGGGATTTATATTAATCATTTGTCCCTTAAAAGGATTTTTAAATTAAATTTTTAATATTCACTACATAGTTCTCAAAAAACTATGATAATAAATCGTTTTGAGGGATGATAGATTTAAAGGATATGATAAATTACCATCTTTATCAATAATTACAAAAGTTAATTACGATTTTAATTTCAAATTTTTACCGTTTAAAATGTGTACAATAATCTTGTACAAGTAGCGTTGGCAGAGGTGTTGGTAGCGTAGCGGCAGGCAACGCTCGATAGAGAATGCCCCAACACCAGCACCCCTGACCCAGATCGAGGCCAAGATATTCACAATTTTGGAAGAAATGCTCTTGCTCATTATAACTAGTAAATACTTGGTTTTATCTGCTAAATACCAAGAACAGAGAAGAAAATTTTCAAAGAATTTATGCATTTTCATTATGTAGTCAATAGAGCCCCGCCCTAACATCAGAACTCCTGACCCAGGGACCAAGATATTCTCAATTTTGGAAGAGGCGGCCTTGCTTATCATAATTATATGCTTGGTTTATCTGCTAAATACCTAGGAGCAGAGAAGTAGATTTTCAAAGAAATAATGCACTTTCACTATATAATCACTCGGCAGAACTCCTGACGCTGGGGTTACAATTTTCACAAATTTTGGAAGAAGGACCTTTGGTCATCATAAACATGCACCTAGTTTAAATGCTTTATATACAGGGTTGCCGAGCGTCTGGGGAAGGAACAGTTGCTTCCTATTTTTTTTTTTTTATCGACTTAGGTCAGTCGCGGCTGAGATTCGAACTCACGGCCTTCCGATCAAGGAGCAAGGAGTAAAGAAGAAGATTTTTAAAGATTGTACTCATTTTGATGTTTTGGCCCAACCCCTAAGGCACCAAGGAGGCAGGGACCATGAAATTCTTAATTTTTGTTCCTCTTCACTCATAGATGTTGAAATTGGTTCAGCGGTTGCAGAGAAGTAGTTGAAAATGTTCAAATGTTAATGCACGACGCACAACGCATGACAACGAACGAAAACGGATAGCAATAGGTCTCCTGAGTGACATAAATCCACTGTCAACAGCAGACTACAATGCAGCATGATTGAATATCATAATTATTAGTAAACATTCTGTTGCTAACATAAATGTTGGCCTATGTTGATTAGGACTAAAGAATTAACTAACTGTATACGAAGACTCATGCGAATCGAATAATTTTATGATTCATGGAATCTTTTCTGACACAAGATGCAAAGGACGGAAGGTTTTTGGCTCTTTGATAAGATGGTAAAATGTTGAGATCTTAATTTATATATTTATCAAGAGAAAGTGACTAATTTGTACCCACCTCGTGCGTTTGATTTCGCCAGTAGTCTTTCCACAGTTTTGTCATAGGTAGCCTCTCCAGCTACACCAGAATCCTTTATTAACTTTTCTGTCGCCGCAATACAGATCTCACTGGCCTTTAAAAGCTTCTCCAATTCGTTGAAACCCTTAAAAAAACAATGTTTCTTCTTAAATACATGTATATTATTTAATTGTTACAGAGCTTAACATATTCCAGAATCAAGATTGCGCCCATTTATTCCCCTTGAGGAGATTTTTCGGGCTCTCACCTGCATTCCGTAACTGGATTCTTCGTAAACCACCGAGACATATGTCCATCCGAACATGCGCACTAGCTCCACCATGGCCTGTGCCTGATGAACATCGGATGGTATTGTTCGAAGGAAGAAAGGGTATCTGTCTCTGCTGCTTAACACCGTACTGGTGGAGAAGAAGCTCACCTAAGGAGGCCAGTCAATATAATGCATTTTAACGTAATTGTTTGTTTGCATGCTCTATCTTTGCTAAAGTTGAAGCAATTACATGTATTAGGCTAATTATAAAAATTAAAAAGTTATCGTCAAAAACTGCAAAAGATTGATTGATTGGTTGTATCTTGTTTTACATTCCATTTAAGAATTTTTCACTCATATAGAGACGTCACCATATACTAGTGAAGGGCTTAGAATTTAGACCTTTGCTCGAGGCACTCAGGGCCATTGAGCAGAGGAGGATCTTTATCGTGTCAACGCCTGTCGTGACATGGGGTCTTAGTTTTACGGTCTCATTCGAAAGACCCGCTAACCGAAGGTTGCTGTCTATTTCTGTCGCGAAGTACCAAAACAATGATCACCAAGATTGTTGTCTTTGAAATCTTGTATTCCCTACATACTTTCGAATTAAATTATTGATAGCAAAAAAGGTCACGTACAACAGAGTTAACACAACAGCTTAAGCTGATGGGCAAAGAGACAGTCGGTTGTCAATCTTTACAATTCAAATTTTAAAAAGTTTGTTTAAGGCTTAAATCATGAAGTTTTGTATTCGAACGCTACAATTTTATCCAAAATGATTACCGGTTATGAGTTTCTGATAGAAAAAAAATATTTGCAATTTTCTTTTAATCGGTAAAAGTGCAATATATTTCTCATTATAAAATAAAATTGAATTTTTATTCTACAAGAAATAATGATAGAATACAGTTATTAATGTTTTGTTTTCCATAAGCTTTTAATCACGAATAACAGTTATTTTAGCGGTATAACCGATAATCAATGGGGAAAAAATTGCAAAAGAAGCGAAATTGAGAAAGTAAATTTTCAATAAATTGTTGCTGCTTGACTGAGTCGGAATCGTCTTCTTAATGAGAATATTGTTAATATTTACTATAGGTGAACTTTTCAAGATAAAGAAAAAATACACGCATTCGTATACCAAATAGCAATATAGCTAATTTCTCAAAGTACGGATAAAGCTAAATCCTTCATGTAAGTTATTGAGGTTTGTTAAATAATTTCTGAAGCATTCCGAATCTTATTCAATTAAATTCTTGCAGTTAAGAGAAATGTTCTTAAAAAATATTAGTTTTTAAGTCATCAAAATCAATTTATATTTTTGAGTGATTGAAGATTTCTACAGCACATGTTCATCAAGAAATCTTTCTTGTAAATTTTGTTATGTTTATAAATTTATTGACCAGTTTAGAAGATCGTGGGATGAATAAAAATTAAACTTAACTATATGTCGATATTTTCACATAATAGACAATATGATAATTCGTTGCGATTTTGTTCTGTAACAGATTTTTAGTGATTTTTCTTAACATTGCTAACCAAGGCTTTAAAAACCCTACTGTGTGTCAAATACCTGCCATTAAATTCACGAATCTTCAACAAATAGACTTTTATTGATATATAATAACATAATTGACAATCATTCTACACCTTGATGTTTGCGAATTGTATTGCAAACAAAGCCTTTTTTCTTGCTATGAAGAAGCTTTTCCCGATACAATTAAAATTTAGAAATCCTGATTTGACCTGTTCAGGTCTACATGACTTTACATTCTTATAAGAACCAGAAGTTAATGTATCTTGTGTTACTATCCTAAAAATGTGGTAATTAAGCAAAACAATTTCTAATTTTCAAAGTTCAAATCAAATGAGCCTACTAGTATCTGTGGTTTGTCGTTATTATGCATTTTATCACTGAGGCACCAGTGTTGTCATAAAAAAAATTCTTTCTACTCTGATTGAGGATTCTTTTTCATCTGGAACAAAATCTGGTTTATGGAACTATAAGTCTTCTAAGATTCAACGTTATTCAATCTTCTAATTTGTTTGACAGAATGTTAAACAATACAGAGATTGCCCAGTAATATTCCAATATTCATTCGGTATAATGTAACAGGTTTGCCATGGGGCAGACTTAATTCATGACACGGAAAGTCCTCCTAATGCATTGAAGGATTCGAGTTTCAAAGGCAGCTTGCGTTTCTCGGAATACCAGTCTGTGATTGATTCGTAAATGAATTAGTTTCACTATTCTGTGTAAAACTTGCTATTTCTACAGGTTTTTGACGGCTGCGCAAACAGGGACTGACATTGAATATAGGCCTGACTTATTACGGAGTATTGACAGGCAAGGAGATTGTTTGGGAACGTATTCTGATATGTTTTATTGTCAAAAAAATTCTCATTTCCTGTCCAAATGTGAGAACGTTTTACAGCTGATGTACGGCGTCACGGTGTTAAATGCGGAGGACTACTGAAATATGGATATGTCATATTGTGTTCGTGTCCACCGACTGATATAGAAGAAAATAAATGTGTTCGCATACTAAAAACAAATTTTGCTAATGTCTAACTATATAGTCTAAGATTGCTTGACAAATTCTGCTTTTTTGACAGAAATACATAGATCACCAAAAGCTTGAACAGTATCTGATTTTATGTTCATTCTTAAGTAATTTATCATTCAAGTTAAATTCAAAATCAAATATTGATAGAAACTGCCTCTTCGCAAGCATAAAGGAAACGTGTTAATCTAATAGATAATAACAGCTTAAGAACTGAGAAATTCTTCAATTTATGCCTATTTAATTTGCCATATTGGAACAATAACAAACGAAACAAATAAAACAGATAAGCTGATTAATGTGTAGGTGGCGTTACTTTCTAAAAAAAAAAAGCAAAACAAAATCATGAGCATTCAGATATACATGAATTCAATGTGTGTAGAATTTATTTTATTTTATACACTAGATGAAATCCCGCGAAAGAGCGGGGAATTGAATTTTTACCACTGCTGACGGAATAATTCCAGTAATGTATCATAGTTTCTACGGACAATTAATTACAGGTATATTGCAGGAAGAAATATTTCATTGAAAATCCCACAGTTGGTTTAGAAGCAGAAGTAGATATAACACTCCCCAATCGGGTCACCTCGTCCTTTTCCGTCGCACGCCAGAAAAAAGCATGCGACGGAAAAGGGCGAGGTGATCCGACCCCCCCCCCCCCTTTGGTCTATTTTTTTAACTTTAAAATCTCAATTTCACTATAATAGTTAATTGACGTTTTCTCTTTACATATTAGCAACTTTATTTTGATACCTGATGTATCATGTTATACGTATTTTATTTCGAGGGTGCTCAGGATAAAAGAAGTGAATGTGCACATTTTAAAAATTGATTAAAGCATATTTTTTTAAAAGCTTATTCATCCATAAAACCGTATTCATCATGTTCATTAACCGACATTTTCTCTTTTGCAAGTTTATTGTTACTATATATATATATATATATATATATATATATATATATATATATATATATATATATATATATATATATATATATATATATATATATATATATATATATATATATATATATATAAATTTGTACTTCGGGTCCGTTGCAACGATGCTCTCAGTGGCGAATATTTCACTGTTTTACTAGTAAACTTACAGTCTTTCGATATATAAAGAACTACGCACGGTAACTCCCGATTCCCGCCTACATTTTACAACCATTTAATTCAATATTGATGAAAATTTGGCCATAAAATCTTTGTTTAATACAAAGAACAGTTCAATGGTAATTGATTAATTATTTTAATTCCAGTGCTAAATAGTAAAATATCCCTAATTCCAGCTCTTGAAATAAGGGGGGTAGACGATATTTTCCACTGAAATCGGGCTATAAAGCATCACCATATTCTGAAATAGTCCTGAATATGAATAAATGTTTCTTAAATCTTTTCTTATGTGTTATGCATATAAAATTAAGCATATATATTAGTAAAATATAATGTTTCAGTTGTAAAGCACTTGGAAATTGCTGAAAAAATAAACATTTTTGTCGTTTTTTGTATATAAACATATGTTCCCCCCCGTGAAACACAAAAAGCTTTGGTATGAATTTGTGAAATGACAGTCCATATTACCCGTAAAAAGGAATTTTTGTTTCACGGGGGGGAAAGATGTTTTAAAAATATTTTCCGTTTTCCGTTGATTTCTATAGTGAAAAACACGAGTTTTACCAAAATTTTAGAGTTATCTCTCGTTGTTTTCCCAAAGAAGTAATGTTTTATGAAAATCCATATAAATATCAATATAAATATTAAAATTCATTCGAATATCTTAACTTTTGAAAATTGACTTGGAGGTAGGCGGGAGAACAATACTATCGTTCGTAGTTCTTTATCCAAATTGCTTTACGTGTTACCATTATTTCCATGTCCATTCACATTGAAAACATTTTTATATCCATGTTGTGATATAATAATGCCTCGTTTTTCTTTTAACATCGGGTTCAATGCCATCTAATGTTCTAGAAATTTATGTGAAGAGCTAGACGCATAAAACTAAGATCGGATACTGGCGAAAACGATTTGCACATTTTGATTTTTAATAAATAATCAAAACTAATTTCTTCTGTATAGTGTAAATCAAGTTTTCACTGAATAATTCATTAATGACGTGCTACCAAATAATTAAACGCTTGCTTGTCGTCAGTTTCATTAAAAATTGCCAGTAACTTAGATACGCCGACCATAACCACCACCGTACTCTCTTTTTGCTATTTCACGACTGTTTATCGAAAATGAAAGTAGACTTTGAATTAAATTTACGATTAGTATGCGAATGAAATCTGAATATAGTTTACGGACATCATCTCATATCTAGTGGAATAATAGGGGATTAAGTATGAACTATGGTGCAGGCGTTTCGAAGTTTATTTGCAAAATTTATTAATTTATACGTACAGATACATAAACATTAAAGTGATGACAAATGACATATCCAGGAAACATTTTTAAAGGCCAACTTGCAGAGAGGTAAAATGTTATCTAACAATTGATCTTAAATTGAATTTTTATGGAAGTGTTTTTCAATATTTCAGGCATAGATTGAAGAAATGTGTCATTTTCTATAAAAAAAAAAAAAACTTGGTTCCCTGAACTCCTCTTACATTTTCACAGTAGCCCAATAATATTTTAGAATAAGTCTGGAGTGTCCTGTAGATGTGCATTTAGGGTTTGAAATTTTGATTTCCACCCTCGGGGCGATTTTGGGTGGAAAACCGACTTTTTTGTAAAATATAGAATTATTTTGGTTTCTTCCCTTGTTACCCATATATGAAGGTGAGTACATTTCAAGGCAAACACCTACGTCCAGGTATTACTGTTTTATGACAGCATCTAGTTATCACCGATTCATACTTGCAAAAAAAAGTGTTTTACATGTATACACGAACGAATTCTACAGTGTATTTAAATACTATTATACTAAATAGTAATGCTTGCACATACATGTATTTGGTGACATAAGAGGGGGCTTAGGCCCCAAACACCCCTCACCCTTAAATCTCCCAGTGGCCTCCTTTGTTAGTAACTTTAAGAGTCTTACCTGTGGAATTTTAAAAAGCTTTAGCAGATTTGCTACTTGTATTGAAGTCACACTAGATGGCGCTCCAATCACCCCAGGAATAATCGGATCTGATCCGTCGTGACACTTGTACTCGGATCCTCCTATGTTTGCTATTGAGCCTGGACAAAATGTAAAATTTAATTTAAAAAAAATTATCTGATGGTGCATAAAACAAAAGATACATGAACTAATAAGGGATTTCAACGCATATTCGAATATCCATCCAATGACTTGATATGCGAGTGTTTATTCATAAGTCGAATATTCGGGGAGTTTTCTTTCAGATACACAAAAAATGATTTCCAAGATAAATTTCACTAGAATAGTAGAAAAATCAACCCTCTTTTTATTTACTTAATCCAGCGATCAATTTTGATCAGCCGACTCCTTTCACTTCTCAATTCATTTAAATCTAGTAAATCATTTCCTTTTGAGTTATGTGTTCCAGAAGAATAATTTTGTCCCCGAATGTTGAGGTTTTCCAGTGTACAATGCATGTTTTTTCCCATATTGTTGACATCACCAGATACTTATATACAACCTTTTCTTCTTTACATGTTGACATCGCAATTTTGACAATATTTTAAGAGGGGTGGTACATGTTAATAACGTGAAGAGTGTAATTATAAAAATAAATTTCAATTAATCAATGAATAACGTTTTTATTACATTGAATCATTCTGTATAATTAATTGACAAGGGCTCAATTTCAGAATAAATACATGAATTATATGTACATGATTGTCTCAGGTTGTGCATATTCATATTAAAAATCATTATCGGAAAATTAGTTATTTAGATTATGTTGGGCAGATATATAGTAAATACGAGTATTTAAATATGATTGGTATACAGAAATCTTGCCCTTGGTAAGACGATTGGTTCATTATTTGGAGTTTCTAAAAAATATTTTATATTTTTTAAAATGAGGATTTGTTTGTATACACTTAAAAGTATATTTATTTCAGACATTGACAGATATGAAATATATTGTACAATTAAACGTCTGAACCCAAGTTTACTTCCAAATACCGACCAAAATATGCCATGAGGGTATTATGAAGGAATTTATTAATAAATTTAATCAGAATTAATTTATTTTATCGAAAATTCGAATATATTCGAATACTCTTTTTGAATGTTCGACAATTTGATTATCGACAATTTTGACATCCCTAAAAAATAACAAACATGATTCAATCTTACAGTGATTTCTTGATTTGAAAAAAAAAATCCCTATTTAAAATTTATGTTCAGAATGATTAAATTATATGAGCTGTGACGAGTGCTGCAAACGAAAAACCCTGAGTTGAATATTTATTGAGCGAAAGTCATTCATTTATTAAGTTTTGACATTATTATTCTACATGAAGTAACCACCGTTGTTTCATGAATTGGTTCCAATACTTTTTCTGACGTTTGTAATATATTTTTTTTGCAAGGAAATAAAAAGAAATGTGCAGATAGACAGCCACAACATAGTATGAAATAGTAGAACAGTGCCTCGAGTCATTTTTTCAATATCTGGCATGGCTTTCCTGGGAAAAAAAGTGTACATTCAGCTTAGAGGTAAAAATCGAATTAAGTCCGTTAATGACTTTTCTAAGCCTCTCTTGCTTTCCTGAGTGTTTGGGCACTTAAGATCCATTTTAAAAAGCTTTGTGGATTTTTCAGAATTTGCAGTTAACGATGTTGATTGGTTTTCTTGTGTTGCAATGTAACAACCAAATCGAACCTTCAAGAAAATTCGACAACTTGTATGGTGATCTTGTTATCATTGTGTTTTGAATCATAAATATGCCTATAATATTTTTTATTTGTTTGTTTACTCGTTCTTTTTATATATATATTTTTTCATAAGCAATAATCAACAGCAGCTAGGGGTTTTGATCTAAAAGAAAAGCCCTGAAGTGAGAGAACCACGTGATACTGGGCTAGTATAGTTCTTTCGTAGACATTTAATATTCTCTGACCGTTCACGGTAGCTCAGTCGGTAGAGCGCTCGCTCCGTGATCGTGAGTTCGTATCTCGATCGGCCGCGACTGACCTAAGTCGATAAAAAATGGGTAGCAACTGTTCCTTCGCCAAGCGCTCGGCACTTTGAAATGAAAGTTGGGGGTCCTTCGGATGAGACCTTAAAAAACCGAGGCCCCGTGTCACGGCAGGCGTTGGCACGATAAAGATCCCTCACTGCTCAATGGCCCTGAGTGCCGAGTAAAGGTCAAAATTTGAAGCCCTTCACCGGTATATGGTGACGTCTCTATATGAGTGAAAAATTCTCGAACATGACGTAAAACAACATACAATCAATCAATTAACATTCGCTGCTTAAATATTTTCATGACTAAAGGTAAATTTGAAGTCGTTAGAGAAAATGGTTTGTCTTGTACATAGAAAACATGACATTAGATGACCACCTTATAGATGAGCATGGAATACTAATAAAAGAGCATGATGTATGCGTGTTTTTATAGAACAAACTTCCACTATAAATTTAGGACAAAGAAATGCATATATTTTATATGCCTAAAATGGAAAAAAAACAAGAGCCGTAATATAATTTTATTTTTTGTATATTTTTTAATGAACCCACTTCTACACAAAATGCCATGTTTAGCTGTATTTATCTCTTACGTTTCAAATTAATTTTTGTTTGTTTGTTTGTTTGTTTTTTTCGGTTTCCTCTTTAACATTACAATTGGGTTGAAGAGCAGTTTAGAGAAAATTGTCGACTTCTATTCTTATCAATTTTGATTTTAAAAAAAAGATACAAGTAGTAAAAGCAGTATACACGTACCCAGATCAAAAACTAAAAGAAGTATCACTGTATGTGAGTAGAGTGTGTAATCTTAAATATGTGAACTCCTGTGGAAGAAACTGAATGCCAGTGTATCGATTACAGACAGAGTCTGTCGTTTACATGGAGATATTGATGTTATCAGTATAACGGGGAACATGCAATTATCACGGTAGATGACCACCAATATGTCCAATTTTTACTCCCCAAGATACTATATAATATAGGGAGTTTCTGATATCATTTTCAAGCCTGTGGTAATCTCTTCAATTTCAAGTTTAAAAATTAACAAAACTAGAGGTACTGTAAGCACCCCCGATCCCGTACGAGTACATTGGCATAGCCCATTTTCTGCTATGAGAAACCCCAATTATCTGTCCGATCAGAACATAAAATAGGAGGTGCACGATAGCACTATAGATTCTCTGAAAGCCTCTTTATATTTTATTCAGGGGTATAGGAGTTGCGGATAAGAGATGGGTACCCGCAAGTGTTGCTGGCGTACGGACAGATAGACGGACACCCCCAATTCTCAAGCGGGGGTATAATAAAAGTAAGAGGTCAATTATCTCGAGATTACATGAAATTCCGAAACATGTAGTTGGGTCAACCTTCAAGTTATGTAATTATTTATGTTTTTTTTAACTTATGTTTTATGTAAATACAGAAATCCATTTGATCCTTACGATTTATATTACGGGTGAATCAAGTCCGTTTTACGAAAGCATTCGTAAGCAAAGAATTTCATGAGCTTTATTTAAAAAAAATAAGGTCGGATTTTATCGTAGGTTTTCACATAAGACTTTCTTTTCTGAAAAAGGTAAACAGACTACCAAATTACCACCATGAATTTCAGAGACTATTGTTTTTTGTTCCGACTTCCATAACAGGGCATTGCTCTTAGAGTGTAATAATCAGCCTATATTGGAAGTGATTTCTTTATTGCAAAACCTGAAGAGGACTTAATAAAACTGCAAGTAGTTTGCAATTGAATCGTGTATTTTATTTTCGGGACCTTACTTCGGCAAGTGAATGGATGTCAGCAATATGTAGCGGAAATGTGAGAATTAATGAGAGTAATCTCACACGGAATAAAACAAAAGAAGATCAGAAAAAAATCATTATTACGGAAAGCAAACCTCTTTTTGTGCCTTTAGGAAAATTAGTTGACAAGAAAGCATGGTCAATAACAAACGATATCACTTCATGTCAATATGGGATGTTTTTTCGATAGAAGTACGTGTATAGTCAGTCACGACCATGTTTGAAGGATGTAATATTTGGTACGGCGAGTTTGCAAGAACTGCATATATAATACAAGTATAAACTTCTTTTTAAAAGCTTTGCCGTCTTTAGGAACAACCGTAAACATTACTAATAAAGTGACCTAAACGTATATACCAGGCCCTATTACAGTGTATTCTTATTTTTATTTCACAGTTCCCTTTCTCAAATGAAATTCGTTTCAGTTTTAAATACTTTTAACATTCCAGTGAACGGAAGTGAATTTGAATAACCGTACCTATACTGGATTCCGAAAATTTAAAAAGGTTCAGTAATTTTTCTACCAAGCCCTTGTCTTTACTTCTCACAAAAATTAAAATAGCTTAGAACGTACGAGAACGTACACTGCTACAAGATATTCAAGAAGTGGCGGTGCAACTCGAATAAGGATTCTCAAAAACTTCAAAGAACTTTCTGAAAATTTGAAATCACAATTCCCCCTAAAATTAATAATATCTCAAGGATTGGCTTTTCATGACTTCATACAACCATTTCTATCGAAAAATTAAAGACCAGGGTTTTTTTCCCATCTGCTACTTCAATAAAAGTAGACATGACTAGAAAATTTTCAGATCTTGTAACTGTTCATCTACAAAATATTTGTAATTTATTAAAAATCATTTTAATTCTACACACAAATACTCTGAAGTTGGTATTATTAGATTCTAAAAAATTTCCTTCACATCATTTATGTAGTTCTTATATAGGGACCAGATCTTCCAATAATCTGTTGGAATTCCAATGACCATAAATTGTGCTCTTTGTTTTATTATTTCTTGTAAGGCATATTTTTTTACAAAAAGAAAAAAAACTCTGTATGAAAAGAAGAAAACTCATGCTGTGGCCTTCATTTCGATATTTAGAGATATCAACGACGTTTTATCAATTTTTAAAAGTTATTATCATCCATTTCATTTGTTGAATCGATATATCCCAGTGAAGTTGAAATAAGAAATTACAGAGTCTGCCACATCTGTTTCATATAAGATGTTTCACTGACTATAGGCGTTAATTACATGTACCAGCTTACAACTAAACGATAACACAAAAGGGATTTCAGCGTTTCCATTGTCAACCTTCCTTTTTATGACGTCATATGCAACTATCACCTGCATATGATGTTCTCCCAACTGAGTTGGTACGCAAGAACATAACGTTCCGAGTAGAACTGGTTTTTAAACAGAGGCAAACTACTTACAAATAAGTAGAAAATAATTTGATAAGAAGAAAATAATTTCATGTTACACGGTTTTCAGCAATCTCGTTTAAATTCTATGGTCGGTATGGTGACCTTATTAGCAAATACAACATACCGTTGAGTCGAGTTTTGATTGAACTGTTTCATGTCAATTGTTAAGGTCATTGGTTTTATTTTACTATTTTTACTTTACCTGATTAATACAGAAGCTCACGCCGGGTGTGACCAATCGACATGGAATGCTTGTAAAATCTTGGCACCTGATCACACCTTGATGTTTCCAGAGGTCAGTGCTTTTTGCCTTGTTCACGATTCTTATTGTTAACAAGGTTTTTTTTTTTAGATTGATAACGTTATCTTCACCTTTTTCATTATATACATTACTTCAGTTTTGGCAACAGGATCATGAAGCAGTTCTATTGTAGCAAATATCATTAAAAATTGTCAGATTATAATATTTTTTTTATGAAGCCCGGGACGACTGCTTTACAATCCTAGGATTGCATTTCTCCAATAGCTTTTTTCCCAGACAAACAAAAGACAATGCAATGAAAAAAAAAACAACAGAATTTTAACGTTTGCATGCAAAAAAGAACACCTGTTTATTATGAAAATAAAGAACCTTTTTTCAAATACTATAGATGTCGCAAAAAGTTAGAGTGTAAATTTCATTTATTGCATATTTCTTTTGTTTGTTTGCTGGTCTAACTAGATCGTATCTAAGACGATAGTTGCTTTATACGACATGAAATTTGTAGTTGAGAAAAAAAACGTACTGATTCTTACTTACAGTTTCAATTTTTTAAATATATTCATATTAATATAGATGAAAACATAGCAAAATATAACTTTATTGTACTCGTTCTTGTCAACATTGATCAAATATATTTTCCCCGAAAAGAAATAGCAAAAACGCAATTAAGCAGTCCCCAGAAGGATGCATTCCGTAATAAGTCGACGTATTTGAACATCCTCTTTCCCATGATTCTCTGTTTTCTGAACTTACTACAAGAATAAATGGTATTGACATGATGTTAAAATGATAGAAATGTGATTCCTTCATTAGGACTATGTCACTTTTCTATTCTTCCAATAATACCGATCTTGACTATGCTAACAATTACGTACATTAAGTAATATCTATAAGAAATTCTCCAAAAATCAATTAATTACCGAAAGTTGCCTTTTTGAAACCGAGAGAGCTATTGGACAGAATTGATTTAAGGCAGTTCATTCTCTAATTGTTTCATCAACATGTCGCTACCACTCTGAGGCCTTTAAGATGATCATTTTCCTATCACAATGGATCAAAACCTAAGTTGATTTTCGGAGCCGCTGTAATTGATGAAACTGGAATTAATAACACGGCTCCATTAGGGGGATTCTCTGGTAAACTCTTTTCCGGCTTTGAACCGTCTTTCCTGACTTTTTTTTTTTTTTTTTGCATTGCGTCCAAATAGAAAAATCTGATTTTTCACTTAAGATTCAAACTGAGTGATGTCGAGATTCAAAAATAAAGAGCAAAAAAGTGTGGTAAATATTGAAGTCATTAAACAGTAAATATAAAATGGAAGGAATTGTTCATGCATTGTGTTAGTAATGTTGTAAATTCAAAAATGTAACTACTTCTAGGTAAAATTCACACTAGTTAAAGTGATCTTACGTCGTGAAATGGTTTACCTGTAATAGGATTCAATTCAAAATTAGAACTAAAAGAACTTGAGTGATTGTCAATCGATACTTTCAGTTTTCCTGGTATTACTATGGTTCTGAATGAATACAACATGCACTTTCGTAAAACAGAGTTTGTTATACCCTGGGACATCTATAACGTTCTATGATTGGGGATCTCTTTGCATTTTTTTTTTTTTTTTTTTTTTTTTGAGAAGCATTGTATTGAAAGACATCATCATTTACTTCAAATCTTCCCATTTACTGGAAAGTTTTTAAAGCTTAGTTTCCTGGGGAAAATAAAAATTTCAAATCATTCCAATGCACGCACTGCAATATTACAATTAACAATACAAAAATAATATGAAAATCAGTTCTCTCAAGATATGAAATGAAAAGTTTCCTGAATAGATGAAAATGGCATTTTCAAAGATCAGAAAATGATAATTATACAAGTGTGCAATTATTTTTTGTGTCTTTTAGTCAATTTCGACTATTTTTAAACTAAATATCTTTTTACCTCGGATGAAGTCCACTGCCTGCTCTAAACCATAAATATCTCTATCACAGTCATCTTTAGCCAGTACCCCTAAGGTTACCCCCGGGAGAAGCTTTTGGTTGGCGTTGATGATATCCAGGGTGTACAACATGGTCTCTAAGGCTTGTATCCCGCCCTGGGGCATGATGGGACCACAAATTTTATCCTCACTCCTTTCATGCACCATATGCAGTGCCCCTAATACCAGGTCGCCATCCACATGCACCGCTTTGTCCCTCTCCGGCCAAGAATAATTTCCATGTGCACCCACCACCGTAAGCTGCGACTCTTTGCCAAAGGAACTAAGAGTTTTCAGGCTTTGTGTTGTAATTACGAAATGAAAAATTAGCAGCTGACAAAGATCCATCTTCAGAGCCATTAATTTTACTTCAGTATCAGTTTGTTGGTCTGAGTATGGAGAAGATTTACTAATTTCCTCAAGTATCCTGCAATTCACTTGGGTAAGTAATTCTTCAGAGACTCGGAAAACAGTATCGACTACATGTTATCAATTTATTTCTCGTGTTCATCTAAATTAATATTTCCATAAGATCTTACATCGACAGCAGAAGCCAATTCTGCGGACCTTTAAGAGCAAGGGCTCTATCGTTATCATCAAGTGTCCAAAAACAGATATGTAAGAAGGATCACGTGACTCACAAAAAACACGCCTTCCTGTGGAGCCGAAACGGAAATCCGATGGTCAATTTGTGGACAAGGTTTCTTTCGAGACATTGGTAATTTTTTAAGGAAATACTATTTAAAATGAAAACAAGCAGTCCAGTAATAAGTATCAAAGTGAATGACAATTTTACTGACAAATAGTATGTTTTGACGAATGTTTTATTTGTTTCTGAAAATTAACATGTCATTTCAGTTTTCATTGGTTAAAAAATAATCTATCTTTTCAGAAATAAGTCAAAGCGCTTTTGAAAGATTTTTTTTAGTTTAGTGTCCCCATTTAGTTTAATGTTCTCATTAAATAAAAGAAGAATACCAATATCCGTGATATGAGTACTTAGCATATTTTTTTTTTTTACATAATGGTTTACTTTTTCTCCCTTATAATTGTAGCGGGTATTCCCGGCAATGATGGAAAACACACTTGTAGCTTTTTAAATTTTACATTTTATTATGGTGACATGTCTAGTTGATGATAAATGGATAATGGAAAATGGACTAATGGAATAATGGAAAATGGATATGTCCTGCAATATACAAATTGCGTCATAAAAATATGTACAAACAATATATCAATTATCTAATATTCTGATCATAAAAATATAACAAATTATCTGTCTTCCCTTTAACAATTAATTATCATATTTATCAATTTAATTCGATATGTTCTATTTAAGGGAGTTAACTCTTACAACATAATTACTCTTAACAGTCTTGTGAAGAGTTATCTTTCTTTTATGTTTCTGTACAAATCATAAAATATATATATATACAGATAGACATACCAATTTATGGAACTGAACTTTCTCCAAAGCAATAATTTATTTTCTTTACTTATGATGTTACCTATGTACAATAAATAAAATAATCAGGATTTGTTCTTTACAAATACCTTTCTCATAACCAATATATATTTAAATTAGTTTATCAAAATATTCACATCAAAATATTTCTAGGTATATATACAAATTAATTAATAAGAAAACTCCATCAGATTTATCTACATCTGATTATACAGACAGATAATTCAATATGTTAACATTTAAAAGTGAAATATTCTGTTTTCCACCTATTTCACATAAATTATGGAAAACATATCTTAAGGCATAAAAAGATAAAAACTTACATTTTTAGGAACTGTCTTAGGTCTTTGAATAAAGTAAGTTAGCAGCAATATAACTATGTCTTCTCCATTCTAAATCTTGAGCTAATTCTGAATAAAACTCAGTACCCCACAAAGACTAAACTTTCAACCAATGAAATCTAACCATTTCAAACTCTGACCAATAGATGTGTGTGTGGTCATGTAAAAGTATATGTACAGGTGTGGATCCAAAAGGGGTGTATAACTATGTCACTAAATACCCATGTTAGTACAGAATGAAAAGAATGAAACTTTAATAGAAAGCTTATCATTTATGCATTTATAACATATTTAATAGTTTATTTAGTTTATTTAATTTATATTTAATATTTAAAATCATTTCAACTTTTATAATTCTTAATAAAAGTACCTCTACTACATAATGTCTTCTCCTATTGTAATTCGCGTGATTATACAAATAGATTTAATTTTTTGAATTACTGAATTTTCCATCCCTTAAAAATCTAGGAAATTCATTCTCAATATTTAAGTTGAGCCAATCTATAAAACGCAATAGCCGTGCGTTAATAAGTGTTGTCTAAGGCAGGCGCGCAGCCAGGCGTACGTTTGTACGCACAAACGTCCAGATCATTTCTGGAAAAAAAGGAGAGAGAGAGAGAGAGAGAGAGGCAGGCTTAATTTCCATGTATGCCTGTATGCTCTTAAGCATACACATCATTTTGCAAAAAATAAATGAATCAATAAATAAATAATTTTAAAATAAAAAAAAAACACTTAGAAACAAGTTAGAATAACGATAAAAAATAAATGAAAATGAACAGAATCAGTTTTATGGAAAAATACGATAGTATACACCTCTCTGAAATCATTAGATTTTCCCGGACTTTGGTTTATAGAATATTGCTGAGTTTTTTTTTTATAAGTGCACTACATTTTAATATTGACTTTCCGGTTACACAAAAACAGAACAGACCTCGAATATGGCTGCATAGCAAACTTATAAAGTGTTAAAAAATACGATCAGGAGGGTCGAATATGCATGCACATCGAAATCGTCGAAAATTCACTAGCTTCCGGGGGCTCCGTATTGAACGCATTGGGGGTCTTAAGGCGGTCCCCAAATAGGGCTGAGTCAATATTTCAATACATCGATACGTACTGATAATCAAGAATGTATCGTACCGAAAAAATAACTTCCAATACGTATCAGGCAGGCATTTTTTCTTATAATTCTGTGAAAAAGTAGGGAATTTCAATCACCAGAGAATATATTTAAGTATTTTGAATTAAAATTGATCAATAATGATATAAACATTATTTTAACATGTTGGTTTTACAGTCTTTAAAAGTTTGATTTTGAAGTGTATATTGTAATGACAGTGAGACATGAACTTGAAATGGTAATTATAAAACAGTTTTTATAAAATTTATGCATTAAATTATTTACAAGAGTTTTGATTGATTTGTTAAAGAATCCAATATATTGCATATCGCTTTATAAAATATTGTATCTTATCATATCGAATTTTTTGCTTAATACACAGCCCTGTTCCCAAACCCTATTCGGGGGTCCACATCAAAGGTACCCGGGCTACGCCTCTGAAAGATTTTTCCGTTTTTTCCGATCATGACAAGGAGCACATGGTGGTGTGTGACCGGTAGGCAGGGGATGATCTGCTTGGCGGGGCTTGTTTTAAATTGAGACGTGAAATGTCTATTCGATGCATTATTCCATTTGTTTCAACTACTCGATTATTATTCAATATATATTTATTTGCCTACTAAGGGTACCAATTGCTCACCGTTATTAGCAGAACCTATTTTTGTATTCATATAAAGCAGAATTTATTCAAAATCTTTTACATGAGAAGAAAACACTTGCTGTGGCTTTCAGCTCGACATTTAGATATATCAACGACGTATTATCAATGGTTATTTCCATTCGTATGTCGACACGGTATATTCCATTTGAAATAAAAGATACCACAGAATCTGACACACCCGTTTCATATTTGGATATTTTACTAGAAAAAGATGTTAATGGTAACCTAACAACTACGCTTTATGATAAACGTGATGACTTTTAACTTTTCAATTGTCAACTTCCCTTTCTTATGCAGCAGTATACCATTATCACCTGCATACGAGGTTTACATCTCTCAGTTGATTCGATACGCAAGAGCATGCTCTACGTATGAACAATTTCTAAATCGAGGTAAGTTATTGACAAACAAGTTGATGAAACAAGAATATCAACAGTGTCGTTTAAAGTCATCATTTCGTAAGTTCTATGGTCGATACAATGACCTTGTCAACAAATACAATCTATCATTAAGTCTAATGCTGACTGACATTTTTCATACTAATTGTTAGACCAATATTTACACTGAATTGTCTACGGCTTTTCCCGTTATTTCCCGATCATAACAAGGAGCACACGGCGGATGTGACCGGTCGGCAGGGGATGCTCACTCCTCCATGGCACCTAATCCCACCTCCTATGTTTTAGAGGTCCGTGTTTGCTCTATTCCTGATTTATATTGTTTAAATGGACTTTTGAGCACGAATACTGTTCGTTATCTCCATATATTTCAATTGAACCTTGAGATAGAAAAATTTGTTTGAAGTAACGAGAAAACCATTACCTTTGTCTTCTTAATAACTTTATTTACAAATCGCAGACTTTGGCAGCTTGAGTAACAAAGAAATCACTTCAATTTGATGCATTTTCGTTGAAATTAACAAATATATAACAATCTGTAAAATATTTGATTTTATACTGGTCATTTTCTCGTTGTGACATCTTGTGGTCTTTTACAACACTGAGATGGTAATACCTCCCAGTTATAAATGTATGACTTTCGATATTCGACTTCCTTTGAACATAGCTGGTTCATTTTCTGTAGATTATTATCTAGTTCTCGCATTTGCAGGTGCGACTGTTTATGCATTATCAAATTGCTATTCTTACAACCCCGTGACTTGTATTCTGTGTCAAATCTAGCATCATGTGACCGTTTAATGTCAAGTGGGCCGAGCCAGGCCCCCAACGAAACGTCCTCACTGTTGAAAAGTTTTAGATATTTGGAGTTCGAAGACACATAATGAACAAGATCAGCAGAAAGAACATAACCGCCGCCAAGGGCGTACGGCAGGTACCGGTCACAAAGAATCCATTCTTTCTCTGCCCATTTTCCCGCCTTTTTCACGTGAGCCCTGCCGTCGAAAAATCCCCAGTAGAACCTCTCTTTGGGTTTCTTTTGTAGTTCATAGGCCAGACGATCGACTCTTACAAACGAGTCTTCGTCTGCTTTTATAAGATGGGTAAATTCAACATGTCTGTCCAGCCATTTGAAACTTTCTAGAAGTTTTAAAGTCAGTGTTTCATAACTATCGTTAACACTTTTAAGAAGAAGCAGGTCGGAGTGAATGAAGTTTTCCCTGTGTGTATTGCTGTGTTGTTGCGCTGAAAGAGACCCAGTACCAATCACGAACCTTAACAGCGTTGTCTTGGGTAGATCTCTTGCCCAAGTCTCACGGATCGTGTCTCTTCCCATCAAGTTATCGGGGGCAGACATGACCAGTACAACCTGTGGAAAGGAAAGATCGCGTGATGGCGCTAGTATGTGCCCGTTCCAGAATGCTTTGTTCTGTGCATCCCTAAGATCAGAGCGTGATATGCCGTAAGTGGGATCGTCACATGGCATGCTGCAAAACGCCAGGTAAAACAGCAGACTCATTGACAGAAATAGTCCACCAATAAGAATGGTCGTGGCGTGCTTGTTCAGCTTTCTTTCTACAGAAAGTGACATTGTGTTATTAACTAATTAATTTCACACACAACACAGAATTATCCAGCACACTTGTATTCAGCCATGGCGACTCTGAGCGTTTCAGAGTTTCCATCGTTTTTTTTTTCTGCAAAGAGAGCAAAACAATTCAAGTTGACCGTTTTCAGTGGTTTAAGTCCTACATTGTATTTCATCTTCACAATGTCAAGGCTTTGTGAATTCATCCTCTAAACCTGAGTAGAGGAACGATATCAGTCACAATACCTTGACATTGTGAAGATGCACAGGCACCTAACGAATGGATGGTGTAACACGTAGCCCCCCCCCCTTTTCTGAGAATTTTCAGTTATTAAGATACGATAACTTATCTAAAATACATGAATTCTTAACCCATCAAATCTATATTCCAATATTTAATACAATTTTCCGCTACTGTTAAGTTTCAGAGATTGGTCCTATAGTACGGTATATAAAAATACTAAACATGCTAAAGGTTGCCCTCTCCCGACTCAGGGTAAAAAAAAATTAGATCGGTAGGTAGGTTGGGAAATTTTTTCCCTATAAAAATTCAGTATACATATTAATAGGATATGAAAAGGAATGAAAAGAAAAAAATATCGTTTCAAGGAGGTTAACAAAAGTTTTGAGTCAGGCTATTTTTAGGCAGTTGGTAGGGAGAGGGCAAACAATTTTTTGAAACAAAATCTTAAAAACAAACAGGGGTCTCCGCTTCTCGAAAGATTTTCAATCTGCCGTGCAGCATTACCAATAGAATATATGAGAGAGGCAGATAAGGGCGATCCTGGATTCAATTTCCCCACTCACCTCCAAATGTGTGGTGACATTAGCTCAGGTTCCAACAAAAAATGTATCTATTAGGTGTATAGATTCACGCTTTTTCTTAGCATGCAGCATGCCAAAGAAAACATATTTTAATTGTAAAATAAAAAAACTTTTTCACTCAAATGTTTAAGATAATATAATATAATACATTTTACTCGTGTTCCTACTTACAATGTTTACAATGTGTCACATGGCTGCAGCAATTTTTCTGTAGTCTTGCAAATAATAACTTATTTAAACGCTTCGTTGATCAAGCCCAAAACATTGAAAACGGTCTCCAAAAATTTCGGACCTCGATGTTTTGCTCCTCCTGTATTTCGTCATTATCTATCCACATACACCTCTGTCAACGCTTGTTATACAACATTCTTGCATCTTTGTAAAAGATGAAAAATTATTGTATTAATTATCGTTTTTTATTTTATTTCTTTAAAAGGTTTCCTGAAAAGTTATGAAAATAAATCGTTTTGAGGGATGAGAGATTTAAAGGAAATGATACATTATCATCTTTATCAATAATTACGAAAGTAAATTCGTTCAAATTTTCACAGTTTAAAACTTGTACAAGAATCTTGTACAACGAGCGTTGACAGACTGAGGTGTTGGTAGCCAATGTAGCGTAGCGGCAGACAACTCTGGATAGAGAATGGTATAATTTCGTTTAATCGGTTAAGGTCAAGATCTAGTAAATGACTTTAGACTAACATTTTGGTGCTAGATCCACTATGACGTCATAATCCATTTCATCTTTCTTTTTCCCGTACTTTACAGCTCTAATAGAATTATGAGGAAAATAAAGTATTTCATGGAGTTCAATTTGAAATCATATGAAAAGTAATCCCGATACCTATATTAAATTTGATATTATTTCAAAGAAGAGGCCAAGAACATACGAATTACCGTTTTCTGAGAGACTGTAGGCAATATGGATACATTTCCTTTGTCTGATAATCAAAAAACTCCCATATTCATGACTGGTTTTCTTAATTTCTTATTGAAAAATGACCGTTTAAAATATGATTTTTCATCTTGTTTACCTACAAATTATGTCCCGAAACACCCTATTTGACAAAGCTGAAGTTATAAAACATCATTAAAGGAATTTATTGCTCAAATTTGAGAAATCTGTAGGCACCTTTCATTTACTAGATCTTGACCTTAAGTTATATGCTGATATAGTACATGTAGCAAACTGTTGTTTCATCAAATTGTATAATTCCCTTCCCCAATCAAAGGAAACCCAAAACCAACAAGAAACGGTATATGCATACTGAGTAGTTGTCATAAAATATTTCATCGATAGTTGTCGAAAAACATATTCCAGCCCCATGGCAGGCATGTTAGATCAGCCTGGTGAATTTTCTTCTTTGCTTTATATAGATAGTAGTAGTTTTCGATAGGCTTGAAAATAGCAAGAGTTATTTCCCTTTGGCTGCCATATTGGAGGTCCAACGAGCGAATTTTCCTCTTTGAGCAACCAATTTTAAAATTCGTAAGAAAAATTGTGTTATCTTCACCCAACTGCCCAAAATGACAAGTTTAAATTGGTTGAATAATGAAGGAATCGGGCTTGTATACCTCCAATATTGTTAACAACAGGAAATAACTCTTGCTAAAATCGTGTCAATCGAAAACTTTTTTGTGACAGGACTATATGTGGAAAAATCTTTAAAAAATATATAAATTATATGAAAATTATGAGTTCTAAGAGGCTTTGATAACATAATTTTGTTTGTTCTTCAGTGGAGAAAATCAAATCATTATTTTCTACGTGTATCTCAGTTATCATTATCATACACTGACTTGTACATGTAGCATGTGTTTTCAACATGGACAACAGCCAGAAAATATTTGTCAAACAAAACATAAAAAATTACTTTAATTTTAAATAGGTTAATTCAAAAAAGGTTGCCAAACAGGAACTTGCTAAAGCCACATCGCCCACATGTATCGAAAAAAAACTATTCGCTGATATTGATATGACTGAAATACTGCCGACTCGGCGTTAAATAATCAATCAATCGAAAAATATTTTTATTACATTTTCAACAGTGAAATACTGTGATTTATTTATTGAATAAAAGTGATATTCTCTCACAGTGTGAAAGGATACCAAAATGATATTCTCTCACAGTGTGAAAGGACATCAAAGTAAGTAAAAAATAATTTCTGGCCTGTCATAAGATCTAGTAACTAAGCTTCTTGATAGAGCTAAAACTGCAAATTTCTTCCCAAATATGTTGCTAAAACCCATGCTATGTAATGTTTTCAATCACACAACTGCTAAGCTATGACGTCTCAACCGCTCAACTATGACGTCAAGCCTATGACACTGTTAAGAAAAGATAGGCAAAGGGAAAATCAAAGAAAATGTAATAAACAGAAAATTCAATGTTTTGTAGATGAATATGGAATTTATTTCACTCGTGAGACAGGGTTTTTTGATATTTTCACTCGTGTTTCGCACTCGTGAAAATGTCAAAAAATCCTGTCCCATGCACTCATGAAATAAATTCCATATTCATCTACAAAACATTGAATATCCTCTATTTATTTCTCTTTTTAAATAATCTCTCAGTCCTAGGACAAAAATTCTAATCCATCGGCAATTTATACACGTATAAAGAGCGCTTTTCTGATTTAAATCTGTATAAATCAGATATAGTCTGTGCATAGAAAAAAAAACATTCTAAAAAGATTAAAAGAATAAACTTGTCCTAATGCATTACGATGTTCATTTGACTTTTAACCCGGTAAAACCAGTACTACTTCGACCGAGGGTCTTGAATTGATACTTTGCCATTGTCACTACAAACTGATTTCACATGCTGAACATACAGCTCCATCTAGATGGAAAGGGCAAAACAAAAAACTTAAGTTGATAAATGTTAAGCTAAGTAAAGTGTTTCAAATTTTGCAAAGTATGGCAAAATCAGTTATACCATATAATAAAACAATACTCTGAATTTTTTAAAAAAAAATTGAATCAGTAAAATGTTTATTTTTAAACGACAATTTCTAAAGTGTGGGGGAAACGGTTTTTTTATTTTAAAAAATGATGAACTGGCAAAACTACGAGTTTTCTTTCTCTGTTTCTAGTCTGATGAAAACCCTCCAAGCAATAATGAAACGTTGATATTCTATCATCATGTCCATATTTATATATATAGTTAAAAAATATAAATAGCAACTCGTCATATATCAAAATATAATGATTAAAAAAATAGTTGGTTCAAAATTTCCCATCTTCAGTATCTTATGAAAATGAGGAAAGTTCCGGTAAAAATCAAAGGAGAAACGACGCAACTCGAGTAAAAAGTCATCATCACTGAGACGCTTGCCGGAAACAAGAAGTCAAGTTGCTCGAAGTTGGCAATACTGTCAATTTTTGACAGCCTGTTCTTGTCGCATGGGAGGATCCTTCTGGTAAATAATACTGAGAATTGTATATTTTGATGTGTTAAGCCTAAGAAATGTTAATGGTGTTAGAATTTTTCTCACTTTTCGTAAATTATTCTCGCCTTTTTTGCAAGGGCAGTGAAAACAATATAAGCTATCTAATATATTTATCTCTAATAAGATGAGAAAGAGATATTCTGATACTTTTTTCTTTTACTCGAAAAGCTACATCAATCCTGATTCAATTTTTTTCACAAAAAAGGGGAAAAAGCTAATTAGCATATATATGTGTGGGTGTCACAATGGAATATCCAAGGTTACCAGATTATTTTGAGGTTTCATTGATAACATGCACAGTAACGAATCTGTACATGCATGTTGTTAAAGCCATTAGTTTGTTATATTTTTTACTTAATTGTGAATATGAAAACCTGAGCTTAATTATGTTAAATATTAAATACCATAGGCGCTCCCCATCTAAATTGGTAAGTTAAAAAAATATTGTATCCCTATTCTTAGTCTCTATAAAATCAAATAGACTTGCAACTCCACACCATTTTCATCCCCTGATCTCCTGATCTCAGCCGGAAATGCCTAAAGTCTATAACTACGCTTGTTTTAAGCTATGGTATATATGTATTCTCACAAACAGTTTACATTCGTAAATGATCAGTTATTTTGTTTAGAAATTATGTTAAACATGTGTTAGTCAAAACTGACTACTTCCAGCAAAGTTAAAATAGCCAAAAATGACTGGAGTTGCAGGCCTTGTTGATTTTATAGTGTATGGAGCACCTATGTTAGATACATTTACATGTGCTGAGACTATAAATCATGCTTAAGAAAAGAAATATGCTTGTTTACGGTTACACGACTTACCCTAATTTTATGTGCTGACCCAAATATATATTTTCCTTGCCTTTATGTGAATAAAAAAAACCTGAAAAACGTAAATGCAAAATCCTTCCTACTGACCCTAATTTTTATTAGCATATTATAATAAACAATTTTTTTCTCAGACCTCAACAAACTCTGTTATTTGTAGAATCACAATGAGCACCAAACGTGTGAACACAACAGCGACTGCTCGCTTGAAGCAGGATTACATGAGGATAATGAAGGATCCTGTACCCTACGTCAGAGCGCTCCCTCTCCCTTCCAATATACTGGAGTGGTAGGTACCCATAAAAGTCTGCTTAACCATGTTAACCAGAATCTTTTGTTTTCACATTTAAAAATTATATGAAACTAAGATTAAACTTCTCTAAAAAGTATATTCTAAATTAGGCTTTCACCCATCCCTAAAAAGTTAGTATATTGTAAATTAGAAAAATCTCACAAAAATGTTTCCACTTGCAAAAAAACATGCATTGATTATAATTGTTGTGGTAGATTTTGTCATTGGAAAGTATTTATGTAGTGATAAAGATATATATGTTAAGTTTTTAGAAACTTTCAAGTCTGAAACTTGTGAGATGATGCATAAAATGGTAACATAAGATCTTTATGGAAAGGGAGGATGATATATTTTTCTTCTTTAGAAAAAAATCATTACCATGATTACTGTAGCTAGTATAATCTTCAAGATTTAAACATGTACTGTACATATGTTTATTATCACATACTGTCATAAATGTTTATAGAGTAATTAATCATACTGTGTGGTTTGACTTGAGGGTAAAAAGTAATACCAAATATATTGTGGATAAATGCATAGAATTCATACTTGATAAATATTTGTCATTTCAATGTAATTCAGCTGTTTACTTTCATTTTGTTTTAGGCATTATATAGTGACAGGACCAGAAAAATCTCCTTATGAAGGTAGGGTTTTCTTTTATTAAAAGAATGTGTTTTATTTCAAATATTATATCCAGAATAATCTGTTTTTATCACAGGTTCTTAGAAGTTTGCAATTTTGTACTTTACATTGTTCATGTTGTTTGAACATTGTTTCATGAAATTTGAAAGCAATTTACAATTGGTAATAAACAGTGTAGATGAAAATATAGTCAATATACAGTTGAACTTCAGTATCTTGAACACAGATATCTCAAATACCATGGATATGTCAAAGTGATTTTGAAGTCCCAAGTGCTTATTTCTTAAGTATTTTACCTTGGATATCTTGAATCCTCGGATATCTCGAAGCATTTTCTTGGTCCCTTGAAGTTCGAGATAACAAGGTTTGACTGTACTATAAATTTAGCAGGAAAGAGTCTCGGAATCTAAATACATGCAAATGATTAATGTATGGTTTGCTTCTTTTGTATTAAAGATTTCATTAAAACAACTGCCTGTCATATGTGTGTTTTACAGGTGGAATATACCATGGAAAGCTCATATTTCCACGAGAATTTCCGTTCAAACCACCTAGTATATACATGATTACTCCAAATGGAAGGTTTAAGTGCAACACAAGGTAATACTTTCTTGCCGAAATTTTCCTCCTGTGATACATTTTTCAGAAGGAATTTTGAGCTGATTTCAAGACATCTTTATTTGTAAGGAAATTGAAAATAATTTTGAGTGATATTGAACTTGAGTTACCATATTCGAGTCTAGTGGCATATTAACAAAAACGACCACATGATTTTGTGGATCAGCTAAGAGCATATTTGAGTCACTGTGTAGTTAATCTAGCTTGTTGATTTCAGACTGTGTCTGTCTATCAGTGATTTCCATCCTGACACCTGGAATCCTGCGTGGTCCGTGTCCACCATACTCACAGGATTACTCAGTTTCATGGTCAGTACATTACAGTCTCGGACAGATATTTATACAGCAGCCTGGATAGTCATTGGCTATTATTCAAACTCATTTTGTCTCTCAAAAGTGTTCCATCTTAAATGAAATGAAGTGAAATAATACATGATCTGGTATTAATATCTGAGAGGAAGAAATTAGAAAAACACTGATCAGTTATACAGCAAAACATGCTTATAGTGATGTGCCAGGGACTAACACTTATGATTTGTTATTAACTTAGAGTTCTACACCAGGCGTACCCGACTGACTGAGTCTACCGTACTTAACAATAGGTCTACTAGGATGAGATCTCCGTCTACTAGAGGGACTAGCCATCTGAGAAAAATAAATATGAACCTATATTTCAAACCTTAAAATAAAAAAAATCTACTCAAATAATAATATTATTAAAAAGAAAATCAATAAAATAAAATCATCTTTCCAGACAAAAGCACTCGACAAAATCTTTATATATATATATATATATATAGTAATATAAAGGTCATTGTTGAAAGAGATTCTTTACGATTTTCACTTCAATTTGGAATAAAAGTAAAATTTATATTATCCGCTTTTGATTAATTTAATGATATTGAATTTAAAATATGAAGTTGAATATGAAGTTAAAATAGTTATTAATAGGATGAGAAAATTTTGGAATAAATAGAAAAAATAATTGTTTCCTGGAGTTTAAAAAAAGTTTTGAGTCAGTCGGGAGAGAGCAAACAAAATTTTTTTAAAAGATGGCCTTAACCTTATAAATATATTTCATTAAGCCTGATAACTGGTGTTGAGTTCATAATACTGTATGTTTAAAAACTTCAGTCAATAAAAATTGAAGTAAGTGTGATTTTAATATATGCAGTGTAGTGTAATCATGTTATACTGAATCTATTTTTGTATTTATAGCTGGAAAAAGATCCCACACTAGGAAGTATAGAAACATCAGACTACACGGTAAGTACATCCCAAAGATAAATATCTATGACATCTAATTCAAAGTTTAAATACCCAAATAGTTTAAAATAAAATGAATTATAAATACATGTATTTAAACATTTTTGGTCTAAATTCAATTGCCAATGATTTGGATTGCCAAATTTCTAAGGGAAGGAAATAAGAATGAAAATGTTAATATTGAGCTGGATACCATTTTATTGGATGATTTGATGACTGCACTGTATGATTCATCTGGAGAACTTTATGAGATATCAATTTTGTATTCCATTTACTCCACATATGTACTTTTTCATGAAATATACCGTATATACTCGCCTATAAGTCGGTCCGCCTATAAGTCGATTGTATATTTTTAGGTTATTTTGGAGGGATTTGCCATTGACCCGCTTATAAGTCGGTACAGCTTTTTGCAAGAATATATTGACAATTTCAAACCAATGGTCTTATGTTTTTACTTGTGTTTCAAATATTTTTTTTAAGAAATGACACCAATATTCTGTTTTCTCAACAAATAAATTCTGTATCAGTACTCTAATGAATTTACTTTTGTTTAAATAATCTACCAACATTCCGATGATATTTATGAGAAACTTTATGATTACTTGTACTTTATGCATAATCTTAGAATACATCAATAATGTGTCCAGACTTTTGACAACGATAATCGTTGGAAGTGATTAAAAAATACTACATTTCGCATTTCAGAAGAATACCAATCTCTTTATGACTCGCCTATAAGTCGGACACAGAGTTTTGGACCGAAATTTAACTCCCAAAAAACTGACTTATAGGCGAGTATATACGGTACCCAGAAATATAATAGATAAGGTACCTGCTTGTATTTATAGAAGAGACAACTAGCTGCCCAGAGTGGTTCTTTCAATCTATCAGACAAGGTCTTCTGTGATCTCTTTCCTGATGTTGCAGAGGTATTTTTCACCATTTTTTCAACTTCTTAGGCCTCATTAACTCCTCATCTGATTAAGTAGTTAACGTTGCCAAAGAAAAATCTCTTGTGTGAAACTTTTTAAATGAGTAAATCTTTCTCTTTCCCAGGAAATTAAGGAGGAACAGCAGCGAAGAGCGGAAGAATTAAGACAGTCAACCAACCGTGGAGCAATAGGTCAGAGGTCACATTCAAATGATGGACCAAACCCGGCAGACCATGAAAACCAGGGACTGTTTGGGAGTGCTCTGGCAAATATCTTTGTGATTGTAGGACTTGCAGCTTTTGCATACACTGTAAAATATGTTCTTAAAAGCATTGTGGAATAGGAGAAGTGATAATAGCTGACCTAGCCTATGAATGGTTGTACTGGAATGTCTTTCATTAAGTCTTCTTTTTAATATGTACAGTTTATCATCATAATAAGGGACCGGATTGGACCTTGTTTTGTTAAAATTCATATAATGGGAGCTTGTGTCAAAGGAGTTAGTTTTAGATACTTGGAAATATGAGCTCTAAATGTTATTTTTATCAGTCATTTAGAATATTTGTACATTTAGCTTTGGGAATATAGAATCGGGAAAAAGGAAGAAGTAGGTCTTTATCTGAGTAGTGATTTCATATACAGTCAAACCTTGTTATCTCAAACTCCACAGGACTGAGAAAAAACTAAGAGATATCTGAAGATTTAAGATATCAAGGGGAAAATACTAAAGGAATAAGTAGGAATATGTGGTTGGGATTTCCAAATCACATCGACATATCCATGGTATTCGAGATAATGGTGTTTCAGATAATATTCGAGATAATGGTGTTTCAGATAATGAAGTTCAACTGTACTTGATGACGAATCTCAACCTGCGTGTACAGGAAGTAAGATCGTAAGGATCATACTTTTGTTACCTGAGGGCGTAATTAAAAGAAAGTTTGCCTCCATTCTTCTGATTCAGAAAAAAATTGGTAGGAAGGAAGGGAACTCTTTTTCAATAACAACTTGTGAATATCAAATCAAAATAGTTGTTGCCAGGGTGAGAAAATTTTAGAAAGGATAAATGAATAATTGTTTCCTGGAGGTTTATAAAAAAAAGTTTGAGTTGGTTCATTTTAGTATGTCAGTTGGGAGAGGGCAAACAGACATTTTTTGAAGATGGCCTGCTCTAATAATAACTTGGGAATAACCTAATAATGACTTGGGAATAACCTAATAATGACTTGGGAATAACCTAATAATGACTTGGGAATAACCTAATAATGACTTGGGAATAATCTAATAATGACTTGGGAATAATCTAATAATGACTTGGGAATAATCTAATAATGACTTAGAGAAGACTTGATGTAATTTAATTTATCTGGTTTGAATTCTGTGATTTATGCTGTTTTGTTAACATCAAATACATAGTGTTTATCAGAACTGTTACAACACTTCTCCTTGACTTCATTAATTTATAAACATCTTTTGAAAGTTATCACTACATTCTTAGAAAATCTAAATCTAAAAAGATCTTTCACAGAAGGTTTTGTTTTAGAACACAAAAATAATTTTAATGCCATTAATTTTTTTCATAACAAAATATTACCCATAATGGAAGGTTTATTTTGATTCTTAAATGTATAATTTTGTGTATGAATTGAATGGACCTGGTGCAGGAGTTTAATTTTATGTTTAAAAGTGTTTTTAAAAAAGAATACGGTTGCACACAGTACAACTTCTGTGTATATAAGCATTTTATTTGCCACTGAAATAGTGATGTGACCTTAACATGTATTCTATGTAGATGCTTATTTCCATGTTTGTTTTTAATACACACTCGTCTGTAAAAGTGACTATATATTTTAGAAATAATTATGTGTTATCTGTTTTTTTTTCTCATGTTTATTTCTACTATGATGAATGTTTTTGGTATTGTTTATTTTCTTGCAAATGTACCATTTAAGATCAAGATGAATGTAATTAAAATATGCTACTGTAAATCACTTTTTATTTGCAAGATCTTTATTTTAAAGTTATTATGGGAGAGACCGTCTGATCACAAAAATGTTATTTTCCTGCATATCTTCTCCTATATATATTGAAGAATTACAACAATTACCAGAATTTCTGAAAGTTTTGGCTCGCATATAAATATTATAAGGCTTTCTCAGGAAAATAAGGTGTCGCAAAAAAATGGTGATCTAAGTATCAATATTTCAACTGAACATACTTGAGGAAGATAAAAGGAAAGGTGTAACTGAGCATAACCTCAATAACATATAACTGTCATAGTTTGTAAGTTACTTGGTAATGACATAAAATGCCAATAAGTATTGTTCAAACATATTTTAATTACATTCATGTTATTGATTATTTCCAATATATATTTTACCAGTATAATTTGTCTTGTCTTATTTGAAACAATGGATAGTGTTCAACATTATCATCCTACTAAGGTTTGAAGAATAAGATTTTTTTCAAAAATTAATTTCTCAATTTCTATGAAAAGGTTTTATGCTTGTGTAAATTTTTGGAAAGGGGGGGGGGCGGTTGGTCGGAGGTTATGAATTTAAAAATGCTTTTTTTAATTCTTAATTTTTTTTGCCTTGATTCCTCTTCACAATGTCAAGGTTTTCTGATATTGTTTCTCTTTACAAACCCTTGACAAAAGTCCTATTTAAAAGTCGGTCTGGAAAGCTACCATTTCATTTTTTTCTGGTGAATTACTGTTGTCAATCAGAAAACAGCTTTTATCGTAGGTTAGTTTAGTAAATCAAATATATGTCTTTATATATATATATATATACATATATATATATATATAATCCAAGTATCAAGAGTATCTACATACATCTACATACATGTCCTTGTCCGACGCAATACTATAGTATCTCAGAAGTTTTTATTAATCCTCTACCAGTGAAACCGGAAGGGACTATAGGTTTCCTCTTCGTTTATCTGTCTGTCTGTCCCACTTGGTTTTCCGCTTTTTTATTACTAAACGCATGCAGACATTGATATGATTTTTAGTAATGAAGTGTATCTTGTTTACAGATCACGTTTGCATTTCATTCTCCTTTGATGATTTTTGACGGTCCCTTGTTGTTGTTAATGGGTTTTTTTTTAAAAATTAATCTACAGACTTTATGTTCACTATATACATTTAGTAATTGAACAATGCAAAAAGAAAGATTTTAAAACATTCCAAAGCCAAAGATTCAGTTTGTCCTTTCGAAATTTTTCACAACTTAATTTTGGATAAGTATTATTGTTATACCTTTAAAAACGGTTCCTATGTTTTATACTAAAATGTTTTACTGAGCGGTCATAAAAAGTCTATGTTTGACAGCAGAATGAGATATTGGACCTGTCGATGAGATATTGGACCGTTTTCGTCACACTGTGGGTGGGATCAGCTAAATCTTATTTTCATTCGTGACAGTAACGGAATTGACCAAGATTAACCGCATTGCGAGGAAAGGAAATTTACATCATGGAAGCAAGTACAAGATACATATATGTCAAAAAAAAAAAAAAATAAAAAAAAATAAATAAATAAAAGGTATAACAAAACATTTCGGGCAACATGCGTTTTGTCGACCCTCGAACCAAGCTGTTTCCCTTCGGCCTAACGGTCTCGGGCAAACAGTTTGGTTCTTAATTGGGTTTGACAAAACGCATGTTGCACTCGAACCCAGTCAATAAATGTATAATATTTATGAAATTCTTTCATATCAACATTTTTTCTGATCACTGTCATTACACAAAACATGTTTCATTACAATAAGAGATATAAAATTCACTATTTACTGCTGTATTCCACTGCCTATAGTCAACCTCTTGATATACACTACCAACTGATTTTGCTGTAATCGTTAGTCATAATCAATATGAAAAGAGTTGATAGGGAGCAAAGGAAAATGGCAGGAAGGGGAGGAAAAGGGTAAGAAGATAGGGAAAGGAAAGGAAAGAAGGTATAGGATCGGTGAAGGAGAAGGAAGCTGTTTTGGGGGGCAGGGAAGGAAAAGGAAGAAGGGTATGGAAACGGGGAAGGAGAGGAAGGAGATGTTTATAAGAACAGGGGAGAAGAAGGAAGAAAAGTATTGTGACAGGGATGGAGAAGGAAGAATGATATGGGACAAAGAAAGTGAAGGAAGAGAAGGTATTGAAACATGGAAGGAGAAGGATATTGGAACAGGGAATTAGAAGGAAGAAAGTATGGGGACAGGAATGGAGTAAGAAGAAGAGGATGTGGCTGGAAGAGAGAAGGAAGAAGGGTATGGGAACAGAGAATGAGAAGAAAAAAGAGGTGTATGGGAGCAGGGAAGGAGAAGGAAGAAGGATATTGGAACAGGGAATGAGAAGGAAGAAGGTATGGGGACAGGGAATGAGAGGGAAGAATAGTATGGGACAGGGAAGGAGAAGGAAGAAAGGTATGGAAACAGGGGATGAGGGAAGGAAGGAGGGTATCGAAAAGGGAAGGAGAAAGAAGATGTTTATGGGTACAAGGAAGAAGGTATGGGGATAGGGAATGAGAAGAAAGAAGGGTAAGGAAACAGGGAATTATAAGATAGGATGATGTTAATGGGGACAGGGAAGGAAAATGATGAAGGGTATGGTGACAGGGATGAAGAAGGAAGAATGGTATAGGGATAAAGAAAGAGAATTCGAAAGAAGAAAGGACATTGGAACAGGCAATGAGAAGGAAGAAAGTATTGGGACAGGGAAGGAGAAGGGAGAAAGGTTTGGGGCAGGGAAAGAAAAGAAAGACGAGTATGGGAACAGGGAATGCAAAGAAAAGAAGAGAGGTATGGGAACACAGAAGGAGAAGGAAAAAGGGTATATGGAGCAGGACAGGGATGGAAAAGGAAGAATGGTATGACAAAGAAAGAGAAGGAAGAAAGGGTATTGGAACTGGGAAGGAGAGGGAAAAAGGGTAATGGAACAGGGAATGAAAAGGAAGAAAGTATGGGGACAGGGAAGGAGAAGGAGAAGGGTATGGGAATAGGGATGGAGAAGGTAGATGTGTATGGGGACAGTATAAAAGAAGGAAGAGCGATGTGGGAACAGAGAAGGAAAAGGAAGAACAGTATGGGAACAGGTAATGAGAAGGGAGAAGGATATGGGGACAGGGAAGGACCTATACTCGGCATGAGACCATTGAGCAGTATGGGTTCTTTATCGTGCCAACGCCTACCGTGACATGGAACCTCGGTTTTTAAGGTTTCATCCGAAAGACCCGTGACTTTCACTTATAGTGCCGGGCGCTCGGCGAAGGAACAAGTTACTTCCTATGTTTATATCTTAGGCTTGACGCGACTCCGCGAACGAGAATCGAAACCGGGCCTTCCGATCACGAAGAGAATGCAAATAATGGAAACAAATTTGAAAAGGATGGTAAAACAATTTAATTCACTGTTTTCCCAACATACATGTAGATCAGTCTGTAAATAAAAGATGTTGAAGCACTTTGTTCCCTCATAAACTATGGTATTACATTTTTAGATTTCTGATTCTGAAACATACAGCTGAATTTCAGGTAAGATGTCCAATCGATGCGTTCTCCGCTGAGACATCTATGGAAGGGACTTTTCACAATTTACTACATTGCTCCTCACTATAAGATACCACGCTGATGTAAACTTTACTAATATCATCAACTTTTTCCAGTCTCGTTTTCAAAGAATCCTTTACTTCCTGTGCCTTGTAATTCGACAGCTCTGCTGATACACAAATGTCCAGTTCAACTGCGATTTCATACCCCACATGATATGCGCTCACATGATTAACGGATTCTATAAGGTTGTGATGGTTCATACAAATCCAGATCAATTTACTGACAATGACTGGATCCGCTTTGTATCCTGTCAAAAGCTTGGTTTGATCTTAAAAAAAGAAATGTATCTTATTTTTTAACTAGACCAGCCGGAGGATACGTTAATAAACATCATCGGTTGAATTTTTTTTAAATTAAATTAAATTTTTTAATTAGATATATTGAAAGGACATCAAAGTTGTAGGTGATCTCAAAATCGTTTTTTATAAAGGTGTTCCTAAATGTCCTGCTTTTGATAAAGATTCCAAGAATGCACCTACCTCTTCCGGTAATGTACCAAGTGATTGCAATATATAGGGAAATAATTATAGCCCCAATTGGATCCAAGAATACAAGACATCTTTCTCCTAATTCGTCCTGGATTTCCCTTGACCCTTTAAAGTTAAACGTTCATAAAATCATGAATATATCACAGAGCTATACTGTCTTTAATACTAGAAAGATTTTTTTAATTAATACTTAATTGACATTTCAAGGGCTGATGTAGATGTGGACGTCGAATAAAAATACATGCAACCAGGGTTTTGAGCTAAATTAATGACGTTAATTTAAAAGATATATGTACACACATACACAAAAATTTTATGTAAAAATAAAAGCATTGTATATTTAACTAATCATACCTATATATCCACAGACAATGGCCAGTGTGTTAGATAAGACATCATTTCTATGATCCTGGGCCAGAGCTTGTACCGTAGGGGTCATGATACGTCGACACAATAGAAACAAGATCAATTTTAGCACTGTAAATCATATATTGTAGATTCAAATGAAGACACATACATGTATATACTTGTTCATGGAAAGTATAAAAATAAATGTGTAAAGAGAAAACATGCAATCCTTTGTCTCTTACATGTATTTTTTTTTAACTTTGACAATTTTCTACCAGAAGATGGAAATTAATGTATAAAAATGAGTCAGATTTAAGCAATCTGATTGAAATCAGGTCCTTTGATCTGCTCACATATATCGTGTAGCAATCAACTTGGGATAGAATTTTTAATCATATTAGAGATTCAAGCAAATTTAAAATACCATAATGTTCAAAGCTGAGTAAAGTAATTGTTCAAGACGAAAATTTCTATACATGTATAGGGATCATAGTGCTTGGTCAATTTGAAGAGTTATCTCTCTTAGTAGAGGGCCACTCTTCCTTAATTATTGTAAAACTATCTGTTTCCTAAATAAATCTTATTTTGTTGCTTTCTCTTTCATTGTGAAACGTTAACTGTGGATTCTTTAACAAAAAAAATTTGAATACATGTATATAAAATCTTGTATAAATTTAGTAACAAGTACATTTATGTGTATAAATTTATACAATCCCGTACCAACAGTGAAGCACGATATAGATATTGTGATGTAATCCACCGTGGGCGGTGTTATAGATCCACTGGACAAGGCTGTGATTTTATCAAGCGCCTCCTTCAGAAGCTGTAACGATGCCATTCCCATGATGACCGACAACAGAATCACGGCAAGAGGCTCCAACAGGTGACGACCTTTGAACAGACCGTATGTAATAGGTAGAGATTCGTCAAATGCATACCATTTATATATTACAATAGAAAAAGCTCTTTATACTCCAGTAAAAATCTTATAAATTATCCATAAATCATAAGTTGCATTTGCGTCTGTACGAATTATTACTGTAAAATCACTATTTTCGTGGGTTCAGTTTTAAGGGAAAAAAATATTTGTTAGTAAGGAGTTCATAAATTTCTTGGTTTAAGAAATGTAGGGTTACTAGTATTTGAAGTTTGAAATTTATATTTGATATACATGTACGTTCGTGGCGAACATTAATTTATGGGTCTCTTAAAATCAAGAAAACAACGCACCATTCTCGATACCACGAAATATAGTGATTTCTCAGTATTTACAAAGTAGTTCCGACTTGTGCATTGTAAAACCTAAATGAATATGCGACACATGGAGCACAAACTTGATATTTTGATTTACCGTTTGGATACTTAAAATGGTTAGTTTTACGGACTGCTCTGGTCGTTATCCAGACAACAAGACCGGAAACTAGATCCACCACACTATCAACAAGACTTGTTATGATGGCCATGGATCCCGACAGGATCGCTGCTGTCAACTTGGCAACTAGTAAAACCTGAAGAAAAAAGGGCCTAGATACAACAGAGAGAAGTACATCTATTTAAGAGCTTAGGTCGAATGTGGAATATCAAATATTTCATTATTTTATCTTTTCAAAAGTGGAATTAAATAAAGGACATATTTCATGTGTTTGTACCATTTATATATACATGTACATTACTTAAATGTATAAAAGGTTTTGCCTACCAGGGTATCCTTGAATGTTTATCATTTCAATACTAATGCCAACACCCATAATGATATTGTTTTAATGAGAGTGGTCTTAAAATTGCCTGCAGTTGGCACTCACCAAATTTGCAGCAAAACTAAGTTTTGCATACAAGGTCGTTTTCTTCCGCAGAATCTTAGACCGGGCGTATTTATCGTCGTTTGGTTTGTTCACTTCTTCATACCCTTCTATCAATTTATCTTGATACTCGTAGAATTTTCTGTAAAGAATATCATGCATTATTAAAAAGACACGCTTGATTTATTGAGGGTCTAATAGGACTCGACATTCATTTTGTGAATACCTGTAGTTGAAATAATATATGATGCTCTCAGGTGTAAGCCTAATTTATACTGGAACCTGAGTACATAAAACTTGTCTTTTAAAATTGCTTTAACAAACAAATGAACAAAAAAAAAAGGAAAAGAAAAGAAAGAAAAAAAAACGAAATAAAAGCAAACAATGTCAACCAAACTTTACTATTATACTTATCAAAATGTATATCAGTCTTCGGCATTAAAATCGTTAATGACGGGAGAAGAAAATTTATTTAAATGTCACTATATAACATTTTTTTATTCATTATCTTACAAGAAACAGTTCTTGCCTGGAAGCATTTGAGACCTTGCACTCTTTCTGGACACCTTTCGATCTCAGGAAAAGATCCAAATTCATCTCGAAGTTTTTTCTGTTCTCTAAAATGAGGAAAAAGATTGTATATTTTTATAATACGTATACATAATATATATTGAATAGGGATGATTATGTAATGAGCTTTCGAATATCTAAATTACTTAAATTCTTGCAAATAAAAAAATAGCGTTATTTTACAAATAAGAGTAGTCCCTTGGGTTTTTTTTTAACAGTTGTCTTTTTAAGTTTAAAAAAATGAAGAAAAAAAATTCTCCATACATTGATCTTTATAAAGGTTTGAAATACCCTCTGTTGGAGACGCATGATACTTGTCATGGTTTTCTGTTGGGTTGGTATTCGAAACTTCTACAGAATTATCTTGGACAAATGCTTGGTTCTAAAAAAAATATCTTTATACATATACTCATTTTGATAGTTGTAATTAAATTTCAAATCAAATTATTTTCATTTCAAACTCTGGATGTAAGTATATTTACTTTATTATTAATTTTTTTCATGCACCGAACCCCCCCCCCCCCCACCTGGGGATTTTCAGTTACATGTATTAAATTTCTATGTACTTTTACGAAAAAAAGCCCCCTCCCCTTTGACGAGCAATTGGCCCTTGGTAATATGGTAAGGAGTGCCTATATGTGCCTGATGAAAATTTGACTTAGTATTAGGAAAGTAACTTGCAATTGTTTCCTTAACTTCCCACCCCCACCTGGTGCACCAAATAAGATTTTCAAAGCAAGTTAAGTTTATCTCGTTTTATTTATTTACATGGATGTGATTTTTGCTAGTCAAAAAATTTCGAGTCCGATATTCTTTTGAGTTGCTGTGAACCCTCCCCCCCCCCCTCCCCGAAAAAAATAATAGCGCATGAAAATGCTTACGAGTTCACTTTGGTACCGTACTAATGATTTTTCAGCTTGAGAGTTGGATATAAATTCCTCGGAGTTTGAAAGATAAGGTTTTTGTTGAGACGTCTCCACACACGAACACCAGTACTCCATAAATGATCTCCTGAGAATAGTTTGGTAAGCTGGGGACTCTAAAACTTGCGTGCATTCTGAGCAGAAGTACTCAGAATTACATGTACATCTGTTGTATTGCAGTACTGGAAAGCCACACGCTGTGCATTCAAATCGGTAATTTTTCCATTCCATTAACCATGGACATCTTCGCATAGGGGAATTTTCAATCATGTGCAAGTTGTTCTGTTGCGAGCCTATAAATATCTAAAGAATTTTAAAGTAAAATAATTTAAAATAAAACTAAACTAAAGTAAACTAAAATAAAATGAAATAAAATAAAATATATTAAATAATTAAATAAACGTGTCAATAAAATTAAGAATGGCTCATAACTTTATTTTTAAATATGTTTATTTTTGATTAGATCTAATTCTAAAGGGGAAAAATTGATCGCATATCGTACAAGTGTGTAAATATGTGTGTGTTGGGGGGGGGGGGTGTCTATAAACTGATAAAAGAGAATACAGATCGATCATAAAAATTAATTGGAAGATTGGGGTGGAGGTTATGCCACGAATTTGAGGTGAAACCTAAAACGCGTTCCAAATGGGCTTGCTCGAAGTTCTCGAGCCAGTCGAGGGTGTAAGTTTATAGCTTGGAATACACCAAAACAAAGTGGGAAACGTGCATTACTAACTAGTGGTAAGTAAGTATATTAATTTACGTTAACGTTAGATTTAATGCTCTATACACTTATGGAATCTGATTTTAATGCTAGCATCAGTCAGAACTGGATATCAAGAAACAGAATGGTTTCCAATCTGGGCTTTTCTGCGAACATATCCCTTTGTTTACTCGTCATGTGATAGGCTAAAGGCATAGCCATTACTTGTTTACTCTGCATTCTATATATAAACGAATCTTGTTTGTTTTTTATATTATTATTATCTATTTATCTAATCTTAGGATTGAGATTCAACATAGATTCTATATTAGAAGGAATAATGACCTTCTAAATGCATAAACGGAAAAAATCTATATTTAGAAATGTATGAGTCAGCCTAAGTATTATAAATAATATATTGCGGCAGTATTGGCACAGGGGATGTAGCTCAGTGGTAGAGCGCTCGCTTCGCATGTGAGAGGCCCCGGGTTCAATCCCCGGCATCTCCACAGGTTTTTTTTTTTTTTTTTTTTTTTTTCAAAGAAGTTATTTTTTTTTTATCTCTCCATCAAGAATGTATAATTCAATGGTATTTTTGTATTTTTTTTTTTAATATTCAGGGACTTTTTTTTTCTTTTAAGATTAAAAAAAATTACGTGGATCAAATTCCTTTAAAAGCAAAATAAATTTTAATTTTTGTTCTGATATAATTTTGTTCTTTTTGCGTTTTATCCACTTATGCAAAAGGATCTGCATGAAGTTTTTAAAGACGAATTCAAAAGACTGTGCATATAGTGTAATTTAAGCTATTGCTCATTAATGACACTAAATTAAAAAAAAATAGATATAAATCTTATTGTCTAAAATATAGGACTGAAGTGATGAAATGATTGTAATTGTAACATTAGATATCACGAAGTCACATTGTCAAGATATCAAATGTAAACAGTAAAAAATACAAAAATAATTGGACTTTGCTTATTGTGTTAGATAAAAACGACCCATAGACACACTTCAATCTAATACTGTACATTTATGTATATGTAGCAAACATTTTTTAAAAGGATTAATTTGCCCACCTTCTCGTGGTATATTTATCATTAATTTGACGTGATATACTTTCTTGTATATATAGGTAGATCTTACCCCAGTGCTTTCAGAGGATGACATTCCGGATTCTAGCGGTTTTCCTGCTTTGTGCCACTATTTCACAACTAATAAGGTAATAATTCCCTAATTATTAAAAAAATATATATGTCCAGTGTTAAATATCATCAGATATATGTACATGTACATGCATCTGTGCTGTTTTTGGACTCTCTCAGAACGGGGGGCGTTCTGAGGTATTTTTATTGCAATTCGCTCCAGATCGGTCCTACTGACGATGATTGATGGTGACCGACGTCCGGACAGATTTTAGACGTTATTATAAGGTTATATAACACGTCTCAACGTTGTTTATTGTCTTGTAATCAAGACATACATCATATAAATACAGATGCATTAATGATTGTGTATAGGTAAATGGGGGTAGGTGGGGGTAAAGCTTTATATAGAAGTTTGCAGGTCAGGCTTAGGTGACAACCTGATGAAAAAAAAATTTTTCGATCTTGGCATGCATCCATGCCTTATGTAGACACTTGACATAATGACAATATAACAATTTTATTTATTTATTTTTTTTTTTGCTGTGAACTTTTCATTTTTACCGAAACAATAAATTACACAAAAGCAGCATGCAGTAAAAATTCCAAGTGTGACCAAATTTAAAATGTTCAGTATTTATCGACTTATTTTGGACTTAAAGAGTACATTGCTAGTCTAAATTGCGATCTTTTTGTAAATTGCTAAAAGTGCGAGTTTTCTTGAAAAATATCTACATAATGTAATCATAGAAATTTCTTTAAAAGATCGCAGAAGTAGAGATGTGATGAATTAATGGTTTCATAAGTGTATTATAATTCTTTATTGTAAAAATTTCCTCACCTCTATTCTTTAGTCAATACGAGTCTCTTTTTATACATAAATTATGATTTAAATGAGTAAAGTTACATATGGATAAATTTTGATTTAAACGAGTGGGTATTTCTAAATAAATGAATAAATAAATAAGTAAATAAATAAAGAAAGAAAGAAAGAAAGAAAGGAAAAGGAAAAAAAGAAATTGTAAACAGGATGATTCCTTAATTGCAAAATTGACAAATGGGATTAAATCGTACGCCATGTGTACTGTTGACATGTACACATACTAATGAACTGGAAAATATGAATTGCATTACTGGAATCTAACGACCGTATGTAAGAGGCCCATGGGCCACATTGCTCACCTGAGCACATTGTCCAGGAAAAAGCATAAATCAGTTCAGTATTGGAAAGTTTAAATATAGAAGTGGTCCCTAAATCTCCCCTCCTTGGGATCACGTTTTGTACAGACGTGAATCTACGCTACTGAGGATGCTTCCACGTTTCTTTGATAAATCATGACTTTAGAAAAATTTTCATGATTTTAATTTTTCCTATAAATATTGGATCTCCTCTTGTTGCCCACCCTATCCCCGGGGGACATGTTTTGAACGAAAATCAATCTAAACTACCTGAGGATGCTTCAAAATTAATGTGTCATTGTTTTGCTGTTCTTGAGAAGATTTTTAATCATTTTTCCTATATCTTCCTTTGTATAGTTTTGATCCCCTGTTGTGGCCCCACCCTACCCCTGGGAAATTGACACTTTTTGAGGATACTTCTGTTTTAATATGACTTATGGATTTTCTGTTCTTGAGACTTTCAAGAAGTTTTTTAAAAAGATTTTTCATATATATTCCTTTGTAATACTTTGATTGCCCATTATGGCCCCACCCTACCGCTTGGGGTCATGATATAAAAAAAAAACAAACTTGAATTTACACTACATAATATACACTATATAAATATGACCAAACATGACTTTGCTGTTCTTGAGAATATTTAAGATTTTTCTTACGTTAAACTTTGATCGATCATTGTGGCGCGACCCTACTCCAAGGGGTCATGATTTGAGCAAACTTGAATCCACGCTACAAGAGAATGTTTCCATATAAATATGACCTTATGGCTTTGTCATGGTATGATTTGGGATTATGGCTTTGCTGTTCTTGAGAAAAATTTTTAAAGTTTTTTTTTCTTACGTATTCCTATGTAAAACTTTGATTGCCCATTGTGGCCCGACCCTACACTACCCCCAGGGGTCATGATTTGAACAAATTCGAATCTACATTACCTGAGGATGTTTCCATATAAATATGACTATTCATGGCCTTGCTGTTCTTGAGAAGATTTAGATTTTTTTAGTTTTTTTTTTCTATGTGTTCCTGTGTAAAACATTGATCGTGCATTTTGGCCCCGGCTTAGCCCCAGGGGTCAGGATTTGAACAAACTTGAATCTGCACTACATTAGGATGCTTCCAAATTACATGTAATACGACTAATTATGCCTTTGCTGTTCTTCTTCAGAAGTTTTAAAAGATTTTCCCTTTGTATTATGATGTAAAACTTTGATCGTCCATTGTGGCCCCACCCTAAACCCAAGGGCCATAATTGGAACCTACACTACCTGCTTCCATATAAGGTTCCTGTTTTTCTTTCTTTTTTTTTTTTTTTTTTTTTTTTTTTTTTTTTTGCTAAGTAATTCTTGAGAATAAGATTTTTGAAAACATGACATTAATTTTTCATTAATTCATAATTATTTTCCCTTGGAAGAAGGCCTGGTCCTTCAAATACCCTTTAACCAAGGATGCTTTGTGGCAAATTTATTTAGAATTGGCCCAGTGGTTCTTGAGAAGTCAAAAATTTGAAAAGTTTACAGACCGACGCCGGACACCGGGTGATCAGAAAAGCTCACTTGAGCCTTCGGCGCGCTCAGGTGAGCTTAAAAGGGAAAGGGGGCTTTGGATTTTAGCTATGTGCACATAATATTCCCTATGGTAATTTGGAAGACGTCATAATTATCTACAGTATGTTATTATTTGCGTCTTCCTTTCTATCAAAACTTACAAGAAAGATATAGACGCAAGTGTCAAAAAATACTAACACAGAGAGCGCACCGCAAACAAGGCGGAAAATGCTTGGCGAAATGAAAATGGCGTTTTACCTCGTTTTTTTTACAGAATAAGAAATCTCTTAATATTGTCTCAAGAAAATCAAATTTAAAATGTTTTGAAAAGTTTACTACAATAAATAAATAAATAAAAAAATCCTGTCTGTTTGGGTGATCATGTTTAACCTAGTAATAATCACGCATTTAATCTTTAAATGTGTGAATAAAAATGCATTTTTGTTAGAAAACACCGTCGCTGTATAAAATACTTTTAAAATCTACTTTTTTATTTAAAATTTTTATGCAATATTTTAACTCCGCACATTACCTTCATATACCTCCTGGTGACCTGGTTTTCAACACAATTTCAGGGTTTGATGATACTTTTCTTGGTAACATGGAGAATCTGAAAATTTTGGGAATTTTTTTTCCATTGTTTTTCCATTGTCAAGAACCAGCGTCGGGTTACTGAATTAAGTTTAGACACCAGTGATTATATTATTTGAATATTCAGTCCTTTACGAGTTTTAATATGTACACTTATCTGACTTCAGATTCTAGCATTATTGGAAGAATTACTTTAAACACGACTGGCATTTCGCTCGTGTTAGGTTATATTTCTAACCTTTTTATAACCTGCGACCTACTGAACTGAATAGAATATTAATCCTGTATACTAGTATTTATTTGTTTATTTTACTTTTTTTTTTTTTTTTTTTTTTTGTTTTTTTTTTTTTTTGTTTTTGCTTGGGAAAACATAATATACTTTAAAAGATTTCACGAGGAAAGGACAAGATTAAAGTTTTAGGTTCTTCAAGGAAATAACATTCACTTCCTATAAATCATTAGTCAGTAATGAAGGTCACATGTGTTTGCCATGTGACTCGGGCAACACATTAAGTGCATTTCAATTCAGAGTTTATATAATCAACCTCATCATTAAACCTAGATAAACGACCAAATGCTGATCACTTTAAGAAAGTACTTATTTGTAGCTGACAGAAACTAGCTTTAAAATATTTATTTACTAATTCCAAAACAATTACTTTTTAAAGCACTATATACCATGCGTAAAACGACTGTGACAGTAGTCATGAACTTATATGCAGAACTTTGTACCCGTAGAAAATTCATGCATAGATTGTAAGCTTTAATTTATTCATATTTAGGGTTTTAACCAATCATTTTGATTTATTTACAGTTGTGAAAAATATCCCGAGGATGAAGAGACAGCATTGAAAGTCTTTCAGTAAGAACTTACTAAAAAAAATATTGAAACCCTGAAAGGGATGGCAACAGTAACATTTCTTTGTAGTTTGTACAGTATTTAAAACTTAAAAATTAATATCTTTTATACTGATGTTACAGTAAAGTTTTAGAATCCAGAGAATTTAAAACTCTGATTGTTATAGTTAGTTTTAAATTCTCTGGATTCTAAAACTTTACTGTAACACTGATATGAAATTTTTAAAAGGACTTGGGGGGGGGGGGGTCGTTATCTCAAGGGAAAGTCAGTACTGTGAGACACAATACTTTGGTTATTTGTAGAATATGGAAGAAAGAGCACAACAAAGTGTACCGAAATCACGTGATAGAAAGCAGAAAGTTCAACACCTTCATGGAAAATCTGAAAGTCATCAATGAACTCAATGTTAAGTTTGAGTAAGTACTGATACAAGAAGACTTATCAAAAAGTAACCTTAAACTGATCAGCTTTTATTAGTCCAAGATTTGATTTGACACGTTTGAATTATGAATTCATCATGCTATATATATATATATATATATATATATATATATATATATATATATATATATATATATATATATATATATATATATATATATATATATATATATAAAGAGAGAGAGAAAGAGGGGGAATCTTTAAAGATCTTCCTCTTAAGAGTGACAAGGCCATGATTAGTAGTATTATTAATATGCATGCTTAATTAGGTAGTGTAGATTCAAATTTAATCGAGTCAAAGCCTTTGGAGCCATATATGAGAACATAAAGGAAATTAAAAAATAATTCTTTTCAAGAGTAGCAGGACCACTCAAAATCATATTGATATGCAAAATTGTGTTAGTTTTAATTATGGACCTTGGCATTAGGGTGGGGCTAAAATCTGGGATCACATTTTACTCTTTATAAGGGAAAAATCTTCATATCAGCATTTGAAGCATCCCCATGTAGTGTAGAAAGTCATGGACACCTGGAGCCAGAGTGAGGCCACAGTATGGGTGAAAATTTTGTTGGAAATAAAGATTAGGGGGTTAAAAAAAATCATCTGCATCTTTGCTATCCACGCGTTTTTGACCCGCTACTCGGGACAGAGTAGCAGCTAGATCAGAAACACTTAGCTAGCGAAAATGCATCAGGGCGAAGCTTTTAAGGTAACTCAAGTGAGCCTTGTGGCCCATGGACCTCTTTATAAATATCATGACCTTTTTACTTTTTACCTTAATCAATATCATAGAAGATTTTGTGACAAGTGTTTTCAGTAGTTAGTTGATCCATATCTTTTAACCTTTCTTTGGTGTGGTCAATGGCCTCCTCTGGTATTTATTTGTCCTTATGGAGTCTGAACTCGGACACCTGCAGCTAGAAGCCGTCATGTCTTTATCAAATTCTTCATTTCTTTAATTTTAAGGGAAAAACAGACAGGTGTAAATTATGATATATTTCTGACAACATGAAGTAAAGTTTTTGGCTATGACAAGAACAAAAATTTCTTTAAATATGCAATTAATTTGAAGCATTTTTAATTGTTTTTCTTATAGAATACTAGTCATAATTATTATCCAGATGTTAGAAAAAAGTTAGAATATGTCCTTTCTGGTGATTAACATCATGGATCACATGTTTAACGTCATTAATTACCTATTTGTCAGATCTCTGGCAGGAATCAGTCAATAAATGACCATACCTTGACCTTATGTTACATGTAATTAATGTAAAGAAATCTCGATTCAAAGGAGGCCCAAACATTTCTTGCTACGAGAGTAGATTTTTTTTCATTCAAGAGTGGACAGTTTGAGGGATTTCCTCTACCTAAGTACCCCACCTTCTGTTAACATCATGTATTGTCAAAGGTGCATTGGCTAAGTACATATATACAGTGTATAACGATACACCCATGCTAATTTATATGGGGGCCGCTACGGATGTACCACAAATAGTCGTAACAGGGCCTCAAAGCAAAGCTTTGTAAAGAATTGCAATATTTCTTTGTTTTTTTTCTTCTTTTAAATCAGAACTCCGAATATATACAAGTATGTAATATTCTAAGATACCTTAGGGCTTATTATACGGTAACAATTTCAAAACAAATTCTTTCTTTTATGAGTAAAAACAACCTTTTACATTATCTAGCCACCTGTAAGTATCAAAATTAAGCATACACACAATTTCATTTTTGTTCGATTTTTCAAATGGAATTTGAAACTTGAAATTTTAAAGTATGGAGTTGAAACATATCAAACTGGGTATATTTTTACATATACTGAATCAAAATCAATTTCTGATGTATTGATTAATGAAAATTATGATTTTAAAGTAGAAATGAATCATTAATAATCTTTTGGAGACGTCAGATTGACCCAATTATATCAAGTTACCATAGACTTTCTAAAAATAAGTGACATAGGCGATGTTGACGGTAACGTGATCCATGACCTTAGCCAAACTACGTCATAACAATGTTTTGATGAAGTTTTTCCTTCATTTAGTTTCCGATGATAGCTAATTTTCTACGGTACTTGAAAAACAAAAACTTTTTCACATGTCTGCTTTTTTGTGCATGACTTAATTATACCCTCTTTTTTGTTTATCATTCATAGATATAACAGTTAAAGGTTGAGAAGCAAATTTATTTTTCTTTGTGAGTAAAGTAGACCGCGGGCAATATATTGCACGTGCGTTAACTAGAACAAATTTCATTTCAGAGAGAAGACAGTCTTTGGCTTGAACCATCTGGCAGATCTGAGTCAGAAGGAATTTTCCAAAACAGTATTAATGCCCAAAAGAAGAGCCCCAATTTTTGAAAAAGAAAGGTAATTTGGAATGATGGTATCACATGATGCAAGTGTAGTGGGACTTTTGCAATCAATTATGTTGATAAATAAAAAAATAGTGTATGACAGCACTTTGCAGAAATAAATGGACAAGAAGTATTTTGTAATTATGGTTCTAACCGATAAAAGGAATTAGGTACATCATATATAATGTAGAATTACAAAAAAACAACAACAAGAAAACTGGTAATGTTAACGTTTGTCCGGTAATTAACACGACGCGATACATAGTCAGACATGTGTATATGTTTGCCGGTAGCAAGAATACGCGTGTCCCCCAAAAAATACATTTCCTGATTTGTTTGTTTGCAAAACACATTCCGTGCTTTATCATTGACCTTTGCTTTGTTAAATACATAAATTGACGGAAATCTGAAAAAATATAACATCTGGTCTCGGTATTTTATTCTTATCATGAGTAAACCTCTTTTAATTTGGTATAACACAAGTACAATATTTTCCAATACTGTCTGGTTCATTGTATTGTTTGAGTCCATGTCTTTCCTGTACATTTTTTTTCAGGCATTCTTTATGCAAAGTCTGTTTAAGAATTGAATATTGACTTCTTCTATAGATATATCAGAAGTTCACTCTCGGGATCTCTTCCAGACTCGTTCGATTGGTCGAACCAAAACAAAGTCACAGCAATCAAGGATCAAGGTGACATAATTCTACTGGATAGTCATTTTAATGACTTATTTTCAGATTAATTAATATCAAATGTGACGAAAAGAAATGAATAAATCAATAGACATGGCACAATAAATTCACATTTACTGTAACAAAAACAAAAGGGGGGGCTTCCTTGTCACCCAGTTTCTCTGTTTGATGGTAAATATACTAAATAACAAACATAACAACTGATAGACCAAATGATCATATAGATATCAGGTGAAGAAAATGCATAACAAGTAGAAAACACATTTAATATGTTTTAGGGGAGAAATCTGTGACAAATAAACAGTAACTGTAATGTAATATAGAGGTCATGATCAGTTATCCGGCAGTGAAAAAATAAAAAACAGAAATCAACTTTTCCGCTGCCTTGTAAATATGACAAACGTGATATTTCGTGGTTACCCACATCGATCATTTTCTGCTTATTACAGGTGCTGCCGGGTCATGCTGGGCTTTCAGGTAAGTCACGTGATCAGTACCACAAGAATAGTGTCTCCTTCGTTTTGTCTTCATTTCAGTTTTTAGCTCACCTCGACGAATTCGAGATGAGCTTATTAGGTACACCCGGCGTAAATGTTGGCGTCCAGGTTAAAGTTTTAGAAACAAGTCCGTTCCCTAGTTACTACATGTGTAAACCCTACACTGACCAGAAGAAATTTGCATGGATGGTGTATCTATGTATATGCACTTCCAGATTTGCTTCGGATGCTGAATTTGACCGACATTTTGCAGATGAATGAACAAACTTTTTGGAGCAGGTCCATTCTAAAGTAACTAGATATAAAAGACATACCTAGATCAAACTCGCATGGATGATGCATTTAGGGATAGACTCTACCAGACTTGCTTCGGATGTTGGATCGGACCTACATTTCCTGGATGAGTGACTAAGTTAAAGTTCTTCGAGTAGGCCTATTCCCAAATAACTGTAAGCCTTACCTAGACCAAACTTGCATCAATGATGCATCTAGGGATGTACACTACCAATCTTGCTTCTGATGCTGGATATGACACACATTTGACAAATGAATGAACAAATTAAAGTGTTTGGAGCAGGTTCATCCCCAAATAGCTATAAACCTTACCTATACCCAACTTGCAGGGATGATGCATCTAGGTGATGTACACTATCTAACCTGCTTTGGATGCTGGCTCTGACCTACATTTTTCAGATGAGTGACTACCTTCACCAGATTTGCATGGATGGTGCATCTAGAGTTGGACAGTATAAGACTTTCTTCCCATGCTGGATCTGACCTACATTTTCCGGATGAGTGACCAAGATAAAGTTCTTAGAACAAGTGTGGACCCAGAAATAATAACCCCTAACTAAACCAAACCAAACCTGAATAGATGATACATCTAGGGATGCACATTACCAGGCTTGCATTGGATGCTGGATCTGACATACATTTTGCTAATGAGTGAACAGGTTAAAGTTTTTTGAGTAGGTCCATTCCCAGGTAACTATAGGCCTTAACTATACCAAACTTGCAGAGATGATGCATCTATGAATGTACACTACTGAATTAACTTCTTCGGATGCTGAATCTGAACTTCATTTTTCAGATGAATGACTACTAGCCATGTCCAGACCAAACTAGAATGAATGATGCATTTAGTGATGAACATTATTATACTTGCGTCTGATGCTAGATCTGATCTACATTTTCCGGATGAGTGACCTTCATAAAGTCCTTGGAGTAGGTCCATTCACAAGTAATTTAAGTCCTACCACCAAATTTACAAGGATGATGCATCTTAAGATGCATACTACCAGACTTGCCTTGGATGCTGGATCTGACCAACATTTTCCAGATGAGTCACCAGATTAATGTTTTTGAAGCAGGTTCATTCCAAAGTAGCTAAAAGTCTTACTGAAACCAAACTTGGTAGGATAATGACCTCGGGATGCACACTGACTAGAATAAATTTAATGTGAGATTTGCCTTTCTTATAATAGATAACACAAGGTTAGCTTCGTAATCTTTGATAACTGATTCATTTGTAGTGGACAAACCATTACAACTCATGCAGTGGTAAAGTGTTCGCTGTATGTCTGTTGTTTTCATTTTTTTATTTTTAAAATCCTCTAAAAGATTTCCCTTCCGCATTGGAGAACTAGTCACTTAAATGTATTAAATGCAACATACATGTACTACTATTTAAATGCGTAATTCTGTGCATATGTGATATTGACGTTGGTACTAGAAATGATATTAAATGTTGACTACTTATAGGTATATTTTTCAGAGCATAAATTATTATCTTTGTTGTTACATGTATGGTTGTCGCTATAAAATATAAGAAAAGATGTTTCCTTTGTTACAAGTACTTATAAATTATATACTCCGGCAGTTTTTTTTTGTCCGTTTTGAATACAAATTGGCAAATGATTTAAACTTCTTATATGTGCGTGTCAATATTTAGCTACTGGTCAGAGACCAGATGAGTTTATGCGATAGTAAGGTGTCCGTTCGTCTGTTCGCCTGTTTGTCTGTAAACAATTTTTCAAAATGCTACCCATCCTTCAGTTTCTGTCCAACTTCAATATAAATTTGTACATAGGTAGACTTCACTAAGTTACATAATTACCGGTCATTGATTTTGTTGAATGGCATTGTCATATAAAAATAGATATTTCTGTTAAATTCTTTCATAAGGCTTCTCCCTCTAGAGTTGGTCTGATTTAAATAAACACTTTTACACAGTAGACTACGCTCAGATACATTATTATATGTATTGGTTTTTGATTTTGACGAACGGTGTTGAATGGTTAGTAAAAATAAAATTTTCTATAAATTTCTTTCGAAATGCTACCCTTCATATACAGTTTTAGTCCTAATGATATTGATGCAACCCAAATGTTGTGTAGAAATAAGTTCTGTTAAATCATAATCCCTTTCAGGTTAGGCCCATAAAATTGGGTCAAAAGTTTTTATTGGTATAACCTTACCTGAACCTTAATTCTCCCCATGCCAGAAGGCACACAAGGCCTGAACATCCCTCTTCCACTGGGACCGGTTTGAGGCTGCACGGCATGCCGTATTCCAAGAGTTCCAGCCTGCATCATTCATTGATATATATATACAGAGGAAAAAATTGTTTAAAAAATCTTTTGATGAAAAACAGCAGGAGCAAAGTAACTCAGGTTCACACATTGTGGCTCATGGGCCTCTTTTTTGTGCATGTATTATTGATAAAAACTTTATGAAAATATATTGTAAAACACTTTATAAGAATATGCAAATGGCTTATGTTGTCTTAAAAATGATAGCTAACAAATTTCCATGTACATTGAAACAACGTTTTAAAAAAAATTATTTATTTCCGAAGCACCCATCTCGTTACAAAGAATCTAATTGCTATTTTGCACTTGTTTCAATAACTTGCTATCAATCGCAAGGGCACAGAACCTGACCCCCTCCCCATTCAGACGCGCACGCATATTTACACAATACACATTCTCTGAGATTGTTAGACCCCTGTCTCTGCTAACAAAAAGCAATTAACCATCTTTGAATTGTTTGGCCATTAATAGTCTAATACAGACTGATGACATTTAGAATCGGTACAAATTCACGAAGAAAATCACTAAAAGACCTAACAAAAGTGATATACATGTATTTACAATAATTTGGGGTGAATTGCAGTGCTATTGGTAACATTGAGGGACAATGGGCAATGATGGGGAAACCTCTGACAAATTTTTCTGTGGAGCAGATTGTGGACTGTGACGGAATGGAGGATGTACCAAAGTGAGTATCACTCGTTTTATCATTTGTTAAAAACACAGACACCAAGGACTTGTCATTTCTTATAAAACTAGTCATTTCCACGTATAGAAATAAAGCCAATACCTGCTGCCTGGAGATACTAGTTACATGTAACTAGTTTGGTGTTTCTGTTATAATTAATACTTGCATATGATACATTGTACATTACAACTACCCAAATAGCATTCATTAACATCATCTGTTCTTTACAAAACTCTCTTTTATTGGAAGATTGTCATATTGTAAATTTTAAATTTAATGGGAGGGTATAAAACACAATTCTAAGATGAAATGATATCATTTTTGTATTGGCATTCGCTCAGCAGATTATTAAGAATATACAGCTATGCTACCTTGACCTGGCCGAGCTGTTTGAAGATATGGGTCAGGTTGTAATCGGACGGATTCTTTATTATTCAAGTTAATGTAAGAGAAACCGCGTGTCAGGATCCGACGTTGTCGATCAGATGAGGTTATTGATTAACGTGGCATTGATAGACAGGGTTTACGTAAAGCCTGCAAATCAATGGTCACGCACTATCGGACGGGTGTGATTTACGGCGTTTTATTTTAATATTAACATTTGTTATAGTTTATGAAGGGGCAAAATTGAGGCCTCTCAGATGATACCCTTTTAAAATTCCACTCTAGCAAACTGCATATGATTTATAAATCACAAGTAAATAAGTAGTTGTTTTTTTTATTTCTTTCATATAGCTGTTGACATTTTTAAGATTTATTTATTGATTTACTTTTATCAGTATTTTTTTTTAAATGTTTTTGAATTGAATTCTTTAGATCCACTGGCAAGAATATCAATCAAACTTTGCACAATCGATTTTTGGACAGAGGGAATTGTATTTCTTTATAACTAATGATTAAAAAATACTTTTGGCCTGAAGTGACACATGGTAATTTGCAAGGTCGAAATACATGTAATTGGCAGAAAAATGTTAGGTTTAGTGAGGAAATCACTGAGAAGCATCTTTATAAATTTGAGTTCAATTACAAAAACTTCAATATCACTCTCTACCATCGGCTCATACATTCACCTCTGTCGTTGGCTCACGTATTACGCAGTGTAAAGCATAAGAAATAGTGCATTTGTTTTAATTCATTATAATTAAATTCCTTTACTAATGTTTGTCTTTTAAGGTAAATATTTACTTAGTAGATCTAGAAATATTAGTTTAATTTGAAATATTCCTTGGAATATCATGTTTTTTTTTTTTACCTTATGTCAATAATCTTGACGCTAGCCCATTGCAGAGGTGTCTGAGAGAGAAACGAACGACAACTCTGCATAGGAGATTGCTTCGATATATAAGAATAAAAATGTCTCCATAAATTGATTTTCAAATTCAAGCAATCGGCTCTTAAGCGACTGCAGGAATAATGAAGACTTGAATGTTTGAGTTACCCAATGCCAGTAATCGAAGATTATAGCTATGCAAATATGATCCATTTTTTAAAGTTCTAAAAAAATTCTTTCAATTGTTTAATTTTTAGGGGTGAGGCAGACTGCGGAGTTTTTGGAGGTTGGCCTTTTCTGGCTTACCAGTACGTCATGAAAGCGGTATGTATGATATCTTAAATGTTTATTACCATGATAAAGCAAAGTCGTTTATAACTACCTTTTGCCAGTCTTTATTAAAGGGATAAAGAACTAAATTACTTTTAACAAAAAGTCCGTTCGGTCAGGGACCTATATACGTATATAGGTCCCTGGTTCGGTCATCCATTAATAGATGGTTTTCCATCGAAGTGATTTAAGCAAGAGTTATTTCCCCATGGCCGCCATGTTGTAGGTCAACATCCCCAGATCCCTTCATAATTCAACCAAGTTCAATTTGTTATACTGGGCACAGAGGTGAAAATAACACTGTTTTTTCTTATGAATGTACGTTTGTTAAACCCTCTTTTATTTCATAATTTCAATATTGTAAATATTTTTTTCCATATATTTCTGGCATGTTTGTTTAAAATTGGTTGCTCAAAGAGAAAAATTCACTACTTTGACATACAAGATGTTGGCCAAGGGGAATAACTCCGAGGCAAAATACGTCATAGGAAAATTATCTATTTTTGGAGATGTCTGACATTATTATTGTCATTCTTTGATCGCTCCTGCGCTATTTATCAAACCCTGAATACTATTTAGGCATAGGTTTGGTCTGATTTCAATATACCACGTCATACAAGTAGACTACATTAAGATATACAATTCTAGTAATCGTTTTTTTTAAATTTTGCCATGGTTACCAATAATAGAATCTGTGTCTGCGGTATTTGATTTGGTACTAAATTTTGTGAAAATGGTGACTCATTATGGATCCTCCTACAAATAGGTCATTGAATTTGTTTATGTAGTTTCGACTAAAAGCAAGCACTGCCTGATTTAAACTCAATAGGGCCTACAACGTTTTTAGTCGTAGTTTCAATGTTTTACAACAGGGAGGTTTGGAGACCTGGGAAGATTACTGGTATTGTTCCGGTCTAGGTGGCGCTCCGGGCACATGTGAGGTTTGCCCCGCCCCTGGCTACAACACAACACTCTGTGGCCCACCTATACCCTACTGTAATATGAGTCAGAGCTGTGTCACAAAATTAGACGTCAGCAAGTTTCATCCAGGTTTAAAAGTAGTGTCCTGGAAAGCCATTGATGAGGTAATGTTAAAATAATGTAACGCTTTGTACATATGTACTTCGTATTTGTATTTGTAGAGGCTTTTCTTTTGCAAAACTATTTCAAGATGTAAAGAAGATGGGTGAACAAGGCGGGCGAAGTGCCTATAGTGCGACAAACATGAAGTGAAAAATAAAATCTCAATTATATAAAATTTCTCTTTGATATTTCATCTAACATTAAAGTATATTTTATTGTTAAATCTCTACAATTTACAAAAATCTCACAAAGACTGAAATTATTTGCCTACGAAATAGCACACACACACTAAAGAGGACAAAAAGGATCATTTTCTCACATTTTAACAAAATTTTTCGATATGAGTGGGTCTTCGCTCCATTTTTTTGTAAGTTGATCTGAAAAGTTTGCATAAAAATATACATTTTTTGGTTAACAAAAACATGGAGCAAAGACCCACTATACCTTAAAAGTACACTTTTATGACAAATCATTCGCATCTTTCCGAGAAATACTTGAAGTCCATTAAGTCAAGGGTCATATCACAAACACGATTTAAATGCCACTATTCATCAGGAGCTGCGTGGCGTAGTGGTTAACGCGCTAGTCTCAAAGCAATATGATACTCCGGGTTTTTATTGTTAGGGGTTCGAATCCCACGAATACCATTTTATTTTTTTAATAAAAGAATTATTTTTTCCGAGATCTTTTTTTACCAGAAAAGTTTTGTTGGTCATAATTTCATAAATTTCAATAATGAGAACTTTATTTTAATTACTTAATTCAAAAATAGAATGTGATTTTATTAATATTTGAAGCTATAGGCATTCTGCACGCCTTGTTCACCCATCTTCTTTTCATATTCTTATGTGAGTGAAATTCAAAAAGTTAAATATGAAGAAGAAAAAATTAAAAAAAAAAAGAAGAAAAAAATCAAGCAATATTAAAGTACTCAACAGTTTACATTTACTTCTAGTAGGTAATTAAACTTTTCTTAAAATAAATTCTTTGTAGTAGCTGTCATTAAAAAAAAAACACCTATAGAAGTTTATCATATATTAATCAATTACATATTGCAGAATGAAACATCAATCGCAGAGCAGCTCATTAAACTGGGACCCTTGTCTGTGGCGCTCAACGCCGAGCTTCTACAGTTCTACCACCATGGGATCTTTGATCCGCCATCCTTTGTCTGTAACCCAAAAAGTTTGGATCATGGTATGATTTTCTTACCTCAGCAATTCGAATAGGGTTCATTTTATTGAATTGCAAAATTTAAAGCAATTCTTTAACTACCTTTAGTAAACGATGTTATTTTCTTTCCAGCTGTGTTGCTAGTGGGTTTTGGATCAGAAAAATCTATTTTCGGAACCAAAGACTATTGGAAAATCAAAAACTCGTGGGGTCCTAAGTGGGGCGAGAAAGGTTACTTTCGAATGCTACGCGGACAAGGGAAATGTGGAATAAATACTGCAGTCACTACCGCCATATTGGATCAAAATTAGATCTCACGTCTTAACTTACGATCTTGCTCAATAGTCTTAACAACAAAACATTTCGCTACGTGATAATTGTGCCATGAATGCGAGTGATGATGTAATTTTGTACAGAAATAGTTACTAGCAGATTTGTTTGTGTATTAAAAGTTGAATATATGTATTTTAACTTAAATTTTAAAAGTTCACATTACTTATTTAATTTTCGTGTGATGAAATGTGAAAAGAGTTTTCCTAAGCAGTGTTTGGACACAGATAGAAGACAATAAATAAGACAAGCGTGCCAGACAAGATTTTGAAGGTTAAATTGTCAAAAAAGGAAAAGTGTAGTAAACTCTTTTCCACTGCTTTTACTCTGAAAGCAAAATTGATCGCAAATCTCGGCAGGTAGTACTCCATATTTGATGGAGTTGCATACATGTATATAAACCTTGTATAATTACTCGCGCCAGTTCGCTACTGTATATCCAACACGGCGACAAACACTCAGTTGTTATCAAACCGGAAGAGAATGATACTCAGTAAGTAACACACAGAACCATACCGGTAACATTATGCTAACCCGGAATACAAGTAACATACTGGTGTCACCATTTTCCCCCTCTTTTCTTCTTTTTTTTTTTTTACAAGGAAACATTACTATTGAATAAAAATGCAAAGTTCACAGAGAAAATGCGAAAGAAAGTATTATTAAGCACACAATATAGATTATGACAAATTGAATTGATTTTTTGATATATGGCTAGAATTAGCACAAAAGGGGATTATTATGCCCCTAATAAAAATCACACGGTTTAATCATATACATAGTCGGATAACCACTTTAGTGGATGGCGAACACGGGTAGGTCCACTTGTAGGTTGAAGGACAGCATCGTTGCAAGTGGATTGTAAATCGGCGTCACTGTCAGGTTGTGTTATTTCAGAAACTAGTGGTTCTGTGGGTCTATCTGCGGGCACTAAAGGTCGAAGTGGAATTGGTGGATTCAAGAAAATAATAGGTATTTTTGGTGGAAATGGGTATGTAGGAGTGGTTAAGTTCTTTTCCCAAGTCCATCAATTCATGAGGCGATTCATCATACTCATCATCGGAGGGTAGGTTGTTGGGAATACAGTCTTAACTGATTTCCTCCGATAGTACTATTTAAAGTAGCAATCACTGTCTTTAACATGGTAAGCTGTTCGTCGAAGCTGGGAGCCACTGAACTTGCTTATGTGTCGTCATTTGCCATCGCAAGATTCTACAATATATCTTTCTCGGATTTTTGATTTATTCCGGTTGCAATATAAGTACACCAAGTCACAAACTTTTACAGGGAAGCTGCTCTTTCCAGGTTGTTTAGATGCCCGACTGTGTGACTATTGAGGTCGTTAGTCCATTAAATTTTGTCTTTGGAGTCTTTGCCAGAAGTGGCAGCATCTAAAGGAGAAATAATCTTTTAAAGACACGTACGAGGACTTTGAAAGCACCAATAAATGACCTCAAGCCGCTGACAGTAGATGGAGGTTGACAGTTGGCTAGTGCAGCGATGCGATGAGGGCTTTAACGAAGGGTATCTTCACGTCATATCCATACCAAGATTGTGGTTTCCCTTGGTGCAATCATGGTTTTTGATGCAGATAAGTTACGATAATTTCTCTGTATAGCTTGAAGATTTCTTGTGAAATCATTAAGGAGGTGTTCAGGAGTAGATCCACGACAGTACAAATTATCAGCTAACTAAGCAACTACAGCTTCCTTAACTAAGTCACCCTAAACTCTACAGGTCAGTTCCTCTAAAATGCCCTCCTAGCCAGACATACCCAAGGATTTTTTGCCAGTGGAATTTGCTAAAATGCCTGTGTAAGGTGTATTATGCCAATATACCTCCACTGAGCAATTTGTCGGAGAGTCGAATCTACATCAGGCATAAGCGATGGTTGGGGCTTGCTGTATCTCCCATCATCTGCAAATGCTGTAACTATCTGAAGCCTCCAGATGGCTTTTTGACCAGAAATGATGAATTTACATACTCGACGTTGACTTTCTCTGGTTTAGTAAGAACACCACATACCTCAAACTCATTAAACTTGTCCTGAAATGTTGAAAGAAGTTGTTTATATTGTACTGAGGTAAGTCCCTTTCTTTGAGGAACCTTAACTGACCTCATATTTACAACAGCTTTAAGTGGACCACTAGCGCCATTGTAGCCTTTAAAATCTTGGCTAAACACCTCGCTGTATGCGTCAAGAGTCTTCTTGAACTGTGCTTTCATCTCGGGACAGGGTCAAGATTGACTGCAGCGAAGTGTGTGGTTGATCGTTCACTGTATTTAGTGTTGGGTTTAGGGACAGGTATATTGTTTTAATTTGGAGAGACATCCGGAGAGAAAGTGGGTGGGTTTCACTAGCCACAAGTGCTGGTTTCGTTTAATGGTACAAGGTTCATTTGACAAATTTGCAATCCGTACTTTTCCTGCCACGCTATCTATAAATGAAGGAGGGAGCCGATTGTTGTAGAACTTTGACATGATGTAGGCAGAAGCGAAAATTTATTGTACTCATCAGGACTTGTCATATTGTCAGGAAGTTTGACGTCGATATATTCTCCTGGCCACAGGGTTGTGGTGTGGGGTACTGGAGCTCGAAGTACTTATGTGAGCCGAATGGAGTGGTGTCTTTCCTGAGCTTTTGTGCCATACTGGAATACACACTTGTCAGCAACAATGACGGGCGGGTCTGACTATAATGTCATCTGCCTCTATAAATGGAATTCCAGCCAAAATGGGAGTGTCCGAGTGTCAACAATTAGTCATTCGAATGTTAACTCTTGCCCATCATGAGTAAAGGTAAGTCTAGTCTCACCAGATAGATGGAGTGGTGATAATCCATCTGCCTGATGGGCATATTGTGATGAAGGGGTGACAGATGCTTGTAAATTGTGGGCACCATCCGATCGAATCATGTTATCACTTGCGCCACTGTCTGTGGTAAAACGAACAGAACGGTGTGCTAAATGTAGAATGTAGATATGTATCAATGTATTGACGGATTTGCACCCTGGATCCTTAGTGAATAAAATTTCATCTTCATCACTGCACTGGTTATCGTCTGTATCCATTATCTGCCTTGCCGTGGTAAAGTCTCTTTTGTCACTCTTGGGGAAGGTATGAACACTTGCTAAGGTATTGATTGTATGGACGCCCAGAAGCTTTACACAATGGACATGATTCCTGGACTTGTGGTGATGAGATTTTTTTCACTGAAGGAAACTGTGTGCGAATAGCTCTGGCGTCCTCTGTGTTTCGTAGTTTTTCCAGCAGTGAATCAAGGGCTTGGGGTATTTTAGGTTTCAATGTAGCTAGTCTACGTGATCTTAGATCGGTCCTATACTGTTGTTTCAATAATCTTGGGAGATCAGGATGGATAAGGGTAAGCTAGGTTAGTACGATAAACTTCTTCAATGTAGGGGTTTAGTTTCCCATCCTCTTGGATTTCCTGGCCTCTGTGTGTAATACCCAGTTCTGCTTTCAGATTTTCTTTAGTAAATGCCATTAGTCCTTGAAAAAAGGTCCTCAGGTCGTTCGTTAGGCTTAATCAAATGTTAACAAAGTCCAGGAAATCTGCACGTGTTGACTAAAATCCATAGTTTAAGCGAATAATCTGCTATATCTCCCTAAGTGTCGTAGAATTGTTTACAAAAGTGTTTCTAAATATAATAGGTGTGTAATTTGCGATCTGACCGAGCATGAGTTCGAGGGTTCTCACTTCCTGTGCGCGGATCTTGCGATTGGCCCCGGGTATATTCTCGTCGTCGTCCTCGAAGATTCTATGGGGGTTAGCGCGGGTTTTCTTCCCCCAAGTTGTTCCGTCCTCTAGACATAGTAAAAGAAATAGGGTCCAGAGAGATAGTATACACTAGACAAAATTGCTAACGTACTACTTTTTATTCTTATTTGTGAATTGATCATTTGCCTGATCGGTACAAGTATATAAAATATGCCATCTTTTCCAAAACAGTTGGATTGACAAATGTCTTGGTGTCATGACAAGACCCTTAAAGAACCTTCTTGCCCGAAAACCAATTTCCCGACTTGCACTGCGCACCGTTCTTGCCAAGATAATGAAGTTGGTGATTACCGAAGGTGGTCCGTGAGATTGCGACGGGAGCAGTCTCCCACTTAAAAATCAAATAATATACCCTGATTGACTACCATATTGCCTAGTAGTCATCCAGTACATTGGTGTCCTTACCAAACCCACACAACTTCCGGTTGCCCAAATTTTATGGATCAATCTTGAAATTATTGTGTGGTGCTTACTTAATGCCGTCACTATCTATAGTAAACATTTTTAAGATTGTTAATTCATTTGTAACAATTTTTCATTAGAGGAATGAATAATCTTTTAATTGTTTTAATTTTTCACAAATTTCTCCAAAGGCACTCCCTGCAGACACCATACTGACTGCCTTATCACGCTCTTCTTGGGTCAAACGCCGCATACGGTGTAACTTTTTTTCAGAGTTTTTCATTAGTACAATCATAAGGAACACAACCTCAAAGAAAAAATAGAAATTTATTCCACCAAAAAAGTATGGACACGAATTTTTTCTATGAAATGGATACGCTTCAGTAAACATTGTTGTTATTTATCAGTTAAGAATTTAAATGCCTCTTTTTTTTTTTTTTATTAAAGTAACATAATTTTATATCAAAAAACAAGTTTTGAAAAGAAAAAAATATTAATTTATTTTGGTGGTGCATTAGCAATTTTGTCTAGAGTATAATAAATTTTGTCTCCAGTTTTCGTAAGAGTTTCTACCTTTGTCATGCACAACTGATTTGGCGCTCTATTTGCCATGCTGTTTACGATGTTATGCATAATACGCTAATACCTGATTCTCCGGGGTGAATTTTAATTATCACGCGGTTACTGTCCAATTCTAGGAGAGATGAATATGCGTAAAAAAAATAGCTTGGGTTGATAAATGACCGCTCTACTACGCCAGTTAGTGTATATCTCTAACACAGTTAAAATGAAAAAGAGTATCAAATCCCCGGATGTTTACATCATTTCCTAGTTAGACGAGATGGAGAAGAGTACTAAATGGGTAGGAGTTACCTGATTGGCTGAATTCAGGTATGTAAATATTTTCATTTTAAAGTAAAAATACATGTATTAATGTTTTAAATAAATGATGGAATGAGGGAATATTACAGAAAGTATGGAAATACTGGGGGGGGGGACTAAAGGAGTGGGGTTGATTTTAGATGTAGAGTGTCATTTACAGTCGATCACTGTAAGTCGTAAACAACTGCAAATTTGACCTATAAACGTCACGACACGGTATATTTTTTTTCCGTGTTTTTAATAAGTCCTTAGAATGAAGTTTTAAATGATACCAGAGATATGTTTGGAAGGGAATTACTAGTAGTAAAGTACTGGAAGGGCAATAGGTTTGTAAAGAGTTCTATGGGAAATTAATTGGTACTCTTTTCCCTTAAACCGGAAAGAGTGACTGATAACAGAATGAGAAATAAGACACAAAACCATACCGGTCACATTATGCTAACCCGGAATACAATTAACATTGGTGTAGTATGATTTTGGGATAAACATTTAACAGAAACAAGTGCCTCTGTAATGAAATCATTACATTTTATCAACCTTTATTACATATATTCCTAAAACATGTAAAACATATTGGAAATTCGTACATATAAAGTTTAGCCCCTGAGCAAGTTATATGTACCCAGAATCTACAATAGTCTTATTTCTTGTACACAGATCCCTGTCTACGATAGTCTCTTTCAACCAGAACACTCAAGGCATTCTCTATCCAGAGTTGTCTTCCGCTGCGCTACCAACACCTCTGTCAACGCTCGTTCTTGTACAAATTCTAAACGGTGAAAATTTTGAATTGAATTCGTAAATAATTTTTGTAATTATCGATAAAGATGATAATTCATCATTTGTTTTAAATTGACCATCCCTAAAACGATTTATTTTCAAAGTTTTAGGGAACTATTTTGCGGCGTAATAATTAACATCTTAATTAAAAATCCTTTTTAAAGGTTATAGATTAGAAATAAATCCTGTTTTCTGGTAAGAAATATAATTTAAAACGATTATTAACAAAAAATTTTATCATTTACAAATTTTCCAAGAATTTTGTATATTAACAAGCGTTGATAGAGGTGTATGTGAGAGCGTAGCGGGAACGACAACTCTGGATAGAGAATGGACACTTGGCTGTCTTCGTAAGCTGCGAGAGCAGAGAGTCTGGTAAAGGCTCGTGATAGGTTTTGTTACGTCAGAACGAGGCACCGAAATTCTGGTAAATTTTTGATTGGCTAAAAAAAAACAACCCATACACACCTTCATAATAAAGCAAGTTAAAGATTTATAAACTGAATGTCTACAAGTAATAGCAGTTGGAGAAGAATTGCTTGCGATATAATTGCCCACTGGTTACATGTATTGGTATGTGTGTTGTACACTGTCTTGCTAAAATTATTGACAGAAGTAAAAGTGAAAGAAGTACTTACATGTATACCCTACCGGCATACAGTACTGTTGCTATTTCTCCTTTGGTATCAATCCTTAATGAAGGATCAGATATTAATATAAAATCTCAATCAAACAGTAGAAACAGGAGTCGTCAAACGAAACAAATTAATGCCGTCTGTCGGTTACAAACGTTATCCCATTCTTTCTTTTTTGTTTTCTTGTCAGATATTTCTGGGAGGTTGGATTGACCCCCCTTTTTTTAACCGTTGCTGCGGACCTGCCCTGAACTCCACTTACCTTTTTGGCAGTAGCTAGCCCATTTATACATGTATCTTTTGGAATATGATCGAGAGTGACCTGTAGATGTGCAATAAGGTTTCGGTATTTCAATTTTCACCCTGGGCGATTGGGAGTCAAATAGTGACGTTTTTGCAGTAGCCAAATCATCTTTTGGAATATGTGTGGTGAAGTCCTGTAAATGTGCAAAAAGATTTTGAAATTTTCATTTTCACCCTTGGGGCAAAACGCGGGGTCAAAACAAAATTTTTATGATTGTTTCCTGTTTCAGTGGGTGGTGATGACCTTCGGAATCATGACCAATAGATTTAATGTACGAGTCATAAATTATAATATAAAGGTAGTAATGGGGCTTTCAATTTTGATTAAAGCTATTGGGGAGTGCGGATGACCCCCTCTAAGCCTACTTAGTAATAGCGCATGACACCCAAGCTTTAACCCAACCATTTACAATTCAGATTTATTTTACCTGTATTTCGTTTTAATGACATACGTGTAACGTACTCACCGCCAGTTACTAGTACCTAACATCATAGTGATAAATTTCCTATTTAAAACATGCTATGAATTCGTACATCAAAAAAAAAAAAAAAAAATCAAGCATGTTTACTATATACCTGTATATAATATACGGATATAAAATTTTAGATACAAAATTGACAGCTTTCAAAAATGATATCAGTATTTATTGGAAACCTGGCTATTTTCCAAATATATGCACACCTGATCAACTTTGCCTCAATTACCCCCCCCCCCCGCCTCCCTTTTCAATTCATCTGTTTTCCTGATATAGATAGAACAAAATTATACAATAAAAACGTACACTGTACTAATTTTATCGTACTCTTTCGGTCGCATGTGATGTACTGGTACATGTGTATGTAGTTACCATGCTGGGTTATTATTTTTTTTTGTGATGTTAAATCAGTAGAAGTTCATTTTTAAAAACTATAAAATGCTTTCTTTTTTGTTAGTACGGGAATTAATGTTGCAGCTGTTGCAGGAAAAAATACATAATCCGCTTACGCGGGTTATGTTAATTTTTACTGCAATAGCTGCAACGTTAATTCCTGCACTAACAAAGAAAGACATTTTATTGTTTATATTTATATTTGTGCAAATAATCATATAACTTAAAATTAAGTAGTTTTAAATTATTTTATCATATATAGGTATGTATGTCGGTGTACGTGTCGTTGTAGGTGGCTTGCTTAGCGGAGTAAACTTACTGACTGACTTTCAATAAGAAATAAAGGAGATAATTTTCAGTGAATGTAAATAATATAGCATGTTTATCACTACTTATGCGCCAAAAATGTAACCCCTCAGCGTGCATATTTTGTTTTAAACACAAAAACCTTCTTTTGAAAATTCCTTTTTACACAGAATTTACTTCATTAAAGAATATGGGCGTGTTTGGCGTGTGATCTGCAGGAATAAGACGTACGAAACATTTATATAGTTTAAATGTCTACGATTTGGTCGGTTGAACGCAGCTGGACATACTTTACAGCTACTTTACAAAGTTACGCACATGGGAAAATTTTACATTTAGTTTGAAATACTTTGCCAAATTTAATATATCAGTCCGCTTATCTTAATATTTACTACATCTAAAACTTGGTAACGCTTCACATAAATAATAAATACATATATAGGGTATAGTTAAACGCAATTACAAGTACATACTTGTATATATTAAAGTATCAGTAGGTTGAAAGAATTGCTTTCGCTTTCGGTGAAACAGAACCAGAATTTAACCATTTGAAAATAAATTAGTTCATAAAATTAAACTGACAAAAGTATTGATTGTTCGTACTTAAAAAAATATTAACGCTCCCTGCGAGGATCGAACCAAAAAAAAATTCCTTTTCATTGCACTGGACGGGTAACGCTTACTACTGAGCTATCACCGCGGTCCATCACCACTACACACACTTATAGGTTTCTAAAGTGATAATGAAGCACCGCATTTACACATTTGAATTTTTTTTTGGAAAATGTTCATTTTTTATCGTCTCTGGGTCTTCTCTCCATTTTTTACAAATGTTTGTTAGTTTCTTTGAATTAAAATGCACACAAATAAAGTTTCAAAATCATGGAGAGATGACCCAGAGATTGCAAATTTTTAGAAAAACGTGTTTAAAAATGTAACATTTTGTACCAAATGACTCATCTAGCCAACTTTCAAGTTCTTTTTTAGCAAATCAGAATACAATATCGGGAAATTATTTCCCTTTCCTATTTCATAGGAACTCGATACATCAAAAGAATGCTAAAATTTCATGTGACAGATCAATGAAATTTTCAGTTTTTAAGTGCGCTCAGATTCCTGCCGAATGCCAATCAAAAGCGCCCTCGTTCTTCTGTCATTTCAGACTAGAAATAAATTTATTACTTAAAATACTTATATAAGAGCAACAGACTCACTTGACCATTTTACATATATCAAATATATATACAATGTATAATTTGTGTTATTTATAGTATTATTGTGGCTTCTTCCCTGGTTACTCAAATATGAAGGATGACATTTTTAGAGGCAATCACCTACATGTATGTGCTGGTATTACTGTCTTATAACAGCATCTAGTTTGTAATTTTAATCAGGCTAAAGGAGTAGGGTTATCTTTCTTTGGTCTACATGATAAGAACCGTTATCTTGACTGAAGGAAAAGGTCATCACCGCAATATTTTAAACTTGAATCATGGTTCCATGGAAATTTATTGTTTTGACAGGGTAAGGAAATTCTTCATTTTTTGCACACCAAAAGTTGATGTAGAAGTCGTTTATATTTCATAGATGAGAATTTTTAACTTAACATATTTATATGTACGCATTGCCTGCTTCGTATACATACATATATACATATACATATATATATATATATATATATATATATATATATATATATATATATATATATATATATATATATATATATATATAAAGTATTCAGTAATGGCAATTACATGTATATGTACTCGAAACCAAACGAATTAATGAATGAAATAACAAAGTAACACACACAATTAATTTTGTAGGAAAGATACCAGTATGTTTTCCTTTCAGCTGCCGTCCTACAGCTGTCTACAGTCATCGTTGCATTCTCTTCTGGGCATGCGCCCTCTTCAGATTCATCTTCTCCTTTGTACATGTACTTCGCAGCTGATGTTATCCATTCCTGATATTTTAATCATTCTTTCAATTGTACATGTAACTAGATGGACTCTATACCAAACAATCTGTGAAACTTTTGTGTTCGTTGTTGTTTTAGATTAGTACTTCTTTCTTATTGTTTTGGAAAATCAAATAAAGATACACACAGACTTGAACATGAAGCACGACTTGCAGACAAAATGGTGGTTAATCAAGACGATCTCCTCCAAACGAACCAGGGATTTCGAGATCTGACGCACGCTGGTCTTCCGCAGAAGAGAGGTATTCTCTTTTTTTTTATTCATAAAAATTTAAATACTAGTACATGTATATCAATGTTTTTGATTATTTTAAACAACAAATTTGGATTTCACAGGTAGTCTTGATTAAAATAAAAATTCCAAAGACGCAGTGAGTTTTTCGATTAGATAATCTAAATTTACAGTTGTCGGCGTGATATCGGCAGTAACTGCTTCCTTTAGCGTCTTGAAGGGGATAGCAGACAATGTCGATTTTTCCCGTGTATGTGTCATTGGACTTAAGAACCTTGGTAACCGGAAGCTCGTGGATCCCACTTGGTATTTGTCTCACGGTGTAATTCGTCAGCCTCTTCCTCGATATTTGCCGGCTGGGGACGCAGGAATTTTTACTTTTGAGAAAACAAGCTGTAAGTGGATTCTTTGAAAAGGTTTCTTTTGAAAAAAAAAAGAAAAAAAAAACCAGCTTTAATTTCTATTTTTTCAGTTGTTGGACTTTGATGGATATTGGTTAAATCAGTTTTCATTTGTGATTTGTGCCTAGATGCTACGGCGGGTACTTCCGGAGTACTGACGTACACCGTTTTCGGGACAAACCACCAGGTGGCTGTTTTCTGGAGTGTTCCATTTTTCTTTGGAATAAACTCGAACGAGCTTCACGTCCAGGTAAGAATAAGATTATTTTAATTGGAGAACGTATGATTCGCACAAAAACGTGTAAATTTAACCGTAACAACAGTAGTTACGCTAGTTTCGAGAATGTAGCTTCCCAGCAATTGAGGCGCAAAAAGTATCCATATCGGCATGGAAATGGGACATGTTGTTGATGTACACAAACGCGCATAAATAAATGAACGATGACTAGGGCTTTTAAAATGTATTTAATGTTATAGAAAGATTATAAATGTATATAATGTCGATCAGTGATGATTTTGATGATTAATATATAGAGCAATACTTCACGTGCTTTAGAAGATCTACTTTCACTTAGAATGCTTGAAAACAAAAGAACCGCCATAGTCCAAAAAAAAAAAAAAAAAAAAAAAAAAAAAAAAAAAAAAAAGAAATTCAGTTATATGTAGCATTGTGAAAGATTTTGTAAGTAGGAAATTTAAATTTTGATTAGTTTAAAAAAAAAAATCAGCATTGACTAAAAGAGTTGCCAATTATTTTAATGAACATTTGTTCACGAAATTATAGATACTTATTAGTCTTATTAGTCTGGAACAGATGAACAGAGCTCATGTTAGCTTATCTTATGTGAGAGACAGATGTTATATACATGGAACTATATTTACGTTTTCATCTCAAAAATTAAAGATAAACATAAGAGTTTACTTGTTTGATTTTTCTAGGTATGGACAAATGCCCATGCAAATGAAGCGTTATTTAAAAGCATGGAAGCTGATGAAGAGAAATTGACTGTGTGGAATTCTGGACATTGGTTGTCAGCTAGTGGATACGGAATCACGGTTAATGCCGCCATGACGAATGCCGCGAAAGCCTCTCTCCTAGTGGAGGTGGAGTTTAACATCACAAATCCAGAGCCGGAAATATTTGGTTGATTGATCTAATTCATTTTTGGTTAAGAAATTAAACTGAATTAGATATGTCTTGTTAACTTACGGTAAGCATGCAGATAAATTATAATTAGTTCTTTTAAAACAAAGAGTACATGTAAAACGAAATCTTCAAAAATGTGTTAAATTCCGATGGATATATGCTGTGTTCCGTAGTTAGTAGACCTGTTTTATATTTGATTTAATTTTAAAAAACGAAAAAAAGTAACGTTTGCATGGGAAGAATTTCTTGTTGAGGTCATCTATTCGATATCTGGATAAACGACAATGTTTTATTGATTAACAGCAGTCATTTTCATTCATTCCTCTGTGGGTTGTGATTCCCTAACTCCTCACTACCATCCCTGCAACTTTCAGAGGTTTGAACAAGAAAGAGATAGATTGAATAGCTAGTCGAAGGGAAGCGATTGATATATCTTAGTGAACTCGAAAAAAGACCACAGAATCTGCGACATCTGTTTATATTTGTTGTTTTACTGACTATAGACGTTAATGGCTAACTTACAACTAAACTACATAACAAACAACTTTTCCATCGTCAACTCCCACTATCAATGCAGTAATATTTTAAAATACCAGCATATGCTGCTTATATATCTCAACCACATTCGGTAAGCAATAGCATATTTTGAGTGAAAGTCGTTCCTAAAACCAAGGCAGGCTACTGAGAAATAAGTTGATGTTACAGGACTTTCAACAACTTTTTAAATTCGCCATTTTGTGATGGACAAATGCAACTTATTGTTCTGTTGTATTTTGATTGACATTTTATCCCAGTTGTTAGGCTCTTGATTTTACATTATTTTTGACTCCGGATTACTTTATTTTCCTGATCAATACAGAGGTTGAAGGGTCAACAGGGGATTGCTTACTCCACCTAGGCACTTGATTCATCCTCTTGTGTTTGGAGGATCCATGTTTGCCCTGTTCACGATTCCAGTTGTTTTTGTGATTTATGATATTGATCACTGTCCATTATCTTTGCAATTTTTTTTTATTAAACTATATATAAAAAAAACTGCCATAATAAAAAAAAAAATAATCCAAATCAAAAGTTCAAAAGTTTGTAATAATTTATTTAACTAAGTGAAAATAACATAAATTCTCACGTAAACATAAAGTGCATATATGTACATTTGTTTGATATAACATAAAGAAATTTCTGAACAATGTATATTCAAACACAACAAATAAAGCATACACTGTACACAGACGGGAATTTTTATACCTATCACGTGATCATCATGTTTAGCTCCTGTAACGTGATCATCATGAAAGTCAAAAATGCAGCTTGGATTTCTCTGTAAGAATTAAAACAAATCTGTAAAGAGAAAATAAAATGGTCTTAATATCAACTCGTGGTAAAGTTTATAAAATCTTCATCGTTGATTGACATTTCCATAAAATTATTTCCCATTCCCATTCTCCATCAGTGATATATACATTTGGTGTACATTATACTGATTTTTTCGTAGTATTTGCGGATGTTCGAATGTCACTTCCTAGTGTACCATTTCAAATTAAGACAGCTGAATAAACCTTACACGGGTGTTTTTATTAAATTTGGCACAGACATTAGCAAATATTAATGATCGGAACCCGAAAAGAAAATCTCAGTGAAATAATGCAGCAATATCTTAAAGCATACATTAATGATGCATTTTAGAAAATAAATATACATGTACTTACGAGGGCTTATTGACCATTAGGTAGTGAGCATAGTCCACATCTTATTGGACAATCCCTAGGAACGTTATCGTACTTTTCGCAGTAAGCCACAGGCCATGCGTCACAATGGCTTTTGTCTGGGTTACTGCAATCAACTGTGGCGAAAAATAAAAATTATATCTAGACCTCACAAGAAATAAGCCTAATTGTCGGCTTCAACGTTGAAATACTTACATTTGAAAAATGATTTTAAAAAAATGCAATGGAATTAATATATTTGAAGAATTCCTGTAGATTGTGATACCTTTTTCACACCGTTCTCCAATGAAGGGATGTTCACATTTACAGGTACAGTTATCAACATCCAGTGTCCCCCCATTCAGGCATTCCTTTCCATTACATGGATCTATAAGGAAAGAAAGACGCTATGCATGGAACTCCTTAATTAAATACATGTATGCTGTTTTTGACACACCTTTGTTTCAGAAGCCACCCTTGTGTGGAAAACAAAATTGTAAACGGTCTCTTCTACAGACCAATGACGATGACAAAAATGTTTACTTTTATTCTACTGAATATTATCATTTTTTCATTAAAAAAAACAGCCTTTTCATGAAGTACATTTATGAAGTGTTCCACTCAGAACAGTAAATATACATGTATATACTTTTCATCAATCATTAACCTTTCCTTTGATGTTGCATCATAGTTAGGCACAATACATACCACAAAGAATATTATTATAATGTATTTCATCAAATTATTACTTAAAGAGCGCAAAGAAGCGTAAATACTCACGATCACATAGCCCGCACATGACGGGACACATTTCCCTTTTAACGTTGGAAAATCGGTTACAGTCATGGCATGTTAATTCGCCTTTTTTAGTTCCACACTGGTTAATGTCCAGGCCGCGGTCCCCATACGCTCGACACTCCTCTGATAACAAGAATATTATTTTCCTCTTAAACATTATTATTCTCTCTTATATGAATGAACAATCAATTCTAAAATTAAATTCTACATAAAAAGTGTAACCATTAAGGTAATTTTTTACCAAATTTTTATTTCTCCTTAAATTAATTTGTACGCGTACATGTACATCGATTGTGTCATGTTCTGTGTAAAAGAAACTGGTAGAAAAGATACTCACCACGACTGGATCTTTTGCCGCTGTACTTGCACCCGAACGCAGACACGAAGGGAGGTTTTGGTTTCTCGCTCTCGGCAACCATAACATCTTCTGTGGAATATATATATATATATATATATATATATATATATATATATATATATATATATATATATATATATATATATATATATATATATATATATATTAGGGATGTCAAAATATTTATTTTCCTTAGTCGATCATTCGATTGCATTATTCGAACGATAGTCGAATGTTCGGAACATTTTCTGAAAATAAAATTTTATTTCAAGCTTCACAGGTACATACTCAAAAACCTTTTTACTTAAATCTATTTAAAAAGTAACATCAAAATTAATGCAACGTAACGCGTGGATAGCATGATTCTATGAAATAAATTTAGAAACCTTATTCTCCAAAATTTATTATTTCCCCTCAATAGAATTCATAAATCGGCCTGTACATGCAGTCATTTTTTATTTAGTAAGCATTAAAAAATTGCCAGCCGATATTGTTTAAAGCTTACTATGAAATAAAGTGGATGGAGGCTATCAAAATGTCCTCAAACAGTTTAAAATGTAAGCGCATTTTTTAATAATTATCCAAGTATCAAAACAGGTTTATTCCTTGCATTTGAGCAAACTTAAAATAACTGGTACATGGTATAAGCTCAAGTCCAATTAATAATTTTACAAACAAAGTCGATCATATTGGTTGGTAACTTATTACAAAAACAACACAGGCAGTTACTGACAATTAATTCTTGCAGTAATGAAGCACTTATAATTGCTGTACTTTCTATACATACTTGGAAAATCTACCGTTTTTTGTTGAGGAAAATTATCGACTGTCTATGAGGAAAGACTGTTTCTCAATTTTTGGATGAGAATTCCATCTCATCTATCACTCATTTATTGCATTTATTTAATTAAAATAATATTCGAATGTCGTTTCATTATTCGATCGTCGGTCCATTCGACTGATAGTCGAATAGTCGACTATTCGTTGACATCCCTAATATATATATATATATATATATATATATATATATATATATATATATATATATATATATATATATATATATATATATATATAAGATTTACTGGACTTTGCTAAAATATTTCTTCTGATTATTTTCTTTCTTTTAAATTTTGGCCATAAAAATCAAGGTACATCTCAACTTTCAAAATTAAGTATATGTATAAGTACACATGTATCTTAGTCACCATTTGTGTTGCCACATTTGCCACACATGTAGGGACAGTCAAAGGGGACGTTGACAAATTTTCCACAGTAGGACGGGGTCCAGTCTCTACCACACACCCACTTATCCTCGGCCGGACAATCCACTGAAATGGGAGGCAGCAAAAAATATAGTTAAAATAATTTGAATATATAATTAAGAGGCGGAAGTAAAAGAAGTCATCTACCAAATTGAAGACTATTTGAAAAAATAATGATGTAGAAATGTCACTCACATTGCTCGCAAGTAGGTCCTTTGTACAGCTTTTGACACTGGCATTGACAAGTTTCAATATTGAGAGTACCGCCATTGTAACAAACTTTACCACCGCAATCTAAAATTTTAGAACGGCCATGATTTTCCATATTAAGGTAAGCAATTCTGCAGATTATTCTGTCGTTGTGAATTGGTACTTAATCTTTAAAAAGAAAGAAAAACTCACCGCATTGCCCATTCCTGCAGAATTTTGGACATTTGCTACATCTTCTTCCGGCGGTATAAGGAGAAGCCAGATTGGATTGTCTATACAATAAAGGTATACCGTTTATTCCAATAGTGAAAAATGTAAGAAACTAGAACTCTCCTAGTAGAAAAGCGTCCAGTTCCAATAAATGTGTAGACAAGTGTGAAACTTACCCAGCTGCATAATCACAAACGTAGTAACGCGTAAAAGTTGTTCTGTCACACACAGCAAAACCACACCCTACGAGGTAGGTACCATTCTGTGCCATCTACAATGACATTATTTGAATATTACAATAATCTGCGTGATTTTGTAAGTTAATGCTTTTAGTTCATTAGGTTAACTAAGTCACCCTATATCATTCACTTAATATGGCAAGTCTTTATTATTGTAAAACAAACTGATTATAATGAATTACAAGTTAAAATGGTGGTACATGTAAGTCTATCTAACAAAATGATATATAGAATTCCGAAACTTTGAAAAGAAAAGTATAAACAACTTGTAGTTTTATATTTTATATTACATTTATCTTAATCAGCTGCAATTTATAAAAGCTTATTTTTTTTTAATTCTTAATGCGAACAGCTACATGTGTACAACTTATGAAAGTATATATTTTTTATTCTTAATGCCCTTTATCATGATTTAGTCTGTATCGTTTACTAGCATCTATTTCTGTTACAAGGAAAATTTTCTCATAAATGGAAAGGCTTATTAAATTATTTAGGCCCATTGAAACTAGCTGATCTATAAGTCAGACTAAATGTATTGTTCTATTAGGCTCAGGGATTGCATCACCGAAGAATGGCATCGATTGATTGATTCCATACCATCTGTTGTATGACTTTTCCTTCAAATTTTACTTTTACGAGAGAAAATTAATTAAAATTAACCTGCGTAAAGTGTCCAATTTTCTTCCATCCCCCAGGGCCAAGGTAGGAGTCTGGTTCCACGCCGTAGGTCCACATGTCGATTTCATCCCACCACATCTGTACCGCCTGCTCCCACGTGCGGTAACCCCCGGCAACGTTCTGTCCAATCGACATCCCGATGGCTGCCAAGAAGCGAAAGTAGTTTCAAACTTTGAGACAAGGTTGGAATAAATTATCATCTATTTACCTCAGAACATTGATGAATTGTCAATCGGAAAATAACAGCATTTATTAAGTGCATAATATCTGTCAATTTTCACACAAGGGGAACAGAAATCGATATAATTTATCATATTTAAACGATAGATCACAATAAATCAATTATTTTAAGTCTTTTGAAGAAGATAACCAGCTGTAAGCTGGAAAAGGTAAAATTTGAACTTAATTTATTCACATGTTTTTGTCTTAGCGATTTTAATACTCTCTGATTTTAATAATAAGAGTGAATTTTTATACAGATCTTTTATAAGGTATAAAACAAATCGTACTGTGATACTTAAAAACTATCTAAAAATGACACAACACCAGAACTTTTGTATATAATAACACGAATGCTTACTAATACATAGATACTTTTTATACACCTGTAACTGCGCCAATCGCACTAAAAGGTTTTTTTTTTATGTTCCTTTGTTAGATATTACTATTGCATCAATATAGGAAAAAGTACTTACAAGGAATACTTCTTTCTCTGTCGTGACCTGCTTCACACTGATTGGCCCATTTCTGAGCAACGGCAGCAAGTCTCTCGTCCCATTTCTGCAAGAAGAAAATACTGTAGCTATATAGATTATCAAAATTAAGCAAATCTTTTTGCAGGATTAAAAGTTTTTTTTTCTTTTTATATTTAGCATACAAAACAAAACTATTGTTTATAATAAAATAGAAATATCTGTAATTATTCAAAAGACATAAGAAATGATGATCAAGTAATTTGGTGACTCGTGTCGCTGATGGTTTTATGCTTAAGTACAACGCTCTTAGTGGACGAAATTGTACAAAAAAGGAACGGTGATCAGCGAACAAATGACGCCCGGTCACCGCCTACACTTATTAGACATGTTGAATATATAACCAAAACAGGTATGATGACCAAAGGAGACATAGTCCGAAGTATGACGACCACGACATATAAGGTAAAGCCAGAACTGTATGGTGATTCAAGCGTTAATGACGATATTTTGTATTTTACACACGACACAGCCCGGAAACCACTTAATAAAATAATGTCATAACGATACTTCATCATCAATTCTCATAATTATGATTTATTCTCACTGTTAATTATTTGATAATTATTGTTATGGGTAGCGATGCCAAATAGTACTATATTGGGGGCATTTTAAAAAAAATATATAAATCCTTGATTGTTTACAATTATTCATTCTTCCTTTGAGTGACAATTCTAATGAAATTTCAATCATATAAAATATTTCAATTTGCATTTGATAAAATTCCTGCGTACGTTTTCAAATGACGTAATATAACGGCTAAAGCGTCGTTAATTCAACTTAAATTCATAGTGACCTTGCAAAATTTGCATATATATTTAGCCTATCTCAAGAATCCAATGTGAGCTGGCTTACTTTACAATGTGTATTGCTTGGATAAGCTGTAATTATCTAAATTAAAATCACCAGTGTTCGTATGGGAAAATCGTCGATAAAAGCTTAACTGGTACATGTAAATATATTCCATTAGGACTTACTAGTTCTACCAGGTCCATTGCGGGTGGCTGAACTGTGGCTCTCAGTCTGTTGTGTTGGTCAAGAATGGCTTTCTTCATGGCTTCTGTGATGCCCTGTTTACTGACGTTAGGTTTGTCCGTCATACAGAGGGTGTGTCCTCTAAGTTTCTGGTATTCTTTTGTGCACGTTGTTGTCTACAACGATTATCATTGGATAAAACATGCATATATAACACAAATTTGTTCTTTTTTCTATCAAGATCTTTTTAATTTTTTTTTAAACAAAGTTCAGTTACCATTGGTTTAATATCACTAGGTTGCTGTGGCTGTGTTGGCCTGGGGTTGTATTGATCATTGGTTTCTTTGGGAGGTACTGGGGGACCGTTGGACGGAACAATTGGTGTGTAACCCGGGCGGGGAATACTAGGTCTCCTAGAAGGAAGCTGTCCTCCGTAATTAATAAGTTGTTTAAAGCTCGGTGCATTTGGGAGATTGTTTAGAAGTTCTCGAAAGAGCTGACTGAAGTCTGCAAAAAGAATAGAATTCGTTTGAAAGATATTATTCGTAATATCTGTAAAAGAAAGCACATGAGACGATAAGGCAGATATGTTCAAGATTGTGTATTACATCTTTGGCTAGTTGACGCTTATGATATATTCGTATTCATGGAATTCATTGAGAAGCAAAAGTCTCAATTACATAAAAAATCCTTCTGATTTTATCGTAGTTAATACGTTGTTCCGACGGTAAACGAAGGGCCCTTTTTGTTCACATCAAGTTCATATGAATTCCCATGCAAATCCTTCGACAATCCCATGATAACGAGTATTTGGAATCAGTCAAATGTAATATTTAAAGATCATTCTCTTTCAAATATCGTAATGATAAAGATTGGATATAGTTTTATATAAATAGAAGTATATAATTCATGTAAATTAAAAGAGGAAAAGGAACTTTATCAGATTATAGATAATCATTAAACAGTAATAGTTGATAAATGTTAGTAGTTGATGGATTGTTATAATACTGAAGGTCCATTAAAGTGTTCCAATAAATTATAGACAAAAGAACATGCAAGGGACATTTAGTGATCTGTTCAACACCTTTTAGTCAAAGGTTGATAAAATTGTGACAAAATAATGGAGTTCCGACTTTCTTGACCAGAGGAAACTTGTTACTTCTACATGTAGTTTAGTACTTTCCTCATCAAAGCAATATCTATAACCACTAATTCTGTGCAGTTTCTTACTGCCTTTTTTTTTTTTTAAATGAAGGCATTATATGTTAAAAAAAAATGTATGAAATTGAAAGTGAATTTTTCAATGTATCTTTTTTTAAGATTGATATCTCTTTTTGTTAGCACGTCTTCTCCGTAAACCACAAATTGCTGACTGATACATAACTACACATATTTCCTATGTAAATATATACACCATTTTCACTTTGTTATGCTGTCATAAAGATTAATATATGGCTTGTGGTTTTCATGCAAAGATTTAGTTCCAACTTAACTATCCTGCACCATTTTCACACGTATTAACTTAGTTTACTAAACTACAAACACTCAATAAACTTATGTAAGTACATATAGCTTAGGAAATCGGAAGAAAAGATTCAAATTTACAAGCTTGTCAAACGATTTAAAATATATAACATACTAAGGAATATAAAAAAGCCTGCATCATGTGACACTTGATGAAATCAGACAAAGAAATGTTCTACATGAAAGACTTGTGTCATACTTCTATGCAGTTTGATTTGGTTACCTTTGAATATAAGTCTGATGTGAATTATTTATAGTATAAAAATTTGCATCGTTCATTATATTTATAAAATTTTTGCCTTATTTCTGACAGTAAAAAAAATTAATCGTCAATTTAGAAGTACCGATTTTAATAAATCTTTTCGTTTTGTATTGATCAATAAAACCAAACATATAATTCCAAATAATTGATGATCAAGTAAACATTTTGGTTAGCACACTTGTCTAAGAAACGATCCACTTCTATTGTAAATGATAATGTATTATCCTAATACAATGTATTTATATAAAATGAATTTTTATGATATTTTGTGCTTGAATAGTTTAAATTTATGTTAGTAATCCACATCACAAACATAAGTTAAGACTTATAAAAACATGACATGTATAATAAAAAAAATGAAATATTTACCAAAGAATCTTCCTAAAGAACAATGTAAAAACAGTGCCATGAATCACATTTGTCATCAAATACAGTAATTATATCAGACTTTGAAATTGTTATTTAACGGTTTAAAAAGCAGAAAGTTCTAAAGTGAACGGAGTCAGATTTGAAGAATAAGAAAATAAAATGTTTGTTTCAAAATGAATACTTCGAATATAATCTTACCCCCACCGCCTCCTCCGTTAGGACCTGTAGTCCATGTTCTGGTCCACGTAATTTGGGCAGAAACAAGATGTACTAACAAAAGTACGGCCACGGTCAAAGCAAGAGTCTTCATTGTAGGTATGACAGAGTCTTTCTGTAGGATTATGACATGTTTACAAGGCGATGCACGCTTATTTATAAGTATCCAACCATGCGAATCGATGACGAACGGGAGAGAGGAGTTGGACTTCTAGACCATTCGGGGGAACAATTTGGGCGTATTGATTATATGCTAATTATAAGTTGACTTACGCAGAAAGTATATCTGACGGTTATGATTTATAAATAAAAATAAACTAGCAGAATTTTAGTTTCTCCTTGCAAAATGTTAACAAATTACAGGATTTAATATCATGCATATAGTATTTTTTTAATGGTACAGACTGACACGAGGGGAAAGGAGGGGGGGGGTGATAAAATGATTTATAGGATTCAAGATTTGATTTTCTACCAATTAGAAACTGCGTCGCTACATTGCACCACCTGTTAGTATATAATTAATATCAATTTATTTTATGTCTATTGTAATAGGTATATTAACTTGAGTTAATTTGTTTGTTTGTTTGTTTGTTTTTTACATGTAATACCTTGAGGAAAAATAAACAACAACACAAGCAAAACTAGGCAAAACATTAGGTACAAAAACGACTGTTGTCCTCAAAAATACCTACAATATGAAAGAACATGAGATATCTTCGGTGATCAATGTAGCAATAACGCATTGAAAGATAGGTTCCTAGCTTGATTATGCTTTCTTTACTTTCGTCAATATTCCCCTTATTATGATTATACTTTAATTTAAGTGTATATGATTCAGCAATTTAAATTGTGAACTTCGAAACCAAACTAGTGACTTAATTTTGTATTTGTTAATATTATTATGCAATTATTATGCAATTTATTCCGGAGGTTTTATCGTTTAAGAAACCCTCTGTGTAGCTACAGCATTTGATGTATCTAATTTATCAAAAATAGCTATGAAAATGTCCAGCCAGCATTTGAAGTACATGTACATAACTACATGTGACCGATTTGAAGTGTAAAGTATTCCAAGAGTAAAATATCAATTGTTTCAAGTTCTACTTATGGTTTTTCTTTCTAATAAATAATGCAAAAGAATGTGTTAATTCCACCCTCTCAAAACTTAATTTAAGAACTAGTCCAATAAACATCACTTTTATTAAGAGTTATACTTATAAGAGGCAAAAATGCAAACATTGACCTTAATTTATACATTATTTGACTTTTAGATTTGATGAAAGAAAAAATTCAAAATGAAAGTGAATGCCATTTTTCACTTTTCAATTCAAAACATCCAGCTGATTTGAACTTTCATATTTTTTTTTTGTATCTTTGTTTGTTTGTTGTTTTTTTTTTTAAAGATCAGATATTTTTAACAATAAACAATCGTCAAAGAATACAATTGATCAAACTAATCTGAATTTTGGGCCTGAGCCTTAAATGTCAATTAACTTAAGATTGTTGCAATATATCATGCCTGATTTTCATTTCGAAAAAAAAGTGTAATTAATATAATGATTGAAAAAGCTAAAATTTGAACTTAATTTATTCACATGTTTTTGTCTTAGCGATTTTAATACTCTCTGATTTTAATAATAAGAGTGAATTTTTATACAGATCTTTTATAAGGTATAAAACAAATCGTACTGTGATACTTAAAAACTATCTAAAAATGACACAACACCAGAACTTTTGTATATAATAACACGAATGCTTACTAATACATAGATACTTTTTATACACCTGTAACTGCGCCAATCGCACTAAAAGGTTTTTTTTTATGTTCCTTTGTTAGATATTACTATTGCATCAATATAGGAAAAAGACCGAATGTCAAAAAACTGTCAAAATGAAAAAAAAAATTGGAACTAATCACACAATTTCAATCTAAATAATACATGGAAACATCTTGATAGAGTAGTGTGAAATCATATACTAAAGTATGCATTATTAATGCGGTCATGGATCAGAGAGGTGCTAAAAGCTGGATGTAATTTTTACGAAAATTAATTTTTTGTAGCTCTCGTCTTGACCGCCTTTATACTAATGTCCGCTTTATTAAGATGCGTTTTGACTGTTTGTAAGGCTCTTGAGGCTGCAACGCGCAAGCGCACTGGTCTGTATGTCTGCGTATAAAGTTAAATCTATTTGTTCTACAAAACGCATCACGAAAGCAAAGAAATAAAATTTTTGTCGTTTTCCTAAGGAGATATGATTTAGTGCTTATTTTTATATCTATATCTTGTTTTACAATTTTTCATTTTCAACTTAAACTGAATTAAGTGAGAAATTGTGAAATAAAACAATGTAGATTGTAGATTGGGATGAAAGTTTACTAACACAGTAAGGTACTATATAACCTTAATCACCTCATTCATCATAATGTTCTTCAAAAATAAAGACTGTAAAACCCCATTCATTTTTTTTTTAATTTTCATTCAATAGAATCGTGGAAATAATTATGACAGATTACTGTGTATGTACGAAATTATTACAAAGGCTTCGTGATTTATGATCGTTGTTGTAAACTACATTGTCTTATGTGACCACAAAGTTCTCATTAAGATACCACATTGTATAATATAGTTCACGAATGATTAAATTAAGAACTTACCCATTTTATTGATCGAATAAACAATTATTATACAGGTGCGTCAATAAAAACATTTGGCAGGTAAACAATGTACACTCATCATTCAGTTAAAGATGTAAAATCAATTCAATTATCAATATTAAGTATATTTAAGTTTTTATGAGGGAAGAGGTGAAGATAACGAACAGTGATCGATTTGGAAAAAAAAAACGTAATACAAATCTGTGAGCAGGGCATAGAACACGGACCTCCCGGAAATTCCAAAGGTGGGATCAGGTGCCTTGGATAAGTATCCCCTGTCGAACTGTCATAAATGCCATGAGCCCTTTATATTGATCAGGTAAACAAAATTTTAGTATAATAACAAAGACCTATCAATTAGTATAAAATTTGTCGGTCAAAATATGACGCAATGATAGGTTATATTTGCTAACAAGGTCATTATAACGACCATAGGATTTACGAAATACTGACTTGAAACGAGGCTGTTGAAATCCTTGTAGGATTAACTCATCTGTCAGTAGCAAGCGTTGGTGTAAAAATTAATCTCACTCAGAGCATGATCTGGAGTATGAATAAACTGGGAGACATAAACACTTTGTGTAGTTGAAAGCAGAATATTACTTCATACATATGTAAAAAAAAAAAAAAAAAAAAAAAAAAAAAAAAAGTTGACGATGGAAAAGCTGACGTCATCTTGATTGTTATACAGATTAGCTGTTGGTAGGCCCTTATCTTCTTAAGTGAGTGAAACATCCAAATACCGTATAAGTGGAATTTTCAGCGTGACGCAAATTTAGCAATTAGTCCTTAAAAATCAGTATTTAATTTTAGCAAGAAGTAATTTTAACGATTTTATCGTGCATGCAAAGTTAACGGTAAATTCTAATGCGGAATAAATTGTTAGCGATAATTAATTTTAGCGATCTCAACGTCCTTGCTTAAAATGCCAAAATTGAATCCTCGCTATGGTACATGTATGAAACAGATGTGGCAGACTCTCTGATGTCTCTTATTTTGAGTTCCCTGGGATATATCGAGTCCACATGTGAATGGAAGAAACTATTCTTAATTGATAAAACAATCGTCTGTATATCTGAATGTCGAGTTGAAGGCCACAGTAAGTGTCTTTTTCTTCTTTTGAAGTAATTCTGCTTCATAGGAATATAAAAACAGGTCTGCTAATAAAAGAGCCCATTAGAACCCATAAAAGTCCAACAGTTTGCCCTATTACCTGGTCTCCAAAGACAACAGAGATGTTGTCAATGAGGAACTCCATCGTCCTTTTAATGTCAACTTCAGAATACTTTTGTGTAGAATCAGAGTGGTTTTTAACAAATTCTGTAGGTTACCAATCATAAGATATGAAAATTTCTGGGTTCCTTTTCTTATTGAAGAAGCAGATGTCTATGATATCAAAAAGCCTAGTTTTAATTAATCGTGAGTATTGGTTGTAAAAAATGTAGAGAAGTCATACTAGTTAATAGTTTTATGTGGTTGTTATAGCACTTGCTAAACCCGGCCAGTGATTTATATGAATTTTTTGAAATCCAATATAGGTAGGGTAGATCGAAATTTCCTTTGTGGACTGAAATATTAAAAATATCAAAGACTGATATGTGAAACAAAGTCTATTTTTGAGAAGGAAAACACCCAGTAACTACCCTAAGAATATCAAAGTGAATTATAATTTATTATATTTCATTATATTATCAAAGTTTTGACCGAAAAAAATTAAGTGCGTAACTATGAAGTTCAACTTGTTATATTTCCATTTCTATTTGTTTTCTCTGTGATAACTCTTTGAAAGTAAGGAGAGTTGATTTCTTGATCATTCTAAAGGAATGCAAATTTTGCCAAGCGAAAGGTCAGTAGCTAAGAAGGCCTAATATGCATGTAATTCTCGTGCGGCTGTCTTTGTGTCTGACTCTAAGGAGGCTTAATATGCATGTAATTCTCGTGCGGCTTTGTGTTTGACGTCAGTGGGCGGAGACTATTGAAATTGACATGTGAGGCTTCGTGTAATTTAAGTCTATTATTCTATATTTTTAAAATCTAAATTTACATTTTTATTTCAAAATGAAATGGAAATAAAAGGAATCACTGTCTAGTTAGTAGAGTATGCCAGGGACATCAACGATAGTTGGAAACGTGGGATAATTTTTTTCATAACGGGCTTCGCCCGTTATGCAAATTATCCCACGTTTCCAACTATCGTTGATGCCCTGGCATACTCTACTTACGAGACAGTGATTCCTTAAATATATTTCATTTTTATGCATTTTGTTATATTTGGGGGAAATGTTACTTATACATACTTATATTATGCTTTAAAACTTTAAAAAAATTACATAGAACATAAAAGTAAATATTAAAAGTATCATAGTTGATCAAGGTATTTAAGTATTTACAGTGGAAAACTACAGTATCCTATTCTATACTATAGTATTCTATACTATATATATAACCATTCCCCACGATAA